TAATGTTCAAGCCTAATCCCAGCCTTTTACCTCGTATTTAGTTACCGATTAATGTTCGCAGCTGGTCTTTATTTTCTCGAATATTTTATTGATTTTTGATTGCGATATTATGCAAACTGGAGTCGCTGGCTCACATCTCTAAAATATAGATACCATATGCCTGCAGGCTCCCATCATTTGGCGGACAATTTGTTCAGCAATTTGTGAGTGCTCGTCGGATACTCGTCGCTATTATATTGGCTTTCATATGGCGGATAGCTCCATCGATTTGCAAATCATCGCGCGATCGTCGAACCTCTCCACTTGAGACCCGCCCAACAAAACGCTCTTGCCTCCTATAAACGCAGGCCATTATGATTATTATTCCTTTCTTTTTTTTCTATTTTCGCTTTATTATTATTTTTTTTTTTACATATTTTTCTATCAAAGCGATTGCTGGCAACAATGTATTCCCCTTTATAAACTTATCGTTTGTCACTTGGCTCTATCTATCTTTGGTATCTCTACTCCATCGGATCCACTCGAGTGGTGCGGCGACTGGTTTCGGGTGGTTGGATGTTTGAATGTTCGGATGTCGGTGGTTGATGGTTGGGAATAAATAGTGTTAAAGCCACAGCCATTGAAATTCACAACACACACTCCCCGGCGAAGCTGTCTGTCGCTTTGTTTCTAATAAATAAACTAAAAACAAAACAAAATAGAAAAGAAAAGAATATTTTATTAAGGAAATAATAAAAGGGAAAAATGTTTTGGTTCTATAAAATAATGGAAACTGGTCATTTGTGGTCTCTAATCTATAGAAATTTGTATTAAAAGGAATAAATAGGTTTTACAAAATATATAAGATTACACATACCTCAAGTTAATAAATAATCTAAAGGGTGCAAATAGTTTTATGGTGAATAATACGGCTAAAATGACTATTTAAATGCTGGGAAACATATAAATAAAATAAAATATAATAAACAAATATCATTTATATTTACACTGCTCTATCCTCTCCCCATAAATACCTTTAAATACCTCACCTTCCCAACTTTCGCTTGTAAAAACGTTTCCCTAAGCTCTCCCCACATGTTCTTGGCCTCGGGTGCCAATTATATCGTATATCTTTGACAGTCTTCTCGTGTTTTGACTCTAAACTCCAGAGATCTGCTGCCCACACGTCCTTATGGGCCGCATTGTTTGGCTTTCGTTGGTTTATTTTCAATTTCCTATGTATAGTATGCAATGCAAAGCGAACATAAACAAGTAAACCCCTCTCTTATACAACCTATAAATTTACATGATCATATATTGGCTTTTGGCGTTGGCTTTGGCTTTGGGCTACGGGTCGTCATCAAACTTGTCGTCATCGTCAACTTGTTACGCCCATATTTGGCAACAGATTCAAATCAGCCAGCCACTCGACCGTCTCTCGATCATTTTATTTTATTTTATTTCACTTTATTAACTTTATCGACAGTTTATATCTTGCTTGGACTTGGTCCGTCTGTCTAGTGGCTGGTGGCGTTTGGTTCTAAGCCTTCGGCACACTGAGTATTACTCATTGGCGACCTTTGTTTGGTATCTGCCTGGCGATAAATGGGTTCTATATTAAAATCGTATATAGAAATGTGAGTAGAATCTACGGGGTTAAGTAATGTGAGGTTCATTCAACACGATGTGGGCGGTTCTCGATAATTTACAATACGATGGGATAGTTATTTAGAGATCTCCATAAACACATTCCATAAATATTTAGATTTTCCTTGAATATAACACTGATTTCCAACTAAAGGTGGTGATAGGGTTAATTTTTATGATCTATTGCAACCCAATAAAATCATTCCTTATACAATTTTCACAATTAAACAATCATTAATCGTAAAGAAAATGGTCTATAGATTTCCGCAATAAAAGCTATGATTTAAAAGTCATACTTCAATGGCTTTGCCATCGTTTAATGTTCAAAGTATACTTATTATCTATTTAATTACATGAATTTCGTGTAGAATATTAAGTAAACCAACATTTGCCATAAATGGAGAACTTTATGCATGGATCAAGGGGTCTATAAGAAAAGCTGGGGAAAAAGTGAAGTCATACCTGAGCGCAGAGAACGTGCAATTATCGAGTTACAAGTGAATTTGTTTTTATTTTTCCGTTTTCCTTCTGCTGATTATGGAGCTTGTTTCATGAATATCGCCGAGTGAGCCATAAATTACATAATTGCACTACGTTTAACTGGTGGATACTGCAACTGTTGGCGATATCTGCAATCGGTGGCCTTTGTTCTCAGTTCACAAGGTTGAATGAACTTCAATTTTATCAGACTCGGGCTTCGGCTTACAAAATACCCAAGATATGATCTGGCAATGTGTAACGATCGATATTTGCCAGCTGATTGATTTACTATATGGTATATGGTTCGCAAGCCAAGTCTCTTTGTTTGCCTTCCAGACAGACGGACTTGCACACACGATTTGCATGATCAACCACTTGATAGAGTATGGAGCTTATTAATTTTCATGTTCAACGATTTGTTGTGCTGCTGTTGGATCGCTGGATCGAATGTTCAAGTTGTGTCTTTGTATGCAAATTCCAGTTTATAGATAGATTTATAAAATATGCACTTTGCCCGTCGTGGCTAAGAGATTTTCCTTGTTTACAATAATATTACATTATTCTTTCCATTTTGTTAAAGTGTCATATAAGGAAATGCAAATATAAATCTTAAGAGAATAAAAATCTATTCATTTCGATTTGTACAAGCTTTCAAAGTGGTATTTAAAAGCAATCAATATGCTTAAGAATTCGCGAAAATATTTTTCAACTGTCAAACTACAAATCAAGAAAAAACGTAAAGAATTTGCGGATTTCTTTTAAATACTTTCTATAAATCCAGAATCCTAAAGAATTCACGGATTTCTTAAACCTATTTTATTTACAAATAAACCCTTCCCAGATTCACTTTTAAAATAATTTCCCATGCCTCAAGTGTGTAAGTCTTTGCCAAGGTGTCAAATGAAGCGTGTTTTATTTTTAACAAATAAACTTTACCTTTTTCTGTCAACTCTCGGTGAACTGTGCAAATATTTGGGCTGGGCAAACATTCTTAAATATACTTATTGTTTACGCGTAAGTTCGCTGAAATGCCCAAGGCGTTTTCCCCCGCAAACTGTGCAAACAGCGAAAGCCTTCTGAGGTTTGCGTTTTCAGTCGACTAATTCATTCCGCTGCCCTCAACATATTCCCCATTACCCATTACCATTATTATTTCCCTGTATTGAATTTCAAACGCAGCGCCATCGCTTTTTTTTGTTTTTGCATGCACTTTTGCTTCCGAGATAACAAATTGGAATGGAAATTGAAATTCTAGATGTTTGTTTGAAAAACTGAAAAAGGAAGCTACAATAATGGCGAGGGTCAAGCTTTTGTGTTATTCTAGCCTGCGGCTTGTGGGTGGTTTTGATGGGTGGTTGTCAGTTCGGGAGGTGCTATATATTTCTATATGATGTATCCAATGGGGTAAAGCTGGGAGCTTGAAGCCTTTGTACACCTGATTTTGTTAGAGATTCCGGTGGGTGCGACGCTTTGACGTCAAACTGATTTGCATTTAAACAGACGGATATTTTTGGTTTTTGTTTTATTTTCGATTATCCAGAAAGCCATCGACAAGTGATTATAGCTGGAAACTTGATATTGAATTTCTTTAGATAATTAAAAAAGATAAGATAACAAATAAGCGATTTACTTGAAAATGGTTGGCAATTTAAACATGGTTTAAATGTTACATGTATTAATCCGCATTATACAAAAATTTAATAAAGTTTTACATATAGTAAGAAAATATATTCTAAGCTAATCAAAAATTTAAGTTTAATAAGTATTGAAAAATATAATCTTTAAACAAATTTTAATCTACAGTAATTTAAATAAATTAGTGTGTAATTCGCATACTTGTATTATTTTTCAAAAATTGAAATGAAAAAACGTTTTTCAAGCAATTTGTTAAAAATTACCTTTGATTTCTTTTAATTATTTCAACATTATTTAATCAAAACCCGATAATCTCCCGTTTTTGAAAAGGCAGCAATCTGTTCTTGTCATCGCTGAAAATTGACATTAATCAGAAAATTTAGCAATGAGTTATTCATTTCCTGTTTGGATGCGTCAACGCATTGCTTAATGAGACTTAAGTTTTAAATAATTGCCAACACGAAAATGATAAAAAAAAACGGTTTAATGCATTTATAAAAACTGCTTGCAATAAAGCTAAGCAAATGTAATAATTTTTGTGTGCTGTGTATTTGTATATGTATAAATATGTACTTGTGGTTCCGTGTGAAGTAATTCATGTATTTTTTCTCTCTTATTTTTTGCAGTTTAATTGTGCAACAACAACAACAACAAGAAAAACAACAATAGTAGCAGAGCAGCGGAGTCTCAACAATTGGCACAATTGGCGATAAATCAGCTGAAGAAGAAGAAGAAGGAGAAGCAGTGTGAACTTTCAGCAAACGCAGCGGAAAAACACAAACAAACGAAAAAAAAATCAAATAATAGCGGTGCATGTGTGAAAAGGGAAAACGAATAAATCTACGAACAACGAACTGCAGGCGAGAGCGAGATAGCAATAGCAGTCTCATTAGCATTTCCAACGCGGGGGAGTAAAAGTGCATTCTCTTAAAGAGAGATAAGCAAGCAGTTGGAAGTGGAGTTGAAGAGAAAAAGGAGTAACTAGAAAGGAGTTAAAGCAGTTTGAAGAGAAAAACTGGAGTTCAGAAAAGCAGTAACTGAAATCAAATGAAGCAGTAGTTCCAATAAGAAGTAGGAACTTAAGAGAAAAAGGAGTAATTGGAATAAAAGCAAGCAGTGAATTTTAAGAGAAAAAGGATTAACTGGAATTTAAGAGAAAAAAGGAGTAACTGGAATTTAAGAGAAATAACGAGTAACTGGAAATTAAGAGAAAAGAGGAATAACTGGAAATTAAGAGAAAAGGATTCCACAGACAATTAAAGAGAAAGAAAGCAGTGCAATTAGCGAGTATCGATTTCGCAATTTTACATTCATCGCTATTTGCCATTTTTCTTTGCCCACTTTAGTTGGCAACCGTTGACAGTTGGCAGCTGCAGCGGGTGGCGCGCGGAGGCGGGGCCATCAGCATGTGGCCCTAGACAAAAGCAACAACCATAAAAAACAAGAAAAAACAGTGCAAAAAAAGAGGAGAGGAACCACTTGGCATTCAGGCAGCGAAGCATAACCATTCGGTTGGTTTAAGACCGGAAAAGCGTCGATGAGTTGAGTGGAGTTCCACTTAACCACCCTTTTTGACCCTAAACAACAACCTAAACCAAACCCCTCCGAATTCCGTCCCCGCAATGGATGCATCGCCCCTGTCGCCGGAACAGGCTGCTCCTTCCATCTTGGCCACCGGCAGGTCATTGGACCAGCAGGTGGACGCCAGTTCGCCCAACCACTCGAACTACTCGAATCTCACCAACAGCAGTAGCAGTGGGAGCAGCAGTCCCTCTGCCTGCGCCTCCTCCTCGTCTTCCTCTTCGTCGGCTCCTCAATATAGTGCGGATATACGAGCGGCACTGCAGCCTAATCCTCACCAGCAACAGAGGGGATCTTCGGGATCAGGATCGGGTTCAGCCAAGACCTGCGAGCTGGATTTGGCCGAGGAGAGGGACACATTCTCCCCCATCTCCAGTCCAGATTGCAACGGAGCTGCTGCTGCTGTAGTCGTCCTGCCCTCCACTTCCTCCTCCTCAGGTGGAGTAGCCTCTTTGGACAACAAGATCTACGAGGGAGGCAGTGGCAAAGTGAAGCCGCCTTCCAAGGAGGAGAAACAGCGTCAAAACGAGGAGATTGTCTGCATGGAAACCTCGACTGTTTCCACAGAAACTGGCTCCTGGGAGTCCATGTATCCAGAGGCCAACGTAGCTCCTCCAGAGGAAACAGAGGATCAAGAAGAAACCTCTTCTGTTTTCAAAGGAATCACAGCTAGCTCTTTGCTAAGGGATCTGGAAAAGCGGGATCAACCTTTGTCCACCTCGGGCACAAGTGCCTGTTTCATAGACGCCTCTTCTCTGCGAGACGAGGATGAGGTGCTGTCCTTTCCCAGCCTAGATGGACATAATCAGGAGGAGGAGGTGAATGGCGAGGAGGAGGAGGAGGTAGAACCTTCGCCCACAGAGCAGCTAGAGCAGTTTCACAAGTCCTTTGCCAGGTGCAAAGGTGTGAGATTAAGTCAGAAGAAGGAGGAGGAGGAGGAAGATCCCCCGGAGGAACCCCCGGCTCCTCCCATTTCCGCACCCTATAGCTTCCAGCACAATGCCCAGCACTTTAGTGTGCTTCCTTTAGGCAGCAGTCCCAAGTTCACCCAGCATCATCCTCACCAGAGTCACCATCCCGATCTCAGCTACACCACGGACTACTCCTCCAGCAGCCCGGCACCGAGTCTCGTTTGGTCAGAGCAGGGCAGGAATCACCAGAATGGCGGAGGAGGTGCCTCCTCTTCCACGCCGCACAACTCAATGGTGCATATAGAACCCGCTTCGGTTGGGAGTAACAACTCCTCCATTCACAGGGATTACACGTTATCCTCTTCTCTCTCGCATCATAGGGATTCGGGTGCCTATTGCAGTGATGCCACCGATTCACCACTGCCTTTGCCAAGAACCCCGAAGAGGAGTTCCAAGTTTGATGAGGCCAATCCCATTGTTTCGGGCGGAGCTTCTATCGAGGATTTCCGGGAGAAACAGTGCGAGAGTCCGAGCATCAAGCGGCGCACAGACACGTGTCCCATTGTCTCGGGGGGATTTGTGTCCCTGGACTTTGCGACCACTCGCCCGCTGGCGGATGAGGATGATGACCAGGAGGAGGAGGAGGATGCCGAGATAGCGGGAGTGGAGATGCGAGTGAAAACGGGAAATCCCCAGAGGAAACCCATCGCTGGGATAGCCTCCTGGGTGGTGGACATGAGTGACTGTCGGCCGGAGCGAAGGAGGAGCACCAGCAGCACCACCTCCAGTTTCCGCGAGAGATCCGATTCGAATAGTTCGCACAAGAGCGGCTGTGGCTTCTATGTTTCGCTGGATGACATGGACAGGAAGCCTCCTGCCAGTCAGGATCTCCAACCAAAAACAGTGGCTCCTCCATCGCAGCTAAGTAAATCCTATACGGCAACCAAGTCGGCTGGTTTCTTTGTGGATCTTTCGCAGAGTGATAAAGATGCAGAGCAGGCTAAACCCAAGGATCAGGAGGTGATTCAAGCAGAGGAGCCACCCAAGAATATATTCAGCATGTTCATAGATTTCGGGGAGCAGAAAACCCCCCGTTCCAATGGCAGAAAGGAACCTTTGAGTTTGGCTCAGCGGTTATCCAGTTCCCTGAGCTCATCGGCTTCCCGGAGAGGAGGAGGCGACACCTCGGAGGTGATGAAATCCAGCGCCAGTTCCACGGAAACCCTGATGGCCAAGAGTGCCAATCAAAAGGATATCTCATCAGCAGGAGAGAGCAAATCCCTGGACTACAGATGCAATTTGGAACCCCCTCTCACAGTGGCTGCACTGCGTCGTCTTTCGCAGCAGCACCGCCAGCAGACGGATCCTTCAAAGCGTCACAGTTGGGGCAGCAATGGTCAGCCGGAGCAGCCGGGCAACGATTGCAAGCGTTCCATCAGCCTGACAGCCAATGGAGCAACGGATTCAGCGGGCGCAGGTCTAATGAGCATCATTGATAAGCTACCTATAATCTCCAAGGCTTCCTCCTTGTCAATAGATAGCTCTGTCTCCCCCTACGACGACTTTAGTGGCTCTAATCCTGGTCTAAGTAGCTGTTCGGAGGAGGAGCAGCCTGGTCAGGTGCAGGGAAGGATCAAGAAGCGGCGGAGGGATGTGCAGATCAATGAAACCTATGACAAATCCAGTTTGGCCTCCGTAACCGAGGGCATTCTCTCCAAGGATCTCTCGCCCGCTTCCAACACGGATACAGATGATCTCACCTTCCAGCAGGACGAGCAAATGGCCAAGGAGCAGGCTGAGCTAGTAACTATTCCCCTGCAGCTAAGCAGCAGCTCCAATCGCACGAGCAGTGTGATGGAGACCATCATCGAGGCCAAGGAGACGGCTTCACCAAAGAAGCAGGTTACTCTGAGTAATGGCCACACCATGGAATCCCTGCATGCCACCATTGAGAAGCAGAAGCAACTTTTAGAGACGGTAAATGAGCATGGTGAGCAGCAGCAGCCGGCGGCCCAATCAATCCCCTCCAGCTTTGTCAAGCTCTCCGACATGGATAAGCCCGTGAAGCATGATCTCCAATCCCCGGATTCCATGAGCAAGAGCGTGGGCAATAACCACAGGAGTTCACAGTTGGGTCAGCGGCTCTACAGGGATGAGAATCGGGCGCGTCCTCACTCCTGGGCCATGACCAGATCCACGGGAAATACGCTGCAGAACTTCACCAACTCGGTGGACAACATAAGGAGTCTCTCGCGGCTGTTTCCCAACTTCTCCAAGGAGTTCTCCAACTCGCTGCCCAATGGAATGACCTTGGAGCAGGTCCAGAGTCACCAACAGGTGGACTACATCCAAACGGATCTCTCGGCGGACTCGAGCCTCGCCTCCAGTTTCAGTCGCTCGGGCATGGATGAATCCTCGCTGAGCTGCCGGCAGCCCAGGCGACTGGGTGAGGATCTGCTCAAGATGTTCCTGCAGGAAATAGCCACCGATATGCTAGTGGAGGTGCATGGTCGTCGCATTCGGGCGCACAAGTGCATCCTGCGGTCGCGTTGCCAGTACTTTGCCGCCATGCTGGCGGGTCACGGAGCCCAGAGTGTCGTCTCCCTGCAGGGCTACTCCTATGCGGCAGTGCACTTTGCCCTGTGTCACATCTACTCGGGTGCCTCGCATCCGCCGGACGGGATTAGTCTGATGGAGCTGGCCGCTCTGGCGGATCTACTCGGACTCGAGGGACTCAAGGAGGTCACTTCGCATGCGCTGAAGACGAACTACTGCCACAACTTCCATAAACCCTGCTCCGGATGCACAGATGGGATACTACAAGTCCTCCCGGTGGCCTTGAATCATGCCTTGGATGATTTGTACAGGAAGTGCCTGCGCTGGACGTGTCGTCACTACCTGAAGGTCTGGCCCACCAGGCAGTTTGCCCAGTTGCCGCCGGATATCTTGGGTCGCTGTCGCCAGCAGATCGTCGCTTATATGGTGGGTATCTAAAATTTGTAGCCCGTTACCCGTAGAGTAAGGGCCGTTTTCTCGTCCGTTTTTATATATTTAAAGTAAGGTTATAACAATAATTTCCCATATGATTTCAAGGTTTTAACCCTACTTTAAATTTAACAAACGGCCGTTTCCTCGGCCCTAAAAGTATGTAACAACTAAAAGGAAGCGTATCCCATAAAGTATATATATTCTTGATCAGATCTCGGAAACTACAAAAGCTAGAAGGTTGAGATTTCCCACACATATTCTTGGGCTTCCTACGTAGCGCAAGTTTATTTCAGCCGAGCGCCACGCCCCCTCTAACGCCCACACATTTAAAGATTTCCGAGAAGTATAAATGCAAATGTTTTGTATATTTATACCTATCGAAATGTAGAAGACTTTTTCAAATCGGACCATTCATTAAAAAGTTATGCGCAATCCAACATATTGTATATATCCATCTCCCTCGCACTCCCTTTAGCTGAGTGACGGGTATTAGATAGCGTTCTCCCTTATTTTATCTTTATATTAACCTCTTATAAATTTTCTTACAGACCTCTGAAACTGTGCTGGACACGGTGCTCGACTGCGACCATTTGTTGGCCCAACTTTCGGCCTATCGCTGGGGCCACGTCTGCGAGCAGCTCGTCCGCGAAATCCTGGAGGCCGCCTACGCCTATGTGGGTGACCACTTTGCCAGCCTGATTGCCAGCGACTCCTTCCTCTCCCTCGGTCACGATCGCAGCCGGCACATTCCCCGCCTGGAGACGCTGCTCCTGCACACAGCTGCGGAGCTCACACCGGAGCAGGCCTGTCGTAGTTATCAGCGGGTAACCCGCTTGAACACGGTGCTCCAGGCGAAGGTTATCCACATGCCGGCTAGCCTGGGTCAATCGGAATTGGCGCGGGAACTGCAGGGTCTGCAGGAGGAGCAGTTGGACTGGCAACCTGAGTACATTCGCCTGGTGGGAGCTCTGGTCTACGCCGTGGAGCAGTGCCTCATCCGGCAGTGCTCAAGGGCCATGCGGGTGACCGCCTGGCAACGCATGGATCTGGAGCTGCGCAAGAAGATTCAAACGCTGGCGCGACTCACTGAACCGCTGGATATGAAGCGGCAGAACGGGAAGCCGGTGTCGAAGGCCTTCTCCTTTGGCGGCAGCACACGCAGCCAGGACCTCGTGCAGATCAAGCTGGCCATCCAGGCGCAGACGAAGCGTGCCCATGCCCAGGAGACGTTGCTCTACAAGGCCACGCAGACGCAGGAGGCAACTGGTGGTGGAGGAGTGGGTGTGGGTCATGTGCAGACTGCGGAGAGGGGAGTGCAGGCCAACCATGAGTCCCGCGAGGGAGGCAGTAAGTTTTATATTTGTCATTAGACCTCGGATTTTGCATATTTTCATATTTTTATTGGATAAAGATAGATCGATTCCGAAAACATTAAAGTTCGTTATTTTTTTTGCATAAAATGCATATGCATAAAACATAAAAAATATAAAATAAACTCAACTATTCAAGATTGACCATTTCATAGCCAACCTAATTTACCCAAAGAAAATTGTCTGTTCCCTTTCGTCATTTCTGAGATATGTAATTTTTCCCAAATTTAAGGAAACCCTATTTAAAATAGTGTTTATATTTCCAACAAGCAGACGAAAAGGGGGCAAAAATAGTAAAAGGTGCAGAATAGTTTATGGCCCTATCGGCCAAACTGCTCGTTTAAATTGCTCGCCGTGTTTCCTGAAGGTTCCTTAGAATACCAGAGAGCTGCATTAAAAATGTAAGCCTCCAGTTGTTCGCATATATTTCATATATTTCCGATATGCATTCGAATTTATTACATTTGAAAAATATGACACCTTCCTAGAAACTTGGAAAAAATCGGACCAAAAATAAATATGCAAAATCCGAGGTCTATTTGTCATACTTTGCAAACAATATCTAACTCTGTTTTTTCTTAACCAGGCAAACTGCTCAAATCCAACTCCCGCGCCTACGTGCCACATCGCGCCAGCTCCCAGGTGGCCTCGGAGCGCAACAGCTTGAATTTGCATAGACGCACACAGTCGGAGGCGCCGCCAGTGACGCACAAGAAGCCACAGGCTCCCTTAGCAGAACCCAAGAGTCTCCAAGGAAAGCCTACAGTGGTGACAGCAGCAAAACTTGGTGAAGTGCGTCCCCGTTACCTGGAGCCGCGTAAACCCAGGGCTGCGGCTACAAATGGCCATGGATCCGGACCCGTGCGCAGTGCCACCAGCTCGAGTATTCCCGCTAACGGAGGAGGCGCCCGGAAGGCGCCAGCCAAAAACCTGCACATCTCCTCCAGCGACAGCTCAAGGAACTCCAGTCCGGCGGCGCGAAGAGTGCAGAATGGCACGAGGTTAGGAAACAAATCCAGCAATCTCTCCATGGACAGCTTAGGATCGCCTGCGAGGCGGGCGAAGAGCAGCTCCCGGGGACCACAGACAGATAGATACTCCTCCGATCAGAACTCCCTGGCGGAGAGCATGAAGAGCTCTGTGATTACGAACAAAACGATCTCACACGAGTCGCTTTCGGGCAGCTCAAAGATGGCCAGGATTCAGCAGCTAAATGGTCATGCTAAGGGAGCTTCGCCGGGCAAAGTGAAGGCTACCCAAAGAGGATCCACCGTGGGCAACAAGTCAACGCGGCAGCTGAAGCAGCAGCACAATGCAATGGCCTCCAATGGATCGAGTCCCAGTTCGGTGCACACGACCAAGTCGGCAGCCAGTCGATTGTCTTCCGTTAGCAGCACGCTGTCTACAAGGGAACTCTTCAAGCAGCGCTCCATTTCAGTGCCAGCAGGAGGAGCTGCCGATGGAGCGCCCACTAAGGGACGCCACAGCTTCCTTTCAGCGAAATCCAGAGAAATTCTGGCCAAGCGGGCGGAGAAGAACAAGCTGCAGCAGCAGCAGCAACAGCAGCAGAAGCAAACCGAAGCTCCTCCGGCGGCTGAAGAGCGAGGATCGGTGCAACTCCGCTCCTCCGCCGGCCCCCTGCGCTCCTCCTCACATTCCGCCGTGTCCAGCATGCTGCAGCAGCACAATCTGCGCAACAGTCTGCCCTCCAACATTCCCACCAGGCGCCCAAATACCCTCCATCTCAAGAAGACCACAGCGGCGGCGAATGGAGTGGGTAAAACGGCAACCAATGGACTCTCGAATGGCAGCTACAAATCCGCCCAGGCGGTCAAACAGAAGCTGGACCTGCTCATCGATGCCCAGATGGAGCAGCGCGTGGAGTCGAAGCTCGAGAGATCCAGCACTTTCTGCAAGGATAGCGCTGATTTGGATATAAGTGAGCTGCAGATTGTGGAGTAATCTAGAGAAGAATGAGGAGCAAAAGCATCAATGTGGGGTGGGTATATCTATTAGGCATATAGAAACCAGGAACTGTAAATAATTACTTATATTATATTATCTATTATTATAATCGTTATTTGAGATTTTTATTTTAAAAAGACTAATGTAATATTTTGTTTTAAACGTCAAAAATAACGTTCTTTTTACTCTTCTTAACTTAACTTTTGTTTGTTCATTTCTATAAAGTGCATAAAAACCAGTAAAATTGTTGATTAAAAATTGTACAAATCTTAGTAGGCCTTTTAAAATAAAAATCTGAAATAACGATTATTTACGGTCCCTGATAGAAACCCTTTCTAATTTATTATACCTTTCCAGGTCGTATCAAATATGGCCCCCAACAGAAATACAGATGCCAACCCGAAACCAGAACCGTACACGTCCCATAAGGCAACACTAGTCAATAATCTAGCATGCAGCTGCCGTTGCAGTTTGGCGCATGAAACAAAACAAGCATTATACAATAACGATAATAACGAGATGATGTTACTACCTACCCACAGCAGACAACTAGCGCGATAATTAAATATTCGTTATACCCAGACAGCTGAAGCCGTTTAACCTAACCTACCACTCCGAAATATAATTATATTAGCCTATTGGGAAGTTGGATTGATTGTATGCAAAGCGGATAGACAAAAAAGATAACTGAAAATGAAAACAAGTATTTGGTGATATTATTTAGAGTGCGCTTTATGTTTACGTTAAATGCCAAGCGACTTGTGCTTATTATATAACCCGAACTCTCTACTCAAAGTACGATGCTCTACTATATGCTTTGTGCGCTTTGCAGGCTGCATTTAACATATTTTTCTCTCTCTGTATCTCTCTAACCCGCTTTATTGTCAAAGCCCGCCCAATATAACATTATAATATATACATTATCTGTATATATATGTGAGAAATGGGTTAAAAAACCAACTCTCTCTCTATAATATTTTAAGCTTGAACTTTTTTATACTGTTGTTTATTTAAACTCGTACTCTTAACAATGGCGCATTACTTCAGCAAGGCAACCAAGGAAACGTCGTCTTTAACAAATATTATTTTAAACGAATTAATTTATACATTTTAATTATTTGGTAAATATATAGAACGAGCGAAAGTGAATTTTTGTAAGCAACCGGCATTGATATATTGATAATGAAGTGCAAGAGTAATAAATGTGTGTATTTATTAAAAGTTACCATATAAAAAGAAGAGTTTTATTTACTGAGGGTGAGATGTGTGATTTAAAAAAGAATTTAACAAAGTTACTTGATTAAATGCAGTGACTAAATGATAGATATACTTTCTAAATGTTATTTCTTTTTTTTAGTATAATTCTGATCTATTTCTAATATGATTTATTGACTACAATTAACGTATCATACAAAGCGTGTCTCGCATTCATTCAGGCTCTCCACACAAATGCTAATTACAACCGAAACTGGGACTATATTGTATAGCTATCTGCCACTCAGTCTGTATATTATATATATTATATATATACGGCGCACGGCAGCGATTGTTGGCTAAAATCTAGGCTAAGCTAAGTGGTTACATGAGGGCTAGGACTTCATGGTGAGCACCCAGTCGTTGAAGACATTCCGGCAGTGGATGACCACGCACTCGTTGCTGCAGTACTCGTCCTCCCAGTCGGGATTGATGATGGCCGGCTTGTTGCACTGCTCCCGGGTGCATTTCTGCACGGTGGCCGCCTCGGTGAGCAGTTGTATTTGCTCGGGCGGAGCAGGCTGCTCTGGCTCCTCCACTTTGGGGGTAACTAAGGGTGGAGGGACTATCACCGACTGCTGGGGAACTACAGGTTCTGGTGGAGCCTCCGTTTCGGATAGCTGATGACGATAGTCCCGCATCAAACGCACATAGTCGCGCTTCTCCTGCTCGTGCCGCAAACTATAGACGGTCTTCTGCGTCTCATCGAGTGACTCCCACATGGTCTGCACAATCACCTGCATTTGCTCGAGGGAGCAGGCGGGATTCTGCTGCTTGATGGCGGTCACAGTGTCGCGGAAGAAGAGGGCAAAGGGCGCCAGGGGTTTCGGAGGTGCCTGTAACTGCTGCTGGTGCTCCGCTGGCTGAACCATGAGACTCTGCGATGCTCCTCCTCCACCATATGTGTCGCAATCCTCCTCGTCATCGTCGTCATTCAACATGGATTGATCCAGGCTAAGCATTCTCCGCGACTGCAAGAAACAAACAAAGGGCACACGGTTATTTCAATGATTTAGTGCTTGAAAACCCAGCGTGAGCTCACTAGAAACTTCTTCATCCCAATCGCAGAGTGAGCAACTAAACTATAATGTACAAATCGCTCGCCCAAGCTGAGTTCTGTGTGTGTGGGGAGGGGGGGCGTGGCCGTGGCGAGGGGCGGTATGTGTAGCCTGCGCTGCTGATTGTGCGACTGTGTGTGCGTGCTGTTTGCTGATAAGAAGCTGACGCGGCATTTGTGGACGTTCGCCCAAGCGATAACCCAAAAAGGGGGGAGGGGTGGGGGGTGTAATGGTTGGGGGAGCTCCTCCAGCTGGTCGCCAGCACATAGCAACAACAACAGCTACCGATTCCGATCTCTCTCGCTCATTATAAAACCATTACGGCCATCGATGCGCGGCAATTAAGGCGGGCGGTCGGTCGGCAAACCAAACCGATGGGCAGCCATTCCAGTTGGTTGCTCTGCTCCTCCGGTTGGGAGAGGGAACTTGGATGCACTGCCTCCACTTACTGATTGACTGGGACTCGGACTCTCCGACGGCGTGTCGTTCAGCTCAAACACATCGCCGAATGAGGGAGTGTGGAACTGATTCATGGCAACGACGGCTGGGCGACCTGGCCTCCTGCAATTCTCCCAGGCTTATTTACAAAAAATAATAATTAAACAATTTCCAGGCGTTTTTATTATCGTGTGGGATTAGTGTGACCGCAGGCGGGTATGGGCTAAAAGTTGGGGAGGTGCGTTTTACAACACTGCTTTTGGTTTTGCCATTGGAACTAGTTCGAAATAACTGTCATCAAATTATAATTAAAAGTGTTTTTCATTAAAAATTGCAATTGGTTGCCAATTTTCTTTTTTATTTATAATAAAAAAATCAATGAAACTTTTAAATTATTGATAAAAATTGCAAGTGTTTCCCAACTTGGGTTTTTTGATTGTAAATTAAAACCATTTTTTATTAAATTTAACATACATCATTTTTAACTTTTTAAAATTGTTTTAGGTAACAACAATTGACTAATGTTGTTTACAATTACCAATTAATAAAATACTAACTCGGTACTAGTTCAATACCGGTTCCGATTTTGAAGTACAGTTGCAACCACTCTGCTCAAAAGTCAAAGTTTTTATTAAATTAAGTTTAAATGCATACAAACTAGCGTAAAATTGTATTTTTTGGCCATAGACGGCAAAATTAACGTATGAGAAGGGTGAAAAACATGGCCTGGAGCAACAACGTCCGCTTATTTCTAAAGCTCTCGTCGCAACGTTGTCAGCTCCAAAACATGGGCTCAAAAACCGAGGATTCTGGAGTCCACAAACCGGGAATCTTTGAATCCGACGTCCTGGCGAGTACATCGAATTCCAGGCACATGGAGTGCTTGTTCGCCAAATGGATAACGGACAATAACTCGATTAATGGGGTAAGTCGATTAAGATGTGTACTTATGGCCAAAAGATTCCCTAACTGTCATTTTCGTAGACCTGGCAGCAGTTCTTCAAGGATTTAGTTAAGGATCAAATAAACACGGAAACAAACAATCCCAATTATCCCCATTTTAGGGATAGACCTAACAAAGTATTGACTTTACCGGAAAAGGTTTACTATGTCGGATCCACGGAGAACCATTCAGATAAGGGAATTATTTTTATACCCTTTTCTTTTTCTAGAGAAACAATATTATTTCCCTTTTAAATTAAAGTTACACATATCAATCATCTTATGAAAAAAATCCATTTAAGTTTTAAAATAATATATAATTTAATTACAGATGGATGCTTCATTGCCAGTTAAGAGGCCAGCAATCTCTCCTCCGGTACTGAAGGTTTCGTCTGACACTTTGGAATCCGACTTAAATGCTTGCGTAGTTCGTCCTCAAAAAGACGACATGGAAGTGCTTTCACTCTCGCCGGAAATCAGGACATCAGGAATATACGACTATAAAAAAATTAGTTGCAAAATGCCTGGTTCCGTATTAACAACCAAAGCAGTGGAAAATCCATTTTCAAAAAATATGACAAGGAGAATGTCCCAAAAGAAACCACCAAAGGAGCCTGAAAAATCTTTATCAACTGTGGACAAAAACTTGATGGCTTCAAGGAGATCTAGAAATTCCCGAAATAACTTTCAAAGGAAATACGGGTCCTTTGAAACATTCTTAAAATATTGGCAGCAAGCTTCTGCAAGGGATAAATGTAAACGGCATAATGGTCCAACTATGGTTGTTAAAAAACGTTCTCAAGGTTTTTGTAAACCAAATAAAACCGTGTACTTTAAAAATTATTACGAAAAGAGACTTAAACATGGAAGAAGAAAGATGCCCAAAACCATAAATAATCCAGAAATTAAAGTGCCTTCGAAACCGAAAGAGGAAAAACTGAAGGAACAGTTAGAACCAAATGATTACAATTCCAAATTTGATAAAATCAGATTAAAAACTTTCCCGATAAAAGATAAAAATAGCGCTATAAACAAACTTAAGGACGTTAATGACGCTTTGAAGTCCACTAAAACACCTGAAAAACAAACTTCAGATTCAGAGGAGAACAAAACCAACCGTACCCAAAAAAATAAAAGTGATACTTACGAGACCCTTGAAGAACTAATCGATGATATTGATGACAGCACCTTAAATGAGGATTCAACTGATACAATTCAGCCTGAAAAAGTAAAGGATGGCAGTGAAACATCAAACATCTTAAAAATTACCTTCAAAAAGAAACCTAAAGAATACAAAACTGCTCTTAGGGTTTTTAAACCTGAAGAAAATGTTGAGTCAAAAACAGTTGATAAACAAAAACCTGCTGTACAGCCGAACAAGCCTAAATTAAGTAAACCCATACCCGAAACTTTCAGACCTTTAAGGGTTTTCAATGCCGAACAGAAAGATTCCCCAGATGAAGATAAATCGTGGATATATTTGGATGAGTTAACAGTGAAAAGTCTGCAAAAACCCAATAGAGATACGAAGATAAGCAACTTGAAACTAAAAAGTTCAAAGACTCCTAAAGATATTTAATATTTGGGTGATCTCAAAAATAGTACCATCAAAAAACCTCTCAAAAACCATGAAGAATGAATCCAATAAAATCTCAGCATGTCTTGCTAAAAGTGACTTGCATGCCAGAAATGAAGTTTTGAACTCACACTTCTCCCAGCCTTCACTCCCCTAACACTTTTGGCCTTTCTCTAAATTAATTCAAAATCTACCGGGTATATAGAGTTCCCCATAGAACATGAACCAATGTCGGCTGAGGAGTCTTGTGCGGATGAGACGCTGGGGCACTGACCACCACATCCTCGCCAGACTTGCACTGCGCTCTATACAAACTAGCTCTCGGTTGGATGGATCTGCCCAGGATCTGGACTCCTTCGCCAGCGGCTGCAGTGCCTCCTACATCGAGGGTCTCTATAACAAGTGGAAGCGGAATCCACGGTCTGTGGATGTGGTGAGTTTTTGGGATCTTTTAGGATCCCAATTTTATTTGTAGAGATTAATAGAATATTTTCCTTAATATTTTTGTGAATTATATGATAGTTTATAGTTTTTTTGGTTTATCACATATATCGCTACCTAGAATCCTATATTTTATTTAATCTTTTCCTAGTCCTGGGACGAGCTCTTCAGCGGCAATGAGAGAACTAAGCGTCATCCCATCCGATCCACGCACCCCCGGAAGTACAGACGTCCTCCGGTTGAAAGAACAGCATTAAAAGCTCGTTTGGGCGAGAGAACGGCATCCGGCGGAGGAGCCTCTCCAGCTCCTTCTGCACCTCCCAGCGACTGGAAGAATATCGATGATCACCACACCATCCAGGCCATCATCCGGGCTTATCAATCACGTGGTCATTTGGCCGCCAATCTGGATCCTTTGGGTATTGTTGGGCCTCAGAAAACCACCTCTCTAGATGGCTCCCAACGGCAGGCGGCCAGGGAGGTGCTCCGCCAGCACTACTCCTATATATTTGGTGAGGATTAAGGATAATTTAAGGATTAAAGATCATATCATTTTATATTTAATTGCAGGAGATCTCAATGCCATGTTCAAGTTGCCCTCCTCCACGATGATAGGCGGTGATGAGGAGTTTTTGACATTAAAGTAAGATAAAAATTAATCCAATCCTATATAGCTAACCCCTATATCTTTCCACCCCAGAGAGATCCTGGATCGCTTGGAGCGCATCTATTGCGGTTCCATTGGAGTGGAGTACATGCAGATCAATTCGTTGACCAAGACCAATTGGATAAGGGATAGGCTAGAAAAACCAGGAGGATTGGATTTAACCAAGGATGAGAAGAAGTTAATCCTAGAGCGATTGACTCGGGCAACGGGCTTTGAGAACTTTTTGGCGAGGAAGTTTTCATCGGAAAAACGTTTTGGCCTCGAGGGTTGCGACATCATGATACCCACTATAAAAGAGGTAGTAGACACAGCCACCAATCATGGAGTAGAATCGATCCTTATAGGAATGGCTCATCGGGGACGCTTGAATGTGCTGGCCAATATCTGCCGGAAGTCCATTGCCGACATTCTATCCCAGTTCCATGGGCTAAAAGCCAGCGATTCGGGTTCGGGGGATGTGAAGTACCATCTGGGAGTCTTCCAGGAGCGTCTCAATAGACAAACCAATCGCATGGTGCGCATCACCGTGGTGGCGAATCCCTCGCATCTGGAGCATGTGAATCCGGTGCTGCTGGGCAAGGCGCGGGCGGAGATGTTCCAGCGAGGCGATACCAATGGCAGCAAGGTGCTGCCCATCATCATCCATGGAGATGCCTCCTTTTCGGGACAGGGTGTGGTCTACGAGTCGATGCATCTGTCGGATCTGCCCAACTACACCACTTACGGCACCATACACATTGTTTCCAATAACCAAGTGGGCTTCACCACGGATCCCCGGTTCTCCCGCTCCTCGCGCTACTGCACCGATGTGGCCAAGGTGGTGATGGCACCCATCTTCCATGTAAATGCCGACGATCCGGAGGCCTGCATCCAGTGCAGCCGCATTGCTGCCGACTATAGGAACGAGTTCAAGAAGGACGTGGTCATTGACATAGTGGGCTATCGCCGGAATGGACATAACGAGGCGGATGAGCCCATGTTCACCCAGCCACTGATGTACCAGCGCATCCGGAAGCTGAAGCCCTGCCTGCTGCTCTACGCCGAGAAGCTGATCAAGGAGGGCGTCCTGACGGATGCCGAATTTAAGGGCATGGTCGCGAACTACGACAAGATCTGCGAGGATGCCTGGACCAAGTCCAAGTCGATCAAGAGCATAAGGGTGAGATGACTGATTGGTTTACTGGTTTTTTCTAATTATTCTTTTTAGTACTCCTCCTGGATCGACTCCCCCTGGCCGGGATTCTTCGAGGGTCGCGATCGCCTGAAGTTGTGTCCCACTGGCATCAGCACGGACACCCTGAAGACGATCGGCAACATATTCTCCAGTCCTCCGCCGCCGGAGCACAAGTTCGAGATGCACAAGTGAGTATCTATAGAATTTCTAGGAAACAATACCAAAAATCAGATTTTGTAACAAAAACCACAACAAATTTTATTTTATTTTGAGCAAAACATAGGAAATTGTTGACCAATTATAGAATGCCATACCTTGTTGAACTCGTAATTAAATTCCCAATCGATTGGCATTGAAAACTGAAACTCTAATTTTTGTAAATTTTTTTTTACCTCTTAAAAAATGCAAAAAATGGTAAAAAATTAAATGTTTCAAAAAGTGATGGGGTTCGTAAGCTAAGGTTGTTAGCTGTTCAAAACTGTAGATTTTTTAACTATGCGCCTTGATTTGACTAAAGTACCATAAAAAAGCTTAAAAAAAATTTTTTTTTGTCTAAGATCAGTATTCTTCCTACTTGTTTCGACCTATTTTCGTAGGCTATACATCTTCGTTAGGTTTACTGCTAAGATTGTATTAATTTACTGTTGATACAGTTAGTTCTCCGTTAATTAGCGAACAGTTAGTTCATAACTACATAACTACAAAAAATTTTTATTTTTAGAACAAATTTATTATGTAAATATTTACTCCTTCAAATATATCCATTATTTTAACTCCCTACAGGGGCATCCTCCGCATCCTGGCGCTGCGGAAGCAGATGGTGCAGGACAAGGTGGCCGACTGGTCGCTGGGCGAGGCCTTCGCCTTTGGCTCCCTCTTAAAGGAAGGCATCCACGTCCGCCTATCCGGTCAGGATGTGGAGCGCGGCACCTTCTCGCACAGGCATCATGTGCTGCACCACCAATCCGCCGACAAGGTTGTCTACATCGCCCTGGATCACCTGTACCCCGACCAGGCGCCCTACTCCGTGTCCAATAGCTCCTTGTCCGAGTGCGCCGTCCTGGGATTCGAGCACGGCTACTCCATGGCCAGTCCCCATGCGCTGGTCATGTGGGAGGGTCAATTTGGTGACTTTTGCAACACGGCGCAGTGCATCATCGATACTTTTATAGCCAGCGGAGAGACCAAGTGGGTGCGCCAGTCGGGAGTGGTGCTGCTCCTTCCCCACAGCATGGAGGGCATGGGTCCGGAGCATTCCTCCGGGCGGATTGAGCGCTTCCTGCAGATGAGCGACGACGATGCGGATGTCTATCCGGATACCTGCGATGCCGACTTTGTGGCCCGCCAGCTGATGAATGTCAACTGGATCGTGACGAATCTCTCCACGCCCGCCAATCTCTTCCACTGCCTGCGACGCCAGGTGAAAATGGGCTTCCGCAAGCCACTGATTAACTTCTCGCCCAAGTCGCTGCTCCGCCATCCGCTGGCCAGGAGTCCCTTCAAGGACTTCAACGAGTGCAGCTCCTTCCAGCGGCTCATCCCGGAAAATGGGCCAGCTGGCAAACAGCCCGATTGCGTCAAGAAGTTGGTCTTTTGCTCTGGCAAGATATACTATGATCTCTTCCAGGAGCGCGATGACCACGAGCAGGTGGAGTCTGTGGCTCTGGTGAGGGTAGAACAGGTGAGATAGTAGTAGAAGTTGTTATTATAAACAAAATAGAAATATTGATATCATATATTAGTTTGATATTATAATGAGTTCTTATATAAATCGAAGATTAATTGAATACAACAATTCTTTAAAAAAATAAGACCGCGAATTCTTATGAGCAAGAGGAACTAATATTCCTTAAATGGAAAAAATCTTTAAAATACTAGGTAAATGTCAAATGTTAATATCAACTTGATATTATTAGTAGTACCTTATTTTATATTAAGTATATTCTAATATCAAATTGATATTAATGAGATAAATGAAAAAAAGAAATGAGATTAATATAAGTTTGATTTAATAATGAATTCTTATATAATTATAAGACTATTTGAATACAACAATTCTTTAACAAAAAAAAGACCGCGAATTCTTGAGTACAAGAGGCACTAATACTCCTAAAATGGAAAATTCTTTAGATTACAATGAAAATGCCAAATGTTATCATCAACTTGATATTCTTAGTAGTACTATATTTTATATATAGTTCATTATAACATCAAATTGATATTAGTGATATCAAGTAGTTATATATTAACCATAATTCTACCTAATCCTCCAGCTGTGTCCCTTCCCCTACGACCTGATCAGCCAGCAATTGGAGATGTATCCAAAAGCAGAGCTTTTGTGGGCCCAGGAGGAGCACAAGAACAGTGGTGCCTGGTCCTATGTGCAGCCTCGTTTCGATACCGCGCTGCTCAAGAACGAAAACGAAAGGTGAGTACACATATGTAAATGCCATAGATAATCCATCTACAAATGCCAAGGTGCAATGCAAGGAGACCTTGGGCTACTCCCCTTTTCTTACGGGTGATTCAATTCAGGTGCGATTAACGTTGACGCACCTTCAGAGTGTCAACCCTCCTCGTCCTCCGCCTCCTTCTCTTCCTCCACTTTGCATGACACCCCTAGAATTCCCGAGGTGGTAAGATGGCGACGGGCTGCGTCGCCGTGTGACGCCATCTTTGGCGCTCATGGCGATGGTGATGGTGATGCTGATGGCGATTAGCGATGGTGACACCTAAGCCAAAAGCATGCCAACATCAGAGGATTTCGCTTTAATTGTTTTTGCTTTTCGATACCGAGTATTTGATGGGGAGAGGGGTATATCTTTTAAGTGGTCTTGCTTCATGATAAAGTCTATCAAAATATGTTTTAACTTTTTTATCTTAACTAACCAAAAATTTCGAAACACATTTTTTAAACTCTTTAAAAATCTGAAGAATCAGAAATATTTAACTTCTACGATTATAGTTATAGACTCTCTTAGAAAAAGTGATTCAAATTTTGTTTAGGACTATAAAGAATCAAATCTTAAAGAAAAAGATTTTCTAAATTTTACATTTCTGAATATTCAAATATTTTCTATAAAGATTTTTCATATCTTATCTTTAGGGTAAATTATGATTTTCAGTCGGTAAATTATCTGAAAATGTTTATATTAGTATTAAACTATAATTTTTCACTTTTCAATTCAGATTCCACACTCTCCCCTTGTTTTGCTTCAATTAAAATCGGTTACTATAGTAACATATCAATAGCAGATACTATAATATATGTACTAAAAATACCAGCCTCTAATCATTGTCACTTGTTGTATCTTCGTTTTCTGTTTTAATCAAACGTGTGCCAAGCGAATTCGAGGTTGCTCTGCCCTAAAGATTTACAAACGTGTGGACTGTTTCTATAAACTATGCCAAATATACGGTTGTGTATATATTTTCGTATCGCAGAAGGTGTAACGCACTTGGCCTCGTCAGAGTTCAGATGGCGCCCCCCAAAAAGTTCGTTTCCTGGCTCGATGTTTACTATATGGTTGGTTTATTACTATAATAAAATGGGGGGTGTTGGTAATCGATGAAATATGCGGGTTCATGGATCGTGGGCTGTCGTCTTCATACGATTAATTGCCAGTCGAAGACGAAGACTCCAATAATTTGTTCAATTTGGCAAACTGCGTTGTTAGTAATTGGCCCGGTCGGAATGGCCTCGTTGCAGATAGAAAGATAGAGGTCGAGATCATCGAGATCTGGGATCGCGGACAGCCATGTCGATGTTGGACATCGCATTGTATTCATGGGTGCGACTAGAACCACAAAAAAAACTGGCGCAAGGAACTTGGCACAGATTCGATTCGCGGCGTTTGATACCGAAACACCCAGCCCCTTTCTCTCTCTTTTTGCCTTATAGACGGGGTCTTTTGGCCACATATCTCGCCTCTCCACGACAATTTTATTTTATTCGCATGCGGATCCCCAACAATGGTCCCTAATAGCGCCTAGTGCTGCGCTAGATTTCTGCTCTGATTTATGGAAAACAATATTGCTTCCCTAAAAACATTTCTGAGCGGAAAAAATATTCAAAATAATATGTATGTAATATATGATTTCATGTGTAACCGCGAGGACTCTTCTGCTCTGCACTTGAAATCTTTGATGTTTATGTTGTTTTGGTCTTCATAAGTGTTCCCAACTATCGCTAAACTCGAAATTCCGAACATATAGAATGAAATGTGCTTTGTTTTTCAATTGCTTTTTGTGCAAAAATGTAGGTGCACTGGAAAAATGCGGGGTTTCTAGACAGGTTTCTAAAATTTATTAGATAATTAATATGATATATTAAAAAATATTATAATGGGATCTTTTTTTGTGTCTAGAATTTATGTAACATTTTATAATTACCCATTTGACTTGCTCAATTAGATTTATTAAATATTTTTAAAACACCTAGACACTTGATTTAATTTGATATATTTATATTACCTGTTGAATGATTAAACAAAAGATGTCATTTCTTATTATTTCCTTTGTTTACCTTTTTGCCTTAATTTATTCGACATTCCCCTGACAATAGACATGAATTATGAATTTTTCCTGTGTACTCGTTACCAGACATACATAATGTCTTGATCGCACATACAATATATAAATATATACGTATAGTACTCGGTTGCCAGCCCCGAAAATTGAATGAAAATCCCGCCAGAGGCCTTAGGAATGTAGCATATTCGCAGGTCTACTATATCTATATGATGTGGCATGCCCGATATGTTTATTGCTGGCATGTGTGTTGTGTGTTGTTTCCCGAGTTCCTTTGTTGTTTTTGTCAGCGTGAATTAAAATCTCTGGTAATTGCGAGAGATATTCTCGCAAAAGAATTCTTAAAGCGCCGAACCGAACGCCTTGACAATCAATTATGAGAAATGTCTGTCCGATGATCTTGGGGTGGTAATGTTTTTGTTTTATGGATCTATATATCTGTAGAAATAACTAATGCAGGCCACTGCACGGCAAAGCCCGCCAAAGTTTTATTAATGGCACGCATTTCTCATCTGGTATCTGTTGGGTTATTTCGGGGTTCCATCATCGACATTGATGATTGTGTTTGCCGATTGAGATATATTGTTTTATTGTTCATTCATCGAAATCACCAGTTGCGACTTTATAAATAACCCCGAAAACAAGAAGCATCAATCGCCGAGAGGAAAGCATCGGAATAAACAGATCCATAAAAGTTTTATGAGTAATTGGCTTTGGAACTCGGAACTATAAATAGAACCATCTCGCATAACTGAAATATTTTCCGCTTTATTTAACATTAAATAGCTTGTTTATAATTACACATACAGAGTACTCTTAAGATGTAAACGAAAGGCCTGGAATAAGTTACACTAAACACTAGGAGATAACACTAAGATTTAAGATCTAGGATCTACGTAAAGTGACTAGGACTAGGACTAAGGTCTAAGGTCTAAGGACGAATCACTATAACATAACTGAATGTCGAGTTGAGATCCTTAAAAAATTACCTCGCATGGCGAATGGAAATTTTTTAATTCCACTCAAAGATGGCTGGACACTGGACACACCACTAGGGGTGGGCTATCTATATATATATACCCTTTATAAGGTATATCTATCATCTATCTACACCATGTTCCATATGCTGTAGCTGGCCGCCCGTCGCTCCTCCTCGGCCACCTGTTCGTAGTCGATTTCCAGGTACTCCTTGTTCCCGAAGCGCACTTTTCGCCCAGTGTACTTCTTTATATAGCTCACGTGGGCGGGCACCTCCTTGCCCTCGATCTCCAGCTTGTACGAGATGCTGGTAATCCTCTCCAGCACTCGTCCCCGCTTCCAGCGCACCTGGGTCTTGCGATAGCGTTCGGCATACATCACCAGATCCCCGATCTTGTACTCCCTTATGTGCAGGCAGGATTTGAGGGGTTCTGGCTTCTCCTCTTCCGGTGGAGTCACCTTGCTATCCTCCTGCTCCTCCTCGTCATCCGTTACATAGGCTATGGCCCGCTCGATGGTCTCCACCTCGGGAATGACGGGCTCCTCGGGCTCCGGCTGGAGGAAGAAAGTGTCGCCAACGGAGAGGCGTCGCTTCTGCCGCTTGATGATCACCTTCTTTTTGACTTTCCTGGGTTTTTTGGGTTTGGGCGCAGGTTCTTCTATGGGTTCGGTTTCTGCCTCCAGGATTTCTTCATTCTCCACAGGAGTTTCCTCGAGAGGAGGAGCTACTTCTTCGGGCTTGGGTTCAGCAATAGCTATAGCCTTCTTTTCCTCCTCCTTGGGTTTCACCTGCTTCTTGGGCGGCGTAAGCTTGTTGATCCTGGAGGACAGCTCATTGATCTTGTTGCGATCCCTGAGTATGTTGCTCAGCTTACTAGGGTCCTGCTTTTCCTGCTTCACCGGCTGCTCCTTGTCCAGGGAATTCTTGCGCACCAGTTTCTTGAGATTCGCAGGCTTTTTCTTCGCTAGAACCTCCTGGATTTTCGCCTCATCCTGGGTGTGCTCCACCGTCTCGATCTTGACCGGCTGCACCGGACCGGCGAGTACTTTCAGCTCCGGCATGGCGGCTAGACTGTCGCCGCTTGGCGCCTGTTCTCCGGCTTTTGTAGCCTCTGCGGTCGATGAATCTTCAGCCGACGATTCTTCGTGCCTCAATGTCGCTGCTATTTGCGGATGCACAATGTCAGCGGCGATGGCCACCTGTTGCAGCTCCTCCTTCTCCTCCTCTTGATGACTGATGGGTTCTTTGGACTCTGGTTGCTTTGGTGCTGCTGCCGGCACCACCAGCACCGTTTCACCCACCAACTCCGCTAGTTTCAGGCTGGCGCGTCTGCTTCGATCGCCTGCTGGCGCTAGATTGGCAATCTCTAGACGATCAGCATCGATTGGAGGTGCTTCTACTTGTATTGCTGCTGCAGTTGTAGCCGCTTCTCCTTGGTCGCCGCTCTTGGCACTGGGCAACTTGGCTGGCACCACGCTGACCTCCACCGCCTCCTCTTTTATCGCTGCTCTTGGGACTGTTTTTATATCTGTAGAGGCGACTGCAGATGCCGCCGTGTCGCCCATCAATTTCAGCTTCTTCTTGCACTTGACAATCGCTTCGGAATCGGAGGGTCGTCGCTGGGCGATGAGAGCATCGCTCTGCTCGACGAAAGGCTCCACCTTGATCTTGGATGGCTCCACGGCGGCGATCGAGGCGCGTCTGGGGTTCTTCACCTTCACGATGACTTTCTTCTTGATCTTGGTGCTGCTCGGTGGTTGCGATGCGGGTGATGACTCATCTGGCGGGGTCTCTGAGGAGGTGGCATCTATATTTGTTGTCTCTTTAGATTCTTTGGGGGCTAATTCCTTATGAACCTTTTCTTTGTGGGTAGCCTTTTTGGAAGAGGCTTCTTTGTGAGTTGCTTTTTTATGTTTTGCTTCCTCTGGAGGAGATTCCTTCGTAGTTTCTATCTTGGAAACTGTTTCTTTCGTAGTCAAATCCTTGGATGCAGCTTCTTTTGGCGATGATTCCATGGTAATTGCTTCCTTAGAGGTTTCATCTTTGGTAGTTTCTTTTTTGGTAGTGTCTTCCTTGGTTATTTCTTCCTTGGGAGTTGCTTCCCTAACCGATTTTGACTTGAGTTCACTTTGCACCTTGGCCAGGAACTCAATTTTGGCCTGGGTTTTACTCTTCTCAGCTGGTTTGATTTGTTCAGGTGTCATTGGTAATTCTCCATTTATTTTGGGTACCTCTAGTTTTTCCTCGGAGATTTTGGGATCTAGAGCTTCTTTGATATGAGATTTTACTTCGTGATCTTTAATGTTTTTCTGTTGTTCTGAATCTCCAATATTTTCTTTAATTTCTTGGGTTCTTATACTAGTAATATTACCATCTAAATTATCCTGATCTTTAGGTGACTTGGTATCCTGATTTTCCAACTCTTTGGTTTCTTGATTTTCATTGATTTTGATATCTTTTGAAGGTGTCTCAAACTTTTCATTAGATTTGATCTCTTGGTTTTCACTGATTTCCTTCTTTTTATTGGCTTGGTCCTCTGGTTTTTCTGGAACCTCTGAAAGATCTCTAGCAAAGGGTGTCTGTTCTCTTTGGATCTTGGTATCCTGAGTAGTTTTCCCAGCTTCCTCCTCTTTGATTTCTTTTTCAGTAGTGTCTATTTTATTTTCCTGGCTCTCTTTAGTTGTAGAGTCATTTTCCTGCTCCTTTTCCTCTTCGGCCTCATCAAAGTAGCTGCGTCGTCGCACTTTCTTTACAAAACGAAAGGCAATGGGAGCAGGTTCTTCATCTCCTCCTGGTTTCAATTGGGACTGTTCCACCGACGCCGCTCCTTCCGCTTCACTTTCCGTGCTGTACTGCTTGAGGACTCCCTTGACTTCACTGAGTGCCCCAGAGATCCTTGCCTTGAGTTTATTTAACCTCTCTATGACATCCTCTGGTTTCTCCTCCACGGAATCCTGCGAACGAACGCGTCGCTGGCGTCTTAAGCGAGTTCTTTCGGGCAGCACTGAATCCGCATCGATGGAGGAGGAGATGGAGGAGATGCTATCCCTGCTAATAGAGGTGGGTTTCAAATCCCTTAGGAGAGGAGCATGGGTAAGATGAGTGGTGGAGGGGAAAGCCGTCGCACTTGGAAGCTCCACATTGCGTATACGACTAGAGGTACTTAGTCTGCTAACGGGGGATTCCCTTTGAGGACTTCTGCTGGGCAGTGAAGGACTCGCTGTCTTAAGTTCGTACTTCATTTCGCTGGCTAAGGGTGCTTCTATGATATTATTACTATTATTATTATGGTCATCCGCTTGGTCCGCCGGCTGTTGATCGAGTTGCTCGGCGGGATAAACGTCGACGGTCGTTTCTGTCTCCCGCTCCTCGCTGACTTTGCTCACGGTCATGTCCGCTCCGGCGGCTGGTGACTCGCTCCAAAGGTTACCCGTGTCCTGATGATACTGATTATCCTCTTTGGGTTGCTTACAAATCAATTCAATGGCCTGGGTTAGAAGGTCGAGCAGCTCCCAGTCCCAGTCGCTTTGCCAATTCCAATCCCAGTAGTTCCTCTCGTCGAGGAAAACGCGCACGGAACTCTTTAGTAATTCTATATTTGGCTGGGGATTCGGATTCGGATTCGGATTCCTTAGCGGTTCAAGATTCCGCTCGCGGAGATTCACGGCTAGTTGCTTCTCTGGCGACGATTCGCGGCCGTCTGAGAGGTGGTTGCTATAGCCATTCCCCATCCGATGCCCATCTATTGTCTGCTGCTCCCTGGCCAAACATATTGACTGCTGATGCTTCTGCTGCCTCTCGAAATCTCTCATATTTGCCTCATTATGATCTTCGGCCTTCTCTAATTTGCTTTGCTCGCATATTTCGCGTTTATTTTTGGCCAAATCCGCGCTAATGGCGTCGTCGTTTTTGTGGTCGTAGTTGTGTCGCTTCTCCCCGAAGGCGTCATTAAGATTTTCCGCCTGTTGATGCTCGATTTCCCTTGCCACGTTCAAGTTTAATGCGAAAGCCTCCCCCTCTTCTTGCCCGACCTCGAGTTCATTATCAAACATCGGAGGCACCTTATGTACACCACTGGCTGCTCTTGCTCCTCCTCCATTTATTTCGAGGCCCGGCTGCGTCATCGTTGTTTTTGTAGTGGGTGCCTGTAGCTGTAGTCGTGGCCCATCTTGAGGCATTGCTCGATAATTGGGAAAGCTAACAAATCGTTTTTTAATTATGGGAAATTCCTGGGGCGCCTCCTTCTCAGTGGGTGAGCCGGTGGCCACCTGTGCGTCTCGCCGGCGGGTCATCGTAGTGCTGATTTCTGGGAAGAAGCCATCGGAATTTTTGCGGGGCAGCTGCAGGAGTTGAGGGAAATTAAGGCGCCACGGTGCGTATACTTGTTGTAGGGGGAAGGTTGGTCTATACGGGGCGTATACTTGATGTGTGTTAAAAAGTATAATTTCACTGGTTTCTCTAGGGATTTCTGTTTCTAATTGGTAAACAGAGGCTACTTCCCATTGATACAAGGGAAATCCCTGGTTTATCCTGAGATTCAGATGCATGGGAAACTTTCCTGCTTGAATTGGTTGGAAATATGGCTGACATATTTGTATTTTCCTGCTGTAATTCGAGTGATTCATGGGTAAACTCTTCGGCCAAGTGGTTTCTTTTAGGTTAACCGGAAATTGCCCTGCCATTCCGAGCACTTCCGGCGACGTTTTTGACCAACAAAACACCGCTGACTCAGCGGCAGTCGACTGATTTACGATGCCATCTAAAAACATCTGCGAATTATGATTATTATTAGCCGCTGCCTGCGACATTGATGGCGTCTGCTGATGCTCCTCCTCCCTCGATCGCTCCTCCGAATCTGTCATCTTGTGGGCCTTCTCCTGACCTATTCCCGTGGCCCAGAACACGCGACCAAATCGAGCTTGTTCCTCCGTTCGCACTCGACTATCTTTCACTCAACACGCTGCAAGCGAAACTGGCGCAATCCGTCGGCGGGAGCACCAAAGATCCAACCCATCTAGGAATCTAGCAATCTGAGAATCCGTTCCCTGTGGCTGCGCCTCGCTGGCAAGCAGCCGATCATTGATCAGTCTGCAATCTATGTAATTGCAAACGAATTTTATGGTGCACAAGGTGCAAAAATAGCGAAGTGTTAATGCCCTGCAGATAAGTTGCAAAATGTTAGAATAAAAATACATTTATACTAAAAACAAAAGAACATGCTTAAAATTTTAGAAAAATAATAATATTTCCAATATAAATACAAATCATTTCGCAAAAATATAGTGTTTGTAAATCTCAAATAAAAAAGAACTTAAAATATACCATTAAATACAATAAATCAAAATCACTTCATATACCTACACTTGTTTTCTTAGCAGAGGTAAACATTATTTTTAATATCTGCCTAGTGTTTATACTTATATATAATTTATTCAAATAAACATAAAAAGCGCTTCTCCAGATTTCTTTCACTCAGAAAATACAAATTTCAAATATATTTGGACATGTCTTTAAAACCACTTAAATGTTGAAAAGCATAACAAATAATTTTCTTATTCTGTAGAAAACAGTAATATCTTTTGCTTAACTTAAAAATATTGTAATAAATACAATTTAATGTAGAAATTTGTGTTTATTTTATGAAGAAATTCTATAAAACCATAATAATTTATAATTGTGCATTACAAATCCCGAAAAAATCCTACAAATTAAATATATCTTTGGGAACCCCCTTTCGATTATCTGCAGGGCATATCAATGTTGATAGGTCTCGTAAGACAATTGAAATTGCAGTCTGGTCAGCAGAGGTTGCGCGTGTTTCCGAACCTAGACAGACCGAAGAAACGCGCTCTTCTAGATCTCTAAATATATATATATAGGCGGCCACTATATAGACTGAATAAATATGTCAGCTTGCCAAATTGCTTTTTTGCAGGCCACCAAAAAAGAACGATAGGCAGGGAGACTGAATAAAAATCGCGTCGCCCAACGCCAATGCTATTGTTTAAATAGATCTCTGGGCGACGGGGGAAACCGAAATACTGGGTGCTCCTTAAATGATTATAATCTTTAACTAACGATCCAATCCTCAGCCGCTGCGTTTCCTATCATGGACGACCGCCCAGCTCCTCGCCAGCCACTGGAAACAAGGTGCAGCACAAGAACGAGTACAAGGCCATCATCAAGAGCATTTTCGGGGAGCTGACGCCGGAGAACAAGAAGCGTCTGGAGGATAAGATCAAGGAGCAGCAGGCTAAGGCCAAGGCGAACTCTGGTAGCAAGCCAACTCCGCCAGCAAAGGGCGGTTCGTCGCCAGCAGGTAAGGGCGATTCTGCAGGCAAGAAGAGATCCGGTTCCGCTCCAGCTTCGTCCATTGCTCCTACAGGTCCCGCTCCAGCTGCAGCAGGTCCCGCCCCTCGAAAGCCATCGATTTCGTACCCAAGTAGGCCTCCTCGAGGGGAATCTGCAGGCAAGAAAAGGATGACTTCGGCTCCAGGCATGGATTCAGCTCCTCAAGATTCAGCAGCGCGAAGTCCAAGCAGAAACCCAGCTTCTCCTGCCCACGATGGTGTATCGCCGTCAACTAGGGATGAATCCTTAGCCAGGAGAAGGCCAGGTTCCGCTCCAGCTCCAAGTCCGACTACCACAGCTTCAGCTGCTCGAACGGCTCCACCTTCTACTGCATCTACCAAATCTTCAACTGTTCGGAGTCCATCGAAACTAGAGTTTATTAAGCGCAAGCCTTCACGAGATCCATCAGTTAGTAAGAGCAAAACCCAGAAGGTTCCCCAGGAAACTCCAGTCGATCCAACAAAGCCGGAGCCCTAGCCACATCCAACATCCTTCTACACTTATCTCCAAATCTTTGCGTGCAATAGTAACCTTCTATAGTCCACCCAAATAAACGATAGGCAGTAATTACAGAAAGAAAATACATATAAAACTTTACTTGTAATATCAACAACTCTCGGAGGCGACTCCTCCAACGTCCATGGGGTCCTCAGTACTTCCAGAAGTTCGGGTTCTGTTCCATGCGGCGCTGGAAATTCGTATACCAGTTCTGGACGACGGCGAAAGGCACGAAGGTTTCGCTCGAGGCGGGCGGAATGTCCCTGGCTGAGACGCCGAAGCTGGAGGCGTAGTTGAAGAAGTTCTCCAGCATTCGCTGGCCGAACTGTTTGTTGTCGTTGGCAGTGGACTGTAATAAAGAAGAATATTAGGGATTAGTGAGATGTAACATATTTTTAATAAAGAGAAATATAGAATAACTTAGGCTATAAAGTATATAATATTACTATGATATTATATGAAACATAATATTTCATATTGACAGTCTTTGTAAGGACGAGTTCTATATGATCTATATTTAATAAAGAGAAATATAGAATAACTTAGCTTAAAAAATATATAATTTTACTATGATATGATATGGAACATAATATTTCATATTGACAGTCTTTTTTAAAAACGAGTTCTACATGAAAACTATATATCTAAACTAGGGCTTGACAAAATTAGTGTTTTATGAGAACATAAGTTATTAAACAATTAGTTATATAGCGATAGTTAGGATTATAAGATTATTTTAAGATTAAATAGGTTGTTTTTCATGAATTATACAATCTTAAGAATGATAAAATAGAGGGATATAAATCTCTTATAACTAAAGTTATATAAAAGAAAGAAATCTACACAACTTGAATCCGCTTTTTCTAGATATGATAAAGCTACAAATCATAATCCCCTCCAGAACTTACCACCGCTGGCGTCTGCTGGGCCACCGTTAGCTCCGGTTCGAGCGAGACTCCAATCTGGGCGATGTGCGAGATCTCCTGGGTGCCGAAGACCATCCCGTGGGAGTGGGCCTCCAGCTCGTGGCTCTTCTTCAGCTGGGCGATCTTGAAGATGGCGGAGGGCTTGTTGTTGTTGATGTGACCCAGGTACTGCCATGTGGGCGCCGCATTCGCGTCCGGCCAGCTGAAGTATATCGCCGCCGAGGTTCCGACGGGCAGTGGGGAAACGCCGGTGAGGAAGATGACGAGGTAGTTGACGGATTCTATGTCGGGCACATTGACCAGCAGCTTGGTGGCGTCCACGGCCACAAAATCCGATTGCGGCAGGCGTCCGGAGATAATCAGACCAAACATCTTCGATTTTGAGCGGATTTCTGGACTGTTCCAGAATTCAGATGTGTCGGTTTTTGGAGGGGTAGCTATAAAATGGAACTACCAAACAGGAACTAGTTCGTTGTGGTTCCATTTATTACTTAAAGTTTTTGAATTTAAAGTTTAAAGAGTAAACTTCTTACCATAAATAAAAAATAAATATATTTTAGTTTGTTCAGAATTTAGTTATTTAATAATAGTAATGCCCATAAAATATATTTTAATTATATTTTTTACGAACTGGAACCAGCTGAACCAGTTCCTCAGCCGCAACCCTCTCTTGCCATTCACAACGAAACGGCCACACTAAACAGCTGACGCTGCGTGCGAATGCAGAAAAAAAAAGAAACACAGGGACGGTGCAAAAGAAGAGGGATTTTATTTTGATTTCGCCTGGCAATTGAGTAATGGCCGGACTCCTCCATCTGACCAAGCAGTGCAGCATCCATCTACCCGCCCACCTGGGACGCGCGAAATGCTACACACTCGCTAAGGGAACGGGCGTCCACGTGCAGGCAAGAGTGGTGAGTGGTGCGCGGGGTGCTCCGGCTCTAGAGTTCTAGAAACCCATTTCAAGGCCACATGCCAGACTATCTAGACTATAGATTACGATTTCGTAATTAGGCGTAGAATACGCAATGAATTGGCGGTTTGATCGAGTGGCTAATCAGTCTGCGTGTGCGTTGTTTTGGTACTCTATCCTTATCCCTCCTGAATTCTGGCTTATTTCGTTGCAGCAAGCATAGATCTCTTATCTTAGAGAAAACCAAAACAGCGCACACGTAGAGAGACTAGGAGGATCTAGTGATCAGGAACAGGGAACAATGGGTCGCACACAGCGTCGCCGGCTGCAGAGGGCCAAGAAATCTGCAGGGGATTCGGGATCCTTAAAGGATCTCTACATTCAGCTGCACTCCCTCGGCTGGCAGAACCACACTCACTTATCAGCCCAAAACTTTGACCAAACTGGACGAGGATTGTGCTCCAAACAGGATAGCTTTTCCCCGGAGGACGAGCTCATACGCCTGCCCGTTGGTTGCCTCATAAGCATAGCCACTTTGGAAGCGGACCAAGCATTTAAAAACCTCTTCAACAAGGAGCTATTCGACAAGGACTCCAGGATTTCCTTTCAGGCTCTGCTAGCCTGTTATCTTCTGTACCAAAAACACCTGCAGGAGTGTTCCCTGCACTCCATTTACTCCGCCTACTTGGACACCCTGCCCAGGAGCTACTCCACTCCCTATTTCTGCTCCATACCCGAGCTGCAGTGTCTGCCGGAATCTCTGCTGGAACGCACTGTGGCCCAGAATCGCCAGATTAGAGGCTACTTTGAGATAATCAAGAGTCTGATCCTCAATTGCGACTGCTGTGGAAGGAACTACGGCCAGGAGATTTGGTCCCTCGCGGAATTTAAATGGGCCTACTTCACTGTAAACACCAGGAGTGTCTATCTGAGTTCCCGCTTTCTCAAAAAGCAGAGCAGTCACTTTCAAGATCTAATCAGTGGCGATACAAACATGGCATTGGCTCCCTTTCTGGACCTCTTCAACCACTCGGATAGTGTGCAAACCACTGCCCAAATTGAGGGTCTGGATTATGTCCTCACACTAAACTCTCTACCTCTGCAGAAGACCAAACCCTATGACCAATTGTTCATCAGCTATGGAGCTCTGTCCAACTTTAAGCTACTAACAGAATATGGTTTTTGGCTAAAGGGAAACAAAAACGACTACTTTGAGTTCTCCCTGCTGGACATCGAGCACATGGTTAAGCACAACAAGGAGCTGGCCACGCAGACCTTCCACCGCAACATCTTCAAGTTCATCAGGGAGCACAATCTGCACGATCAGATGTTCGTCCACATCGACGATGGCTGCTCCCACAATTTACGGGTGGTTCTGCACCTGATCTTCAAGCAGCAGGCCTACTTTCCCAACATCCTCAACCAGATTGCCTTCGGTGACGCCGAACAGTTCGAGGATGTGCAGCCAGAACTCTCTTATTTGGTGGAATATAAAATAAAGGAGTACCAAATCTTCGGGGAAGAACTGGATAAACTTCCCAAACTGACGGAGAGTGGTTCGGTGGCACGATCTTACCTGCGGGAGTGCATCCGTTACCTCAGCGACTTTCAAAAGAAGCATTCAGCGGAATAGAAGTAATCTATTTAAAGGCTTAGCTTTCGAATCAGTACTTAAAGCATTTTGTTGTTTAGGGATCGTTAATGTAGAGATAGGAATTTGAATACTAATATTTAACACCTTAAAAATTTGAATTAAAGTTGATTGAATATTTTTCTATATTTGTAATAAATCCCAGAAAACTTTACACCATCATTTGTAATTTCTCTACTTAAACTTATAACCTTTCAGCTGAAGCATCCTCCGGAATAGAAGTAATTTAGTTAGAGGCTTAGCTTTCAAATCAGTACAAAAGCATTTTGTTGTTCAGGGATTCATTAAAGTAGAGATAGGAATTTAAATACTAATTTAATTCTTAAAGAATTCGAACTAAAATCTTATAAATGTTTTCTATATTTGTAATAAATCCCAGAAAACTTTAAACAACCATTTGTAATTTCTATACTTGATTTATAACCTTTCAGCTGTACTCTTCGCTGGCCAAGGTGGATGATCAGAGCAGCAGCGATGCCAAGCGAAAGAAGATAACCCCGTTTACGCCCACGCCGGGCAGCAAGCTTCTGGGTGGAGTATTTGGCAAGAAGGCCAAAGGTAGGTTCGCCTAGGAATTTAACCCAGCTATTAACCAATGCCGGACTTTCTGCTATTAACACGGCCTTATTATTATTTAGTACTAGCCACTCACGCTTCTTTCTACTCATGTATTGACTAACCCAAAAATTGATTTTGTTTTGTGGGCCGAGTAACCCCTAGTCGGTCAATGCCCGTTTGTATTTGTTTGTTTGTTTGTGCGCTTGTTGTGTTGAGCGCCTGTCTCTGAATTTCGGCTGCATCCAAGTGAATTCAATGCAGGTGGAGCCCCAGCAGCAGCAGCAAAAACAACAACAACAGCGCTACAGCGGCAGCGACAGCGACTTTACCGCCCACAACAACAGCAATCACGACAATGTCATGTTCATTTAGGGGGCGGCAGCGATGGCGGCTCGGGATTGGGCAAGCTGGACGCACCGGAGGTCACCTCGCAGGATATGCTGCGCGCCATGATGGCCTACATTTGGCCGAAGGAGGATCCGCTGGTAAGGAAGAGGTGAGTCTGACTATTATAGGAGTAAGCAACATTTTTCTCTTAATTAATATTTATTTTCACCTTGTAGAGTGGGCATTTCCCTGGGTCTCTTGGCTGGCTCCAAGCTGCTGACCGTCTGTGTGCCCTTCCTGTTCAAGGGAGCGGTGGATACTATGACTACCCTCAACATGGACACTGCTCCGGATGCTGTGCTCTCTGCAGCCACCGCTTTGATGTTGGGATGTTAGTAAAGATAAACCCAAAGTATCTAAATAAATCCTAACTATCTATGATCCCCAGATGGCATTGCTAGAGCCAGTGCAGCGGGCTTCAACGAGCTGAGAAATGCAGTGTTCGCCAAGGTGGCTCATCACTCTATCCGCAAGATCGCCAGCAATGTGTTCCTGCATCTGCACAACCTGGATTTGGCTTTCCATTTAAACAAGCAAACAGGAGCGCTGTCAAAAACCATAGATCGCGGATCGAGGGGCATTAACTTTGTGCTCTCCGCCATGGTCTTCAACATAGTGCCCACCATCTTTGAGCTGGCCCTCGTTTCGAGCATCCTGGGAGTGAAATGCGGACTGGCCTTTGCCGGCGTGAGCATGGGCTGCGTGGGCATCTATGCCGCCTACACCCTGAGTGTCACCCAGTGGCGCACCCAGTTCCGCGTCTACATGAACCAGGCGGAGAACGAGGCGGGCAACAAGGCCGTGGACTCGCTAATCAACTATGAAACAGTGAAGTACTTCAACAACGAAAAGTACGAGGCGGGCTGCTACAACGAGGTGCTGAAAAAGTACGAGGCGGCCAGTCTGAAGACCAGTTCCAGTCTAGCGCTGCTCAACTTTGGCCAGAATGCCATCTTCAGCAGTGCCCTCAGTTTGATCATGGTGCTGGCCGCCAAGGAGATTGCCCAAGGCAACATGACAGTGGGCGATTTGGTGATGGTCAACGCCTTGCTCTTCCAGCTCTCGATTCCCCTCGGCTTTCTGGGCAGCGTGTATCGCGAGGTGCGACAGGCTCTGCTGGACATGCAGGCCATGTTCACGCTGATGAATGTGGACAGCAGGATTCAGACGGCTTCCAATGCCCAGCCCTTGTTTGTGGACACCACCAACTCCTCGATCGAATTCCGCAACGTGAACTTTGAGTACGAGCCGGGCAAGCCCATTTTCCGGGACCTCTCCTTCACCATTCCCGCCGGCAAGAACGTGGCCATTGTGGGCGGCTCTGGCTCGGGGAAATCCTCGATGGTGCGCCTGCTCTTCCGCTTCTTCGAGCCAAACTCTGGCAAAGTGCTGATTGGTGGCCAGGACATCAGCGGCGTGGACTTGGAGAGTCTGCGCAAGGTCATTGCTGTGGTGCCGCAGGATTCGGTGCTGTTCCACAACACCATCGAGCACAACATCCACTACGGCAACCTGTCCAAGTCGCACGAGGAGGTGGAGAAGGCCGCCCGCATGGCGGATCTGCATGACTCGATCATGAGCTGGCCGGCGCAGTACGCCACGCAGGTGGGCGAGCGAGGATTGAAGCTGTCCGGTGGCGAGAAGCAGCGAGTGGCTATTGCCAGGGCCATCCTTAAAAACACACCCATCCTGATCTTCGACGAGGCTACCAGCAGTCTGGACTCCATAACAGAGCATGTAAGCTACTATATCCCATTTATACATGAGTGATTCTTTGTGAAACGTATCGAGATTTTCATTTTTATCACGATATTACACCATTTAAAAATAATTTTTAGATAGGTACAAAAAAAAAATCCATTTGACAGATGCGAAGATATGGCGACGCTTTTTTTTGCTAAATTAATTTATAACTTTAAATAAGGTGGGGTAAAAAATAAATAAAAATACTCCAAAATTATAATTTTTGACAAGCTTTTAGATAAAAATAACACCCACAATGGTTCCAGTGCAAAATATAGTCAAACAAAAAAAAATTTCAATCGACTATTAAGAAAACCTCGATACGTTTCACAAAGAATCACTCATATTTCTTATAAACTGACGGTTATCTTCCTTTCACAGAACATCCTCCAAGCCTTGACCCGCGCCACCTCAGGACGCACTAGCATTTGCATTGCCCACCGCCTGTCCACCGTCAAGGATGCCGACGAGATCCTCGTGCTGGAGAATGGCCAACTGGGCGAGCGGGGCACCCACTCGGAGCTGCTGAAACAGAACGGTCTGTATGCCCGCCTCTGGGAGACGCAGACGCAGCAGTTCGATCCCAGCCGAGAAGCCAAGGAGGAGGAGGCACCAGCGAAAGAGTCACGGGGCGTAGCTTAGACGACGAGAGGCTACCTTCTTCACCTGCACCCTATGTATGTGTTTGTTCCAAATGTTATAATCCTCCCCTTCGTTTGGCCCCCGAGTCCCTGGACCCACGAAATTCACCGTAGAATCCTCCCGGCCCGGAGATTCGCTATTTATAGGTTTAAAGTATCATTGTGACGTTTGTAAATACAGTTGTAGATATCAGATAAGAGATTTTGGAGGCGGTTTGCGGTTTACGATACAATATGGAACATTTATTATCAGTTTTATCACCCATACATTCGGTTTTTTATCGCACTGTTACGGTTTTCGCATTTTTGGGATTCGTTTTTTGGTCAGATTAAGATTTAGATAATATTATTAAATGCAATTACGTTTTGTATGTATTTTGCCTTGGGATAGTGGAAAATGGTATTGGATCCTCAACATTTTATGTAGACAAACTATATTTTTATAAATTTTTGGTCACTTAATTCAAGAAGAAATCAAGACCTAGGTAAAATTATTAAATGCAATTAATTTTTGTGTATATTTTGCCTTGGGATAGTAGAAAATGGTATTGGATTCTTGACATTTTTTGTAGATAAACTATAGTTTTATAAATTTTGATTATAAATCGAATCTGAATCAAGTGAAAACCGAAACAGTGGCGATGCTTAGCCTTCACTTTCAATCTCTCTCTTTCGCGACCGGCGGAATGGGCACATCGTAGAGCAAGTACATCAGGCAGTTGCCCATGTGGCCCAGAAACTGTTGGTAGTTGGTCACCCTATGCTGGAACTCCTGCCACAGCGGCAGGATGGATCGCTCCTCCGTCTCCTCCTTCTTGGTTTCTATCGTGATTTCCTGCTCCAGCATCGTCTTGTTGGTGTAGGTGAACAAATAGGAGGCTGGCTTCTGGCCAATGGTGGTCACCAAGTGGGTGATGTTGCTCTGCAGACCAATACTTTTCCCTGCTGTCAGGAAATAGGCTTCAAGATCTCTCTCATTCCTGTACCTCACATTCCCCTCCAGGATAGTCAACGTGCAGTTAATCAGATCCGGCGAGATAAAGTTGGTCAGTGTGAGTCCAGGAAAATCGGCCACGAAAATCACATCGGAGTAGTTGTTCCAGGCCAGCACCTCCGTTTCAATGGTCCTCAGTTTGGGTCGCATGTGATTCAGTTCGTTGAGCAGTGGCAATGACCACGAGGTGCTCTCAAAGGGCGACCACTTGGCACGCAGGAGATCCACGCGCGGATCAAAGGATCGCTGCTGGAAGCGACCATTCATCGAGCACCAGATGTCAAAGTAGATGGAGATGTTCTTGGCCATCTCGGGCTCTCCCCGCCTGAGATTCTCCTCGATGCACTTGGCATACTGGACAGCCATGTCGGCGTACTTGGTCCAGCGATCGTACTCGGTGAAGGCATATGGATTCAGGTTGTGCACCTGGCGGCTCTCGTTGTCCACCACCTGGATGGAGGTCTGCAGTGTATCGTACGAGTGCACCATCATGTCCCAGGAGTAGCCATATAGACCATTCGTCCAGTTGTTGTAGCCCTTGGTGATGAAGTGCGAGTAGGGCAGGAATAGTTGCAGGCCACAGTAGCCGAGGATGAGGCAGGTGCGCAGTCTGGCCAGGATTCCTGGATTGCTTAGCTGTTCTGCGGGATCTTTGGATTGGGGAAGAGGTCTCTTTGACCAACTGGTTAGCCTCCTGGGCCAGTCGAAGCTGAAGAAGAGCGGCACCTCGGCCAAACAAACCCAGGGAAACATGCCTGTTGGGTAGGTTTCATTAGAATATTGATTTATTTTCTATGGTTATATAAGCAGGGTTCGAAAATTAACACACATGTTAAAAACATGAAAAATGTTATTTTACAGTGTGAGCAAAATTGTTGACATGTGTGTCAAATACAAAAGAGTTAAAATGTGAAAAATAATTGTTATCACACACAGCTCACTTGTAGTTTTTACACAATGTGTTATTAACACGATTTTTTTTTTGCACACTGTGTTTTTAACACAAATGAAAATTACAATTCTTATACTCTAGAAAACCGTGAAATTTTCAGTCCAACATACAATTCTGACACTTTAATGTTAAAAACACGCTTAGTAAAAAACACGTCGTGTAAATAACACAAATGACATTTATACAATTTTTTACACACAGGTCAACTTAACACTTTGACATTTAACATGTTAATAACACAAGTTGTTTACAGTGTGTGTTATTTTCCAAACCCTGTTTATAAGACTAATTTTTTATCTATACCCCTAAACACTCACCGATTACAAAAAGCCGCGAGTTCATGAGGTGAAAGCTGAGCATGAAAGGAGTGACCAGCAGGCGCGTCTTCTCCAGAGTCATAAAAAAGGCAATAGACAGATCGAAGAAGGCGGTGAACCAGTGCACAATCAGAAGGTCAATCATCTCAGGATCAATCACCTGGCGGAAGGGAGCAAATACCCAATGGTGGCTGAGATTAGACATCGCATAACCAGATAACCACTCCAAAGAGAACTTCTTGAGACCAGCATACATGTACAAAACAAAGAACTGGAACTTAATGATGAAGTAGTTCCAGTAGGGAATACAGCGACTCCTCCTTGGATTTAACCAGCTGTCCAGGGAGCTGAATGTTAAGATAAGAATAGAAATACTTAAGATTACAGGGATTAAGAGCTATACAGACCAGTAGGACTCCGCCTGGGTGAAGAGCATCAAGAAGCCCACCAATCCAAAAAGATAGCTGTGATTATTCCACGTCGGCTTGTCCAGCAGGAAGATGTACCAGTACGGAATCAGGAATCCCAGGCAGCTGATCCTGAAGCGATAGCCCAGCATGATGCCCCAGGCACCCAGCCACATGCACAGGTAAACGCAGCCCATCAGTGGATATTCCAAAGCCCTCATTCCGTTGAAGAGCGGAAAGTGACAGTGGAGCGGATCTTGAAATCGCACATCCAACTGACCACCTCCACGCTCCTCTGCAATATCAATCAGCATGGCTGCTCCATATAGCAACCTAAAGATGCCCAAGGCGGCTCCATCTACGGGTCTCTGTAGCCACCTGGTAAAGTGGGACAAACTGGAGAAGTTGCTTATGTCGTGACCAAGGCAATCTCTGAAAAAGTGGTTCAGAAGGTTGGAGGTTTTGGCATCTCTGGGATTTATTTCTGTGGATTCCGTCGTCGTCCTGGGAAGATCTTTATCCTGAGTAGAATTCTCTGTGACGCTGGATTTCGTAGGCAGCTTTCGTTTGGAGTTGGCCATTCTGTAAATAATCTTCAAAGACAGCAACCCGAAATTAAAAAAAAGTACCCCTTGAATATCTTATAAATATCCTGACTTTTAGTCTATTCTATCCTCATAAAAATAAGATCTTAATTCATTTTTCGTAGGATTTCGAAGGCAGCTTTCGTTTGGAGTTGGCCATTCTGTAAATAATCTTCAAAAAAATATCCCTTGAACATCTTATAAATATCCTGACTTTTAGTCTATTCTGTCCTCATAAAAATAAGATCCTAATGCATAGTTTCCACTTTTAAATAAAGAATTTTTCCATCCTCATCGAGACATTCGTGTTTCCAAGCCCAAAAGATCCATTCATTCCTTTTGGTAATTAATTTTTTTGTAGAATTTATTGAAAAAGTTGACATAAATACATGCATGCATATTGGTTGTATACTAAATATATAATATATGTGTTTTACATTTCGTTTGCTGACTCTTGCGTAAATATCTACGGTTCTGTTCGGATCGTTATCGTTATCGCTGGCCTGGAGCCCACGGAAAATATTGCTGTCTGTCTGATTTCTGTTTGTTTTGTTGGTTGGTGTAAAAAAATAGATCAATTACGAAATGTACATCCATTATACTCGGTCAGTGAGTTATTATTGCAACGGATTTGCCCAGCATATCGTTTCGTTTCGAATCCAGTCCGTAAGTGTGGTGACCGAGAGTCCTTATAGCCATGGTGCATGAAGATCAGAACTCCCCGTCGTCGGAAACGCAAATACATGTATACTTTCGATCTGAATTTGAATGGGTTTATATCATCTAGCTGCTGGCCAGTGTCCTGTGCAGTGGTTCGCAAAATGTCCAAACTTTGTTTTGGGAACAGGAACAAGCTTTGAAAATGCCTCAAACTACATACATATACGAATACAATATAAATATAAGCCGTCGTCTGCTTGAATATACGTTTTTCTTTACTTTTTCTTTTGATATTGGTTACGGTTAAGTACTTAATGTGATAGGTGTCGCCACACGCGTCGTAATAAAATTTCTATCGATTTTGGAGAAAATATAACGATCGGGGTTCGAATATCTCGAGTTTCCCCGGAAGTGAGGAAAATCAAAAAGGAAGTTTATAATCTCGGTGCCTGGTTAGTAAATGATTTAAATACGCTCGTTTTTTTCTCTCAGTGTGTGTTTTTATCTTTCTTTTAAGTACGTGTTTAGCTTGGGTTTTCTTAGTGTTTTTCGGTTTTACTTTAATTTAAGTACGACAGTTATGCATAAATGACTAATATTTTTGCTTCACATCTATTTTACTTGTGAGTTTTGCCATTAAAATACTTTTGGTTTTCTCTTTATCGATTTTCATTTCATTTTTCGTTATTTACGCAACGCTAAAACATTTTAAAATGCATTTTCAAAGTTAATTCAATTTCAATTTCAATTCAATAAATATGCTTGTTGTTTTTCCATTAGATAGGTTTCATTTCGTAAGCTTTTAAAGATCTAGACAATGTTGTTTTCGAGTGTCGAAAATTAGCATGCTCCATCAGCCCAAAGGATTGGGGACAGGGAATCGGAGCAGTGTAGTTGCAACCCTTGGGTCGCGATGCAGTTCCTCCTCCTCCGTTGTGTAATCTCTCCCTGCGCAGGCGCACTGTATCCCTTGGACTGCTCCTCCTCCTTACTGCTTCACCCTCGCCCGGTCACCGCTCTCCCGGCCGCCGGGCCCGTCCCTCTAGAGGCGATTCTGGTTGAGCTGGGAGCGCGGGGTGAAGGGGCTGACCATCACGCCGCTGGGCCAGATGGCCTCGTTGAAGAGCTCGTTGAAGCGGTAGTCCGGAATGGAGATCTTGAACTTGCAGTACGACAGCTGCGACAGGTTGGCGTCGTTCTTCACCAGCTTGGTGCACTTGACCAGGTTCTTGTTGATCTTCAGCTCCTCGGCCAGGTGATCGATGACATCCTCCTCGCTCGTGTTCGTGGCAAACTTGCCCACCTGCACCCATCGTCCGTAGTCGCAGACCACCTGCAATCGATCCGAATTGCAGTTGTTGCCCACCACGATGAGGTTGTTCTGCTGCGGATGCTTCTTGCCGTCGAGTCCACCAGGCATTCCGCCCACTCCGCCACCCACTCCGGCTGCAGTGGCTCCCAGGGCCTGGAGCGGCTGGTTGCCGAACTGGAAGTACTGCTGGTACATCCTGCCCTGGATCTGGTTGACCCCGTTGCACACCTTGTTGACCTTCTCCTCGATGGTCTGCAGCTTGGCCGCAAAGCCACGCGGCGCCGAGTCCTTCTTGCACTCCTCGCAGTGGAACGAGATCATCGGGTTCTTCTGGATCGCCTCGTAGACCGCGTCGTCGATGTTCACGCAGGAGCGGTGGAACCTCCGCCGGCAGTCCTCGCCACTGCATCCGATGCTCGTGGCCGCCGCCTCTTTGGCGCCGATCGATTTTTTGCACTTGGGGCAGTTGTTGTTGTCGGCCATGGTAGTGATTCGAGTGATTCTAGTGATTCCACCAACGGTAACGGTCTTTTTTTCAGCGATTTCGCAGACGGAAAAAGAGAATTCGAAGTTCGAACTTCGAACTTCCAGGAAAAAACACACACGCACACAGTAAAGTCACCGAGAGTCAGCAATACCAATACCAGTGCAGTGGGTATGTGGTATATACACTACGGTGAGGCAGCAGCAACAACAATAACAATAATCGAGAAATTCGAGCGAAAGTCGAAAGCCTCCTCTTTCCGCTCTCCACCCTCTCTTTCTGTCCCGTTAGCGAGTGTGTGTAGAGTGTGTGTGTTTGCGGGAAGAGTGCTGAAATCGGAGAAGGGAAAATCACGCAGGCGACCGAAAACTTGACAACCGTACGCTCCGAACTTTGTAGACTGACTGTGCTGAAACACAACCCCCGAGAAAGCTGCCACGTCACAGGGGTGGTTTTAACCACTATTTCTGCCATATGATTATGCCAACCAAGTCGGGTGGCAACCAGTTTTATTCGGACTGCACCCACCCTGTTTGTGACCAAGTTGGGATTGGGCCCCATCTACACGATAGTGTTGGAAATAAGGGCCAATGCAAGGATAAGCAAGAACATTTTATAATACTTCTTACAAGGTAGGTTATTTATATTTAAACTTTAGTTGAAATTAATAAAAAAGAGATCTATAAATATTTGAAAATTACATTAACGAATTTAGTAATTAAAATGTCAGTAGATTTGTAACTCAACTCACTAAAAAATTCGACTGTTTATAATTTATTTAAATTTATAATACAAAAAATGTATTTATAAATATTTTAATCCCTATCAGCCTAAAGGAAAAGCTATTTCTTAAAAATGCCAAATAAGAAAGTTAATAAATGTCACAATTTTATATATTTCTGATGTCTGTTTATCTAATTTTAATGAAGATATTTAAGATTCTTACTCGACAAGCTTTGAAGTGTTATTTATGGTTTTCTAACACCCCCATTTTTACAATGCATTTTAATGCATTAACATTGCAATGTAGAATGGAAATAAAATAAATTGTACCCTAACTTTTATCCATCAAATATAAAAATATCAATTGAAGATCATTTTTGTTTTTTAGGAACATTTTTAGTTTATTTCAATCAAAATCGAACTATTCCCAAACATTTTTGTTTTTTAAATCTCGTTGTTAGGCATTATAAAAATGTTCCCTAATCTATTAGTAATTTGCATATTAAAATAAGCCCTTTGAAGAGCTCCACTTACTTTGTATTGTTATCGCCGTTAATGTGAAATGGGGTCAACTTTCAGCAAACAAATCCTCGGTTTACAATCAGCTTTTCTCCGCTTCCAACTGGTTTACAAGGCAATTAATCTATTTCACACGCGTACTTTATGGCTCTTATCCCAGTAATTGGAGCCCTTAAACTGCACCTGCAACCTGCTCCTCGCTGAGTGCAACTTGCAACAGTTGGCCGTTTCCCGGATGAACTCTCACCTCGCGGACGCAGCGACTGGGAAAAGGGAATCGGAATCGCGAGCAACACGGTCCGCCAACTGAGGCTGTGCGCAAAAGCTGCGCCGTATTTATACGCCACTCTGCTCCACTCAGGGATGCCCTCGTATCCTCGTTCCTGTCCCTCCTCCTTAATCCCTTGGGCCGCAGAGGGGATGATGACGGACGGTCGAGTGGGTGGCGGGGGTGTTTGCGCATGTCCTTGCCGGGAAATGGCGACGAAGTTAATAATAATAAATAAACAAGTAAATTTCCGTTGACCAAGTGTTACGGCAATTAAGCTTACCAGGCTTAGAAGTAATAAACATTATTTTTAAAAAATCCCAGGATTTATAAAAGAAGAATATATTAAACGCTAAAAAGTTCCTTAAAAAATTAATAGGACAAAATAACAAATATTTTATTTTTATCTATAGAAATTATATTAAAAAGCTAAGAAGGGTTCCTTAAAAAAGAAATATGATATTAAAGCATCAATTAAATTACTTTAAGTATTCGAGAAGTATAAATAAATACTAAAGGTATAATTATAAATATTTATTATTTTAGGGGACCTTATTTTTAATTCCTTATAAATCTGAAATTTATTAAAAATCAAAGGATTAACAATAAATTCAAATATATCTCTTAAGTATTAATTTTCCTTAAAACCCATATACCCCTAGTCAATATTTCCAGGGTGTTAAAATGGCAGGAAAAATGCAAATAAAATTTGCAGGTGTTGCGGCAGCAGCTGTGCTCTTTGCAGCTGTTATTGTTTGCCATTCGGTGTTCGCCGTCCGCCATCCGCCTCCAGGAATTGGTGGCGGACACCTTCGGTAATTGGGTTTCATTAAGTGCTGGTTGCCGGGATCCGGGGCATCTGGGGCATCGCAGGGAGGTGTTTCCTTGCCGTTTCTTTTGTGGGCCCTTGTTAGCGCTGCTCCAATTTCGCCGTCGCCTGCATTGTCAATAGATTTTAATCAGGTGTGGCAAGTGTGGTAAACAGGCGCCTTTCGCACCCCCACTTTCCCCCTTTTTCCCGATTTAAATGTAGGCTTCCCACCGCAGACGGGTTTTTATTTCCATTATCCTGTTTGTTATTTATGTATGCAGCCACGTGTGTCGTGGAATACCGAAGAGTATCCCTATCCCTTTTGCCGGAGTCAAGTGCGCAATTTGGCTAGCCAAGCGCTGGATAGTATGCTATACTTTTTGTGTGATCCTATTTATAGGCTGCGCTCCCTTTGTCGCTTAATTTGGAAACTAATTCGGTCTCAGGTAAATAAATTAAAGGTTATGGCGTTAAAGAAAAATAGCCTTAAAGTTATTTTAGCCTTTGAGAATGTATCTTAATTAGAAGGGAACAATAATAGATTTGTAGTTAGCACAAGAATATAAATATGTAACTATTTTTAAGATCAGTAACTATTTAAATGTTCAATTCTTTTTCATGCTATTACTTTTTTTAATTTAAAGGATTATGAAAATTTAAAAATTACTATAAAAGAACGGGATTTAATTATTGAGCTTCTTCAGAATAAAAAAAAAATAATATTTACTTACTTTCCACAATCCATTATCTAATAAAAGAAAACACTCTGATTTTATTTTTATTTATTTATTTAAATAATTATGTATTTTCGGGGTGCAATTAATCATTAAATTAATTAGTAATATTATTGTTTATATACGGTTCATATATATATACTCTCATCTGCCGTCTGTTTTTCTTTTTTGGGGATTCTTATAGAGTTTTTCTTTGTTTTGTGTGTCCGTCTTTGTTTTTTATACGGGGATTACTTGCTCCGCCGCCCAAGGGGTTCCAGAAATCGCAATGCAATTTTAAGAACCCCCTTTGGGTTCTCCGTTCTCTGGGTGTTTTTCTTAGGTCTTTTTGTGTATACAATTGTTTTCTTCTTTTCTTTTATTTTTTTGTTTTCTGTTAAAATCCAAACAAAAATCGAAACGCTTTTCTAAACATTTGTCATTGGTTATTGTTATTACATACACATATATTGAGTTATATCTGTTAATGGTTATATGCATGTGAAGTGTCTGGGTGAGTTTCTGAGATGGACATCGAACGAGATTCTAATAAGCTTCAAGGGCGACATATTGTACACGCTACGAATATTGCTAAAAATACCTGCATTCGGATTTGGATTTACTTCGTTTTTTCGATTTCTTGCCATTAAATCTCTTTGGTTTTTCATTAATTAATTTTCTTCGATTTGTTCGTGCCCCAAAAATTGGTTGGTAGGCAAAGCACTTTGGGCAGGCGCTTGTAGAATCAATTAGTTAATACATTAATCGTAGTTATAGGTTGTATATATTCAGAACAAGGTGAGTACAATATGTGCTTCATAAGTTATATCTCTGATTCTAATCGGTTATGAGGGGGCTATGGATATGGTTATGGGTTCGGGGGATCGGTTGGAGTGTGTGAGATCTAAATATCATATCGTTACATACACGTACATATATATATATGCTCTAAGTACCGCCTCGTCTATTACTCGTAACATTGAAATATACAAACATATGTGTTAAGTGCCTCTGCTGCCAGCGTCGAGCTAAGTAAATCATCAATAAATCCTTTGGATAACCAACGTATTGTGTGTCTAGCGCTTAATTTAATCGTTGAACTGTCTGGTTTCATCTTTCAATCGAAACTGTTTTTCAAACACAACAGTAATGATTGCACATAAACATAATTCTGCAAACGAAATCGCATTGTATATTTTCACTAGACTTTAGACTTAAGGTTTCTGGTTTCTCCTTTCTTTCGGCCGACTACACTGGCGATCTCTATATATAAGTAAAGTTCCCATGAATACACATTTTAACTGTCAATTACTCATCTTCTTTGTTTTGGATTATACATTTCGAATATTCATATTTGCGTAACTTTACTTAGGAACAAAGCTTAGAGTTCTTTGGTTTTTTGGGTCTTGTTCCGAAATAGTTATGTTTTTTGTCTAGTTGATTTGCTAAGGAAACTGAGTTCAAAGAGCTGCGAACCTTGGGAAGCGACCGCCTGTCCTCCTGCTTCCACTGGCGCTCCTTGTTGCCAGTGGGCAGCGCAGAGATCCAAGTTCCATATTTCCGTATAGGGGTATTATGTACGTGGTTTTTAGAGTCACTCGTAATATTCAAGTTCCATATATTTGTATTTTCATATTTATATTTATATATACCGTTTTTTATGCATGAAATAATGTAACCATAAACAAATTAGCAACAACTTTAATTTGTCCGGAGCGTCTTCTTTAGATTTAGTATTAATATTATGACGTAAGTTACTTAAAACCTCTCCTCTCGATCGTCTAAGTGGAAATTATTATTGAGTTTTCATTGCAATTCTCGAGATTTTCTAGTTGTAACTGAGTTTTCCTTTGTTTTTGTTTTGGTTTGGTTTTTGCCCGCGTTTTGGGCCTTTTTTTAATCGAGAAATCCTTTCAGCGAGATTGCTTATACGCCGCCATGGTCACCTGTGGCTCCTGCTGCTGCTCCGCCAGCCGATCCTCCTGCCCCATCCACCAGCGACGACTGTCCTCCGGCGGGCTGCTGCGGCGGCGGCGGCGGTGGCTGCATGTACTGTGGGGGGTACTGGTACTGTGGCGGCTGCTCCCCGCCTATGAGGCCAAGTTTATCTGGTTTTTAGAAAATAATTTAGGAATTAGTAGGGTGCCTTGCAAGGTGCTCGCTGTTTAGCTCTCTTTTTAGCCAAATCTCAGACATCGATACACGAAATATTACACTTCAATGGTTAAAAGCTCACTCATGACGGAATAATAATATATATAGCAATAGGTGGACATGGGATGTGGACAATGGGACAACTGCATCGAACGAATATCAATATAGTTATGTACATTTAGGCTTCCCCTAAAAATCTCCTCTTCGCTCTTTGGTGCATTAAACTTAGGCCAATTCCAAAACACATACAACATTGAGTTGGGAAAATAAATAACCATAAATAATATAGTACTAATCACACAGAGACATCGATTAACTCACATACATGCGGCTAAAAATGAGTGTAAACGATGCAGCATCTGCTATTTAGAGAGTGATGCTTCATCGTTTACAGTCAGCTTGAAAATTATGCGAAAATCAGGGAAACAGCGGAAACGGAAATGGGGGAAAAAGAAGCGCAGGTGTCAAATTACTGGGTATGATTATTTGCATTGATATGTTGCCGTTTTTTGGTTTCTTTTTTTGCTTACAGTGTAGATCAGATTAGATCGTTTTTGTCAATGGTTCAAATAGAGAGTGTGATTAATTTTGACTATGGTTCTACGGATGCGGCTTTTTGGTGGTTAATCGATGGCTGATTAGTTTCTGTTGTTGTTGTTCGGTTGGTTGGTTTTTCGAAAGAGAGATCGTGAGCGGTTTTCTATTGTCCAGTCGCCACTTCATCCGACGGACTCTGTGGTAATTCGGTCAATTTCTCGGCCAATGGTTTCTCGAGTGTCGGTGGTTCAGATTTTAGATTTTGATTTTGTGTATGTTGGTGTGGTTGTACTTGTTGTTGTAGTAGTTGTGGTGGTGGTGGTGGTGCTGAATCTGGTGCAGTTGCCGATCCCGGAGCCACCTGCTGCTGCTGAACGGCAGGAGGCTGCGGAGCAGCATTATCATCCGACATGTACGGTTCTACGAGAAATTTGTTGGTGAATTTTTGATGTTCTATTGATTTTAAATTTATAATAAAATAATAAAAAAAAGTAAAATAAATTTAGAGTGATTTTTGAGTAAAACAAATGATTTCTTCAACGGGTGCACCTAGCGATAAACGTGGCGTATGAGTAATAAATTTCTTTACCTCACACACAAAGTGTTATTTTGGGGTAAATTGTTTTTTGCTTATGGTTAAGAAAATTGTACAAAAGCTAAAGCTTTCAGTGTATTTACTCTTCGTCTTTCTCTGTAATTGTTCACAAAAATATGTTTCAGTGTATAATAAAAAGAGAGTGTGTCAAATTAAGAGATATAAGTGAAAGTGAAAACTTTAAATCAAGTAAGAATTTGGCAGTACTTTATGCTTTTGCTGTGGTTCAGTGGTTAAGCTAGCTTTTTAGATCTGAAGGCCGTTTGCATTTTGAGTTGAGACTTAGTATCGAGTAACGAGTTTCGAGAAGGGACTACGGTTACTGGGAAACTGGTGGGTTCGAGTTTTTTGTATATATTTTACACAGAGGACATAATGGCACAATCGTGTGTCTCTGGTTGTGGTGCTGCTGCTGCCAATATCAGAACGAAACAAACGAAAAACGGAAACGGATACGGATACGGTTAACGAAACACTGAACAAACCACAAACTTTACGATTACGGCTTACGGGAGTTACGCTAGCTATTTGGAACTTAAGGTCCTACGGTTAAAAGGCTAACGGGTACAAGTCCGGGATATCGTAGGTCCATCTCAACCAAAAAGGTATAAAGTTCTCAAGAGAACTTTTACCTATATGATAAAAGATCGGAATTCCGATACCCAGAGTGATCACAACTTGATTACGGGTTTTTGGGCAAACGGCAACGGAACGATAACAACACACGACACGACTTTCAGTGGGCATCAAATCAAATCATTACCGAACCTGTGCGTATGCTCGTATGGAACCAGATGATGTTGGGCTTGGGCATATATGTAGTATGTAAGTAGTACAATACAAATATATACCGCATTTAGTTATTGTTCTAGTGGTGGTTGAAGCGCATGACATATGTGACATATGAGATCGATCGATCTATATGGTTATGGGAATTTCGCAAGGCATCTAGGTCGAATTGAGTCGGTTGAGCGAACGATCAGTTGGACTGTGAGTTCTTGGAGCTCTACTCATAGCACTGTTGTAAATGAGTCTGAATTAGTTTTTGTTCTTTGGTTCTTATTGGGTTGATTGATTGACTTTTGATTTGGTTTCGATTTGCATTGCATTGCGGCTAAGTTACTAGTTTCTTATGGAATAGTTAGTTAGCAATCTACATAAAGTTACCTAGAGAAAAAAATGGCGGAATTAAGAACGGAATTTAGATTCGGTGTGTAGATAAACGAAAGCGCTAAACCAAGGCGAACTCAAAAGACAAACACAACTGGGTAATCTTGAATGGTATTCTTTGGTTTTTCGGTTCTGTGTGTGGATGAGTCGAGTGGTTGTGGGGGTCACAGTATCATCTCTAGGGGGTGTGTGTCCCGGTAATGAGTGTACGAACACAGGCTAGGATCTACCAACTTACTTGCAATAATGCCCACGACAACCAGGCCAATCACGCCCATAATGATCATCATCTGGGGAGAGAAAAATAATATTATTGTTTGGTATTTTAGGTTATATAGCTATCGCATAGCCACCTTCAAGTTCTGGAGCCAGAATTTCCTCTTAAGCTTGCCCGCCTGCTGCTCGAACTGCGAGGCACCCTGCTGCAAGGCATCGGCACGATCGTCCAGCTCCGACAGCTTGCTGTCGCGCTCCAGCACCTTCTCCACATTCGTGCGCATGATGTCCACGACCTGGTTGGGAGTATAGGGTTTTAGTGATATAAAATAATGTGCGTAGACCCGCATTTACCAACTACTGAGGTTATGTTATGATATTTTCGATGTAATCCTGCTTGAAAATGAATTTTTTATCAATATCAACGACCTGGTCAGGAGTATAAGGTTTTAGTATTACAAAATGATGTGCGTAGACCCGCATTTATCAACTACCGAGGTTTTATTGATATTAAATTATGTACGAAGACCCGCATTTACTACCAACTGAGGATAAGTTATGATATTTTGAATGAAATCCTGCTTGTGAATATATTTCTTATCAATATCAACCAACTCGTCATGATTATAAGGATTTAGTGTTAAAAAATGATGTGCGTAGACCCGCATTTACCAACTACGGAGGTTTTATTCATATAAAATTATGTACGTAGGCCCGCATTTACCTACTACTGAGGTTATGTTATGATATTTTCAATGTAATCCTGCTTGAAATTAAATTTTTTATCAATATCAACGACCTGGTCAGCAGTATAATGTTTTAGTGTTACAAAATGATATGCGTAGACCCGCATTTACCAACTACAGAGGTTTTATTGATATTAAATTATGTATGTAGGCCCACATTTACCAACTACTGAGGTTATTTTCAATGAAATAATACTTGTAAATATATTTCTCATCAATATCCCTTCCATAACTCACCTCATCGACCTGCGCCTGTGTCTGCTGCAGACGCTTCTGTGCCGCAATCTGCTGCGGATTGTGTGGTCCGCCCACAATCTCGCCATCGCCTCCCTCTCCGGCCGGAGCTCCGGCATTTGGTGGTGCATCTCCAGCTGGTGCAGCGTCCGCCCTGCGGGAGGATAGGTTGTCATTAGTCATCGGATCAGCGGAGGAAACAAAAATAGCATGGACCAAGACTAATCAACTCCCAACGGGGTCTCTCAAATTAAATACAGTACTCGAGTTACACAAAGAGTGGGTGATCGGTGGGTGGGGTTCGACTATATGTAGTTTCTAGCTTTAATCGAAACATCTCGAAGATACGTGTGGGCTATATAGACAGTGCTGGAGTATATTTCTAGCCAGCTACCCTTTGACTAAGGAGCAAACTTACGGTTCCTTGTTCTTGTCTTTTTTGCCCATCTCTCAGACCCCCAAAAACTTAGACCTTTACCTCGTCTTGTGGGTTCTGCGGGGGCCAAAGGAAGGGAAATAATAAGTATTAAAAAATAATATCGTTTTAGAAACTTAACTAAAAAAATGAATATCTATATCGAACCGTATTTCTTTTTGCCTTTCGACCACAAAGAAATGCAAATCAATATCTCAACCCAACCCCTAAAACCGGCACTATTTGATTTGCTTATATGAGTGATTATTTTTAGAACTGTCGATTTTCCCAGTGAATACTTGTAAATAATATTAAATGGAGTTATTACCATGAACTAAGTATAGGTGATAGTACCTATTATTATCCTTTTAATTACACATTTTTTTATATTAGTCTTAAAAGTATCCCCAACTTAGTTTGCATGTCCTTACTCACTGGTGCGAAACGTGTTTTTATTGATTTTGCGGTGTGAGAGACTTGGCCATGTGATGCGGCAACGTCATCGCCAAGTAAATCATGCCTAGTGAACCGAAATGGCAGCTGCAGCTGCTTTAAGCTTTCCTTTTGTGTGTTTTTACGGGCCTCGTTTACTTTGAAGACCAGATGACAAATGTAATGGGCGACCCATGCTGCGTATACTTAATGCGGCTATCAAATGAGCATTCCCTCTGTGCGAAAAACCCAAACCCATTCCCCCGCCGGAAAAACAAATCAATAATGTCCATCCACTTACATGGCTCTTGTAGATGTGTGTGGTTGGTTGGTTCCCTCAACAAATTCGGCTGGCGATGATTAGGATGAAGGTGCTCCGCTCTTTATGCACTTGGCCTCTTTCGCTGCTGCTTTCACTGCCGCAGGTCGGGATGAAGGTGGTCAGTGGGTGGTGGTCTCTTGTAGGTGTCTAGGTGGTGGTGGGTGGTGCTGGTGCAGCTGAACTCTGCTGCTTTCGTTGTTTTTGCTCTCTCAGTGCCGCCTTCGCTCTCGCTCTCTCTGTCGCTCTTCCGCCAGAGCTTTTGTCGCCCCCTCAGTCGTCGTCAATGAAAACTCACTCCACTCCACGGGGGGATTGGCTGGATCTGGAACTGGATGATGTGTATGCGTGTGTTGGTGTGCGGGTAACACTTGCCACGACAGCCTTTCGCAGGAATTTTCTGGCTCGGCGCTGAAACTGCTGCTGAATAGAGTGCGAAAATAGTTGCAATGCTATTTTTAGTTAGAGTACCAGGAATTCTATTCTATGGGTTGCGTTCTATGTTCTATTCAAGGACCTAAGAGGACATTTTAGAGGGCAGCAACACGCCCACGTAAATGAGGCATGTCCTTCTTTCTTTCTGTATTTCCGTTGCCTACCCCCAGGCGCACTTCGGAAACTATCTTGAAAACTGCAAAACGTTTTAAAAATAATTTCAAGTGCCCAACGGAAAGAAAGAAAAATCAATGAAATTCTGCACGACAAAGATTATGACTGCCTTCGCTTCGAGATTTCAACTCCTGTTTCCTGTTCCTTGATTATAAATTTTAGCACTCTTGATGAGCACACACTTTAGCTACAACTCGCTTAGCTTTAGTTTACCAAAAACTATGCTTAAATAATATTCCTGGAATTTTTTTACGCAGCACAAGGAAAATTTTCACTTACGACGTTTTTGGCCAACTGCGAAAACTTGCAGCTTTCCTAACTGTTATGTGTATTTGGGGAAAAAGCTGCCTGGATGGTCAGCAGCGAGTGATTTTCCAGCGAGAAGCTTTTCCTTGGCGAATCCGAAGTAGCGATTGCTCAAAGGGGTGGGAAATTTAAACGTAAGCCGGGCTTTTCAGAAAGGACTTTTAAAACTAAATTAAAAAATTTGTAGAAACTACTTAAACATTGCAAAAGATTTAATTTAATCTTATAAAGATGTGTTTTTCAAAAGGAATTATACATTTAAAGGTTTAAAATGTAAAAAAATATTTACTGACACTATTAAGAAGAGCCTAGTACTCAATTTAAGCAAAAAGCGTATGAAATAAAAATGTCCTTACAAAATTTAGTTGAAATTTAATTTTTATAGACATTTCTGTTTGGTAACCTTTTAATTAAAGTGAGTACTAGGCTTAGGGTTCTATATTTTTCCTACTCAGACTAGCCTAAATTGCACTACAGCGGCTTCCTGAACTTTGTCTGAATCCAAACGCGGTACATCTTCAACCCACGACCCCGGTTGACCTGCAGCCTTCGGTCCACAATGAGTTGCTCCTCCTTGAGTCCCGCCTGGGTCATCATTCCACGCAGTTCCTCCTCCGTGAAGAAGTAAACCATGGTGCCATCGCCACGCACATAGAAGTTGTCCTCCAAACACTTGCCACTCTTGAAGCGCAGCTGTGCGAGGTCATATCTTCCGTAATCCCGGAAGAGGAGCAGGCCACCGGGTCGTAGGTAGCGATAGCAGTTGTCCAGCACCCGCTGCATTTTCTTTGGCTCAATGGCAGACAGTACAAAGATCATCACAATGATGTCCTGCGAGTTCTCCTCAAAGGGCACCTCCCATTGCTCCAACGTGGCATCCATGACAAACACCTGGCAGCGCTTCTCATCGAACTGCGGTTGACTTTGCAGGATTTCAATGGCCCTCGCAGAGAAGTCGCAACCGGAAACTTTTAACTGAGGCTCGGAGCTGTATTGTAATAAAGGCAGGATAGTGTTTCCCACTCCACAGCCCAGTTCGAAGATGTTACGGGGTTGTTGATCCTTCGTTTCTGTGGTCAAAGGAGCCAATTCCGGGAACTCTGTGAACAGCCAGTGGCGATCCTTGAAGAAGCGATTGTCGTGGATGCCGTAGAAGGAGTCCCAGAACTTGGGGGCATCCAATTGGAATTTGTCCTTCTGCTCCGCCTCCATCTTGCTGGCCGAGTTCTTGGCCACCGCCTCCTGGGCGGCCAGTTCCTGCTCCTCGTCCCACTGCACGTGGTCCCTGGGAAACGAGAATTAGAGGGGTTTCCATGAGCCCAGAACTACGGATAAGTACCAGGCATTAAACTCGAACACCTCGCGCACATCGGTGAGCACCCTGCTGCCTGCTCCCGCTGGCTTTTTGCGCTGGCGAGTGTGCTCCCAAGTTTTGCTGGCCAACCGGCGGAGGATTTGCATCCCATATTTACCAAGCATTGTGCTTGAAGACGTCGTCGGCGTCCGTGAGCAGGCGGGTTCCGAACTGGGGTCGCTTCTCGGTCTCCGCAGCGGGGGTGTCACTCATGTCGGTCCGGAATGAGGGTATATAACACCTGTTGTTCCGATCGAAATTCTATATTTTGTAAACACGTGGTGTGACCGTGGCCACAGGCATTCAAATAATACCGCAAAACAAATAATACCAAAAAAATATACCGACATTTAGTATTTTTAAGTCGCTGTCACACTTAGTCGCGCGGGAAACTGTGTTCTTGGTGATTTTCCTCGGTTTTCGGTAAACTACGCAATTAACAAAGTTCACGGAGTGCTCAAAGTGTGCAGGAAAGACTAAAGAATGTCTGGATGTCGAGTTTATACCGGAAAACATTAAAAATATGCACAAAAACGAGCGAAAAAGAGTTAATATGCAAAGCAGTGCTACCAGATCGCCGAAAAGTGAATGTTGGTTTTTGTTTTAGTGATGAGCCCGTGTTTAACAAATAGTGTTTAACAAGTGTGACGAAAATAATTTTAAAAAGTGCAATAATACAATCAATTAAATTAACAGAATTAACTCAAACAAGAAATCTAAATTGGTGGTAAGTCCTGAACTTGTTATATGTTACTATCCTACAAATGAATAACTTATATACAAAAAAAGTATTAAGGGAAACCTCTTTTAATTATTAGTAATCACCGCATTAGTCTAAATTAATTTTTAAAATTAAAAACTACGATTTGTAGAATACTATTATTACTTCGTGCGTTCTCGTCTTGTGCTGTTGCTCCCATCTCTAGAATTTCCAACTCCATTTTCGCCCCAGTGGCAACGCCGCGTCAGTTGGTATATCAAAACCGCAAACCGTCCTTTTTTGTTGTATTGTGCGTTGTTTTTTGCGACGGAGGCGAGAAATTTAAACAATTGGCATTGCGAGTGCTAGGAAACCAACGCTTATTGCGTATACAAAGAAGGCCCGTGGAGGAAGCGACCTATTCAGCGGACTGTGTGTTTTCCAGATACGCAGAGGTCCGTCGCAGGAGGACCCCCGAAAATAGAAACCCCTATTTCTAAGCGTTCCAGCCACTAAAATGATGAACGAGGCGGCCCTGGCCAACATGATACCCTACGACACTATCGGATTGTACGAGCAGCCCAAGCCGCGCTTCATCTTCAAGATGCCGCGCGTGGTGCCCGACCAGAAGTCCAAGTTCGAGAGCGACGAGCTCTTCCGCCGCCTCAGCCGGGAGAGCGAGGTGCGCTACACGGGCTACCGGGAGCGGAGCATCGAGGAGCGGCAGGTGCGCTTCATGAACGGCTGCCGCGAGGGACACACGGAGGCCAGCTTCGTGGCCTCGGGCACCAATCTGCAGCTGGTCTTCAACGCCAACCAGAATCCGTACCTGCACGACAAGGAGTGCGACTTCGACAAGGAGCACGGCAAGGTGCACATCAAGTCGTACTTCATCATGAACGGCGTCTGCGTCCGTTTCCGCGGCTGGATGGATCTGGAGCGGCTGGATGGCGTGGGCTGTTTGGAGTACGACGAGCGGCGGGCGATGCACGAGGATGCCATCCTGAGGGATCAGATCGATCGCTACAATCAGCGGCTGCGCGAATTCGAGGACACCAAGCGCGCCTACCGCGATAACAGGCAGGATGAGATGGAGGCGGTGCGACGGGGCGTGGCCTCCGGCGGCATTGGCGTGGGCGCCAGCATGTGGCGTCGTTAGTTGGACCTGTGGACGGCACCGGGGCCGTCGCACCAGCAGGAGCCGCATCACCAGACGCTTCACCAGCAGCAGCTAGAGACTCAATTCGCGAATACTCAATACTTCATGGACAACTGAGAATGCTCCGAGCCCCCTTTTCGTGGGCGAGATTTCACTACGATTACGTTAGACACGCTCGAATAATTATGCTCCTAGATTAGTCCTAGATCTAATGCCTACTTTACGTATGCTTTTATGGTATTATACTTACAACTTAGTGTGGATTTAGTGTCGTATCTTTAACTAAAATACATAATTACTAATCAAACGTGGCATTTGTTGATTCAGGGCTTTCCGATGACTGGAATTTACCTACCAGGGGTGCGTTTTAAATCAGATTAATGTGTTTCAAGAGCTTTCTATAGGGAAGTACAGTAGACATTGACTGGGAGGAACCTTAAATCAAACTAATCCATCAGTTTTCATTACATACTGCTCACAGCTTATGATTTTAGAGATTAGAATAGCTCTTGAAATTAGCCTTCTATAGGAAAATACAATAGAAATTGACTGGGAGGAACCTTAAATCAAACTAATCCATCAGTTATTGCTTAAAGCTTATGATTTTAGAGCTTAGAATCATCATTTACCTACCATGGCTGCGTTTTAAATCAGAATAACATGTTTCAAGAGCTCATCTAAACTAATATAAAGTTCGACCCCTAAAAACCGGTCAGTAGCAAATTCCACCCAGAACGGATTGACATAAAAATCTAATAAAATCACATTAATTATAGCTAATATTTTAGAGCTTAGCATCATAAAGAAAACAAGTTGCTTTGATTTTATACCATTATAATATACAGATACTGAATAATAATAAGCAAGAATCGTGTAAAACTAAGGGGTCTCGCTTGGCGTGGAGGAAACGTATAGATTAAAAAGCAAGCTTATCCGTCCTAGCGGAACTGCAGATTGGAGATGCGCAGTCCAATGCTATCCTTGCCGATCTGGCTGACCTCGCAAACGGTGCAGAGGCTGCCCTTGAACTGTGGGTCGTAGGAGGAGCCGCAGAAGGGACAGGTGACCTCCGGCTTGCCCCTGTACAGCGGCTTCCAGCTGATGCCGCAGATGGTGAACGGGTTGAACTCCTCGTACTGCAGCTGGTGCTCGTCCACGGGGTTCACCTCGCAGGCCTGCAGGATCTTTCGCACCTGCTGGGCGACATCCGGCCGAGGGGCCAACTCCAGGAGGCGGCGGGCAAAGGAGGCGGCCGTCTTGTAGTTCTTCAGCTTGAAGAACATATTGAGGGCGGTGCGCAGGGTGAGGATCTGATGCACGGGCTGCAGCTTGCAGTGCGTAAAGTAGGCGGCCATCTCGCACAGACGCTTCTGCTCCTCCAGCGTTGACTTGGGCATGCCCTTGCGCACCGTTTCCATTTTGAGACCCACAATATACTCGGCGCAGATCCTCAGCAGCTGCTGGGCCTCCGCCGTATCCACTTTGGTGTCCACCACCAGCAGCGGAATGCTGATCAAGATGGAATGGAACTTTTCCACCGCCTCGGAGAATTTGCCGGAAGTCGTTAGTTGGTAACCAGCCTGCAGGCGGGCCACTAAATCGTTTAACTTGATTCCAACCGCCGGTCTTTGTAGCTTGATGTTTGTCTCGGAGAAGTTGCGCAATGGGTAGCCACTCAGCGATTGCAGATTCGGATTAGCTGTATAACTGGTTCTAGAACAAGCGTAATTCTGCAGGAAGAGTTGCTTGAAGGGCTTGAAGTTCACCACTCCCAGCTGGTCGTTTAGCAAACGGAAGGCGGTCTCGAAGGATCCGGCCTTCACATGGTCCAGAACCAATGGAGAATTATTCGCCCATTGCTGGGCAGGCGACAATCCCTTGTTGGGCGCCGCATAGTAGTTGCTGTCCAACGCGGAGGCCTTGATCTTGGAGGCCAGCTCCTCGGGTACCACCAGATCATCGTCGCCCACATCCCAGCCGGCGCCATCCTCGCCGCCTGCTCCGCCATCTCCATCGTTGCTCAGCGCATCGTGCATCTCCTCGTCGCCGTCTTCATCTAGTCCCAGATCCGCATCAGCTCCCCAGCCATCTCCCCCGCCATTGTGCTCGTCCAGCACCGCAGCATCGGCGTTGATATTCAAAGCCTGGCGGGCAGTGGCACTCGATCCCGCCCTGGTGACCATGGCGCCCTCGAAGAAGCCCTTGGAAACGGACAGCAGCGGCCAGTTGGTCTCCAGCTGCTGGATGGGCACGGGTGGCTGCAAAAGCTGAGCATTCGGATTCACCTCAGGCAAAGCGTTGCCCTGCGAAGTAATTGTCTCACTCAGCGATTCAGTAAGGTCCTCGAATCCATGGGTGGCGGCTGTGAGATAAGCCAACGAAAGTTGCCCACAGTTCTTGAGGATATTCACCCGCTCCTTGACGTCGCCGAGGAGCAGAGCACCCTGGTACTGCGCGGAGACATCCTTGCGGATCTCGGCGATCTTGTTCATCTTCTTCAGCTTCTCCAGGTTGCCGGTGATCAAATACAGGAAGCTGAGCTTGTCAAAGTTCTTGGTGCGCTGGTAGCACATCTCCACCACCTGGTGGTTGCCCTGGAGCAGGGCACTCTGGCCCAGACGATCCCAGCAATCCTTGTCATCCAGTGCCTTGGCGGCCTCCAAAGCGATTTCAATGTTTCCGCACTCGAGAGCCAATCCAAAACGGGTCTTCTCGTCCTTGACAAAGTGCAGGGCCACCTCGGGATAGCCCTTCTGCTGCAGATAGGCGATGATGCTCTGACCCACCAGACGGGCATTCCTCACCATGTGCAAAACCTCGTCGTATTTCCGCTGAATCAAGGCCAACTTGAACTTGTACTCGGTGGGATCGATGTGAAGCACGCGAGTGCGGCACTCGCGATCCAAGCAGAACACCTGGTTGCCCTTGACGCGGGTGAGATAGATGGGCAGATCCAAAGTACGGATGATGCCGTGGTCTCCGTTGGTAATGGCGTACTTAATATGATTACTAGTGGTGTAGATAAACACCCCAGATTCATCCCAAGCTCCTGATTTCACGCGGCAGTTCTCCTGCACGGTGCACAAGTACTGCAGCCGTCGATCGCAAATGGTCACCGAGTGTTTGCAGAGCAGGGCCACCAAAGACATGTCCGGAGACCACACCACATAGCGGCACTTGGCCAGCTTGATGCTGCCCACGGAAACCAATCGCTGCACTTCGTACAGGGTGACAAATTCAGGATCCCTGATGAGCAGCATTCCCGTGCCGGCATAGAAGATCTCCTCGCAGAAAGTGGGCAGCTTCTTGGTCACCTCGTTCTTGAAGTTCTTGATCACCAGCTGCTGGTTGCGATCGAGCACTGCAAACCGATTGCGGGCCACCCAGATGGCGGTGATTCCGGAGCTGCGCTTACTGTCCGATTCGCTCTGACTTTCGGTATCCTTGGGGATCTGGCACAGGTCGTAGGTGCTGTTCTCCAGGTTGTTGGTGCGGGTGCAGATCAAAACGGCATTTAGAGCGGGGTTATAGGACATGCTGTAAACCGGTGACTTGCCCGGACGCAGCTGCATAACCACCGTGTCCTTGGTGGTGGTAAAGTCCAGTTTGCGCAGGAAGCGCTCCTTGACATAGTAGAGAATGTTGCCATGAACGGCGTAGGCGGGACGCTCGCGCTCCAGTTTGAAGACCACCATGCCTGTGATAAAGAAAAGGGATTAATACATTAAATAACTAAACTAAACAACTAATACACGTCACTCAGCTAAAGGGAGTGCGAGATATAAAACTTTGATTGAGCATAACTTTTTAATGAATGATCCGATTTGAAAAATGTCTTCTACATTTCGATAGGTATAAATGTACACAACAAAATTGCATTTATACTTCTCGGAAATCTTTAAAGCTGTAGACGCTAGACACATTTTAAAATCGTTAGTGGGCAATAGGGGGGCGTGGCGCTCAGCTGAAATAAACTTGCGCTGCATAGGAAGCCTATGAATATGTGTCGGAAGTCTCAACCTTCTAGCTTTTGTAGTTTCCGAGATCTCAGCGTTTATACGGACGGACAGACATACGGACATAGTTATATTATAGTTATTAACCCACCTCCATCGTGGCCAGCTGCAAACAGATTCAAAGTAGGATGCGCCGTGAGGATCCAGAAGCGCTCGTTGTCCCGCCGGAATGTGAAGAGGCACTGCCGCTTGGTCATGTCCCAGACGCGAATGCTGCGATCCTCGCCGTTCGAGAGGATCAAATCCTGCCGTGGGTGGAACAGCACGCTGGACACGTTGTTGTAGTGACCGCGGCAGGTGTCCACCTCCCAGGCTTTGTACTCGTTCATGCGCCACAGCTTCACGAGGCGATCATCGGCACCGGAGACGATCAGCGGCAGAGTGGGATGGAAGCTGGCCCAGTTGACGCCACGATCGTGACCCTCGAGCACGTGCTTGACCACGGCATCCGCCTGGCCGAAGAGATCCGTGGCGCCGGGATGACCCTTCAGGTGATCATCGAGGCCGCCGGGTCCGGGAGCCACGTTCTTCTTGCGCAGCCCCGAGATGTCCCACACGCGAACCGTTTGATCTAGAGAAGCGGAGACTATCTGATCCTCCGTGGGATGAAACTGGGCGCACATCACGTAGTGATTGTGTCCGGTCAGAACGCAGATGCAGTTGCGCGACTGCCAGTTCCAGATGCGAATGGTCTGATCATCGGAGGCGCTGAGAATCCAGGGATATTCGTGGTGGAAGGCCACCGTGCGCACATAGTCCAAATGGGCCAGCAGGGTGAAGATGCAGCGGCGCTGCTTGTAGTTCCACACCTTGATCTTGTAGTCATCGCCGCCGGAGACGAACAAGGGCATCTGGGGATGGAAGGCGACGCCTCTAACTGGACCATCGTGCTCGTCGAACTTCTCGAGGAGCGTGTGCATCCGGTAGTCCCACAGCTGGATGACGCCGCTGTGCAGGCTGACCAGGATCCAAGGGCGTTTCGGGTGGAAGGAGAGGCCCTTTACCCGCGCCGACTTGGACTCGAAGTTGGTCAGCATGTTGTTGGCTCTTTTTCCGCTCTGAGTAGGTGTCTCAATTGGGGGTTCCTTCTCTTCGGGGTGTCGGCTTTTCCTTCAAGCGCCCTTTTTCGTTTGCCTCGGGCACTTGCCTGTTATAAAAGGGGAAATAGTAGGTGTATTGTATTATTATTTGTTATTTAAGTACTTTATTTAACACGTAATCTACTGCCAACAATTAATTTTATGAAAAACACCAACCAATCGTTGAAATTGTGACACGTCAATTATCTTCTTCTTCTTAGGCAGGGTTGCCAGCCGTTGGCAAAGGTGCACTTATTACCATAAGTATGTGTACAACATTTTTAATAATTACAAAAATGATTATGAAATATTAGATTCTTAAATATGCGTTTATTTATTAAATTTCATTACATTTATTTTTTATTTATTGGAATATTATTGAATTAATATTTACACAGAAATACCATTTACTTTAACAGTTTCCTTGGGCAACTTATTTTATTTTTGTTTATTTAAAAAAATAGCAATTTGTTTATTTTTGTATTAAATATTATTCTCCTATTAAATGGTAAAATTACCCTTAATGCGAATACTTTTAGTAACCACTGTCAGGAACCATATATGATTCCGTTTTCCAACACTGTTCAAAAGTGCAATCAAAAAATATACCTACGCTTTGTTTACTTCCCGACCTACCATGAAAAAGTTATAAATAATAAAGATGACGCTGGCACACCGCGCACTCTTCACCTGGTTCATTGTGCTGGTCTTCCTGATCCTGCTGTGCCTGCGGCTGGACCCGCGCACCACCTGGAATTGGTTCGTCACCTTCACGCCGCTCTGGTTCTTCGATGTGATCATCATAATCTACGTGATCATCAAGTTCATCCGCAAGTGGCGGAATCTGACCTGCCTGACGGACCTGCTGTTCCTCTACAAGTGGAACATTGCCGGCGTCCTGCTGACCATCTCCTCGCAGGTGATGATCTGCCTGACGCTGGAGTACCCGCAGCAGATTCCCATCTACGTGACCATTGCCCCGGTGGTCCTGCTGCTGAGCACCGCCATCTTCTACGTGGGCAGCCGGCTGGGCAAGCGAGAGGGCTGGATTCAGTAGGATTAAGCATGTATTTAAGCAGTAGGATTAGGTGTACATAAAGTGGAGTTAGCTCAGAAGCCGTATTTGCTTTGGGTGGCGCGACGGGTCTGCCGGTTGGCCGACCACATGGCCTGCAGCTCCGCCTCGTTGGCCTTGGCCTTGTGGGCCAGGTAGGTGATCTGGTGCTTCCGGCGCGTCCCTGCCACAGGCTCCTCATCTGTAAGCACTCCAGTGGGCTGGTAGGTTGTGGACGAGGCCAGCGCTGTTCGCATCCATTCCTCGCGATCGGGCATCACCTGTGTGCCCACAATGTCGATCACCTGGCTCATCTCCTTGGCCTCCTTCCGCCGCCGCTTGGCATTCTTGCCCACCAGTGCGTCCATGGCCGCGGAATCGAGCTGCTGCTCGTGGTAGCGCTTCTGCGCCAGCTGCGTCTGCTCCTCCTCCAGGCGGGCGGCGTCTACCTCGGCTGCTTCTTGTTCGGCCATCTCCTCGAGGTATTTGCTGCTGGCCTCCACCATCTTGGCAGCTCGCTTGGCCACCAGAGCGCTAATCTCGTTGCTGCTCACCTCGGGCAGTTTGTGCTCGGAATTTAGGGAGAAGAAGTCGCCAGAGCCTTCCTCCTCATCCTCCTCGCTATCGCTGGCGGTCACCAGGGAGGTGGTTTTAGTAGGAGGCTTGGCTTTTGTGGACTTTGTAGCATCCTTTCCTTCAGGATTCTTCTTTTGAGCGGCCTTGGTGCCATCTACTCCTTCTGTATTGTGCGCTGCCCTTCGTAGCTTCACTGTATCGGGCACAAAAGCTGGAGCGGATCGGTTTTGGACAGGATTACTTGTTGGATTGGTAGCAGATGTGTTGCTCGCTGAGGGAGTTACTGCCACTGATGAGGAGCTGGAGCCCTTGGAGAAATTCCGCTCCGACTTGGCCTGGGGCAGCATACTGAGCAGACCCGATCCCTTGGGCGCATTGGGTTTGTCCACCTTGTTCTTGGCCTTGTCGGCCTTCTCCTTGTCCACATCGGAGAATTCCCGCAGCGAGGGAATGCTGATCTTGACGCGACCTTTCACCGGCGGCGGTGGAGGCTTCTCAATTTCAATTGGCAGCGCTTTCTTGTGCAGGAACTCGTCGTCTTTCTCCTCTATAATGGGTTTTCCTCCTGCTGCAGCTCGTGGCATGGGCAGGTTGGCAAAGGCGGGGGTCACCAGCTCGTCCACATCCTCATCTTCTGGGTTCCCGATGGAAGCAATGACCTTGGGCTTTGGCAAGGCCAGTAGGAGTCTTCCCGTGGGAGGCTTCAGTTCCTGCAAGGACACTTCTTGGGGAACGTAATCGTCGTCTTCATCGCTAATGTGTCCACTTGATGATTCAGGTTGTATAGGTGCCTCTTTAGAGGGACTTGATGTGATCTGCTTAGCTGGTGGTTTCACCAGTTCCACTTGTGGCCCTGGAGATTCCTCCTCGTTCTCCGAATCTTCGTCAGAACTGGCGGCATAAGCAACAAGCGACATCTTTATCAAATTGTTGAAATTAAACAATGCAATACACAAGCTACAGCTGTTTATAAGGGTAGAGTTGTCACCTGTTAAGGGTTGTCATCTCTTTTTTTTAATTATGTTGTGCTTTGATCAACACTGCTAATATTACCGTTATAATGTTTTGAAATTTAAAACAGTGATTTTTAAATTAAAATTAAAATTAAAAATTAAATTAAAAGTTCCAAAAACGTTTTTATTTTGTAGAGAATTGTAGATGTGTGTTTAAAATATTTAAATATTTACCTACCTATGCCCGTGAAAAACCATGTATACCTGTAAACTTTAAAATATGAAATCCCAGGATTAAACCCCAAAAAGGATACTTATTTAAGAAATACCTGATTAACTCCAGATGGTTACAAAAAGTATATCCATCTGGATTACCGTATGTTAGGTAATAAAACCTAAAACTATAGCTTCATTGTTCAGGTAACCTCATCTATAAGCAACTTACTACCTGTAGCAAAACTCTTATTTGGTATAAATTAGGCTGAACACACCACTGCAGGATCAGTCAACATTTTCCCTTCAGAGAATACAGATATATCCAGAACTATGCATCACCATCAGAATCTCGGAGACGCTGCCGCCTTGAATGGGATGCTCCCGCCCTACGAAGCCATGGCCATGTACGAGCAGCCCAAGCCTCGATTCATCTTCAAGATGCCGCGGGTGGTGCCCGATCAGAGATCCAAATTCGAGAGCGACGAGCTCTTCCGCCGGCTCAGCCGGGAAAGCGAGGTGCGCTACACGGGCTACAGGGAACGGGCGGCGGAGGAGCGACGGATGAGGTTCGTCAACGACTGCCGCAAGGGCTATGCGGAGATCTCGATGGTGGCCTCCGGCACCAACCTGCAGCTCTACTTCAACGCCAACCACAATCCCTATGCCCAGGAGCAGGAATGCGACTTTGAGCGGGAGCGGGGCAAAGTTCATCTGCGTTCCAACTTTATTATGAACGGTGTGTGTGTTCGATTCCGCGGCTGGGTGGATCTGGATCGACTGGATGGCGTGGCCAGTCTGGAGTTCGACGAACAACGAGCCCAGCAGGAGGATGCCCAGCTGCAGGAGCAGATCCAAAGCTACAACCAACGGATGGCGGAGTCTAAGAGGATCTACCACACTCCACAGACTCCACCCGAGGATCACCACCGCAGGGGAGGACCTGGTATGCCAGGTGGACCAATGGGTTGGTAGTGGTATATAAATATGTAAAAATTAGTTTAGCTTAAGTAAGAACTAAGTAATATCGACAATAAATAAGTAAACTACATTTTTTTGTTTTATCTTTCATATTGAATTTAAACTGCGGTTAAAATTTTAACCAAAACTTAACCTAACTCTTTGAGATCCGTTTTATAGCTCTAGTTATGTGCCCCGAATGTACTTTCTTTCTTCTATATCGTCATGGCTAGTTGTTTCGGTAGCAATGAGTCCATCATTTTGTGATTGACATTGACAGGAATTAATATGTGATTTCTTCAACTGGTGGCCCTTAAAGCTCCAATTTTTAGTGTCGCCCTCTAGTGTTCATAAAAAAAAGGCGGGCAATTTGAACAAGCCACTTAACTATTCTTGCCCCACTCTCCCCTATCAACATTCCATTAAATGGGGCTAAAATCTAACAAAAACCTAATATAGCTGATTAATAGAGAACTAGACCGCAAACCCTTTGTTCAAATAGGCCTAGTTATGATCCCATATTAAACAAAATACCCTAAATTCGCTAAGAACTTCCTAGTTTTGTGGGCCATGCAATTGGCGAAAGGCACTCATGTATGTTCACCTAATGATTGTTTATCTGGGGCTCCTTAAGGGTTGCTGGCCGGGGTCTTTGGCCTTAATTGCGCCAGTTTCGGAACAACGGAACAACCACCACCCGACTCGCCACCCGATGAGGAGTGGGTCCAGCTGCCGTTCCTTAGTTCCCACTTGGTGCTCTCCACTCTCCACTCTCCGGGGTGGGCCGGCTGTCGGTCCTCTCTGCCTCACTCGTAACTCTCGTAGTTCTCGATTCTCGGCCAGAGAATCACCGGGCATGTGAGCATATATTGATTTTCCGCCATTCCGTTTGGGATGCTGCCGAAATAAACTTTGCAACTGGTCTGAATCTGAATCCGAATCGGAATCAGTCTCTTTTCGAACGCGAGACTGAAAGCGGAAAAAAGGAAAGGTGCGCCGGCTGCCAAGTGCGAGTGAAAATGAAATAAATAGAAGGGAAGCGTCCGCCGCGAACTAAGAATTCATAAAATTATACATACCGCGCAGCAATTTGAAAACATTCGGTGGTTGTCCCAACCGAATCGGCACGAAAAGCTGCGAGTTTTGGTCTAAAATTAGCGACCGGTGTGTTTTCGGTAGGGTGTGTGGTGAACTCCGGCCCCTCCGAACCCGAACCCCCAAACGGCGGCCCACTTGGGATATTGTATAGCCCCCGAAAGTGTTTACCCATAAATTGGCCAAGATGCCCCCAGCATCCAACACGATCGTGCTGAAGAGCCTCTCTGTGTTACTGGGCCTGTTCTTCATCTTCGTGGGCACCCTGAAGCTGACGCCGCACATCAGCAAGGATCTCTACAAGGACCTGGTAAGTGGAAAATCCTGGAAAATCGATAGGGCCAGAGATTTAAAGCGGTCAGAAAGGGTGTGTGCAGCCCATTGATTTTTCACAGCGGGAATGGGATGGAGTGCAGTTTTAAAACCATCTTTTCACTAATTGGAACGCTCTTATGTAAATGTTTTAGGAAAATCATTTTAAGAAAAGTCTCATATTAGATATAGAAATATGACTGACTAATGGGCATTGAACTCGACCCCATCAATGCCAATCGTTGACATTCGGAAGACGCGAGACGCTATGATCTTCAAAAGATATTTCAGGAACAATATATGCTTTGAAAAATCACTTGAAAAAATTCCAAAAATGTTCAGGAAACTCTTAAACTTTCGAGTTCATTATAAAATATACGTTTTAATTATTCAAATAGACTGTGATTCATTCAAAAAGAGCCAAATAAATTTTTAAATTAGATAATTAATAATCTTTCCAACCAATTGCATACCTAAAATTACAATTCAAACGAATTTAGAATCCTCGAAATTGTGGCAAACTTATTATTTATCACCTTGTTTGTAAATTGTTTTGAAAGCCTCCAAACAAATGAGAAACGTGCGTATAGAACTAGAAAAGGCAAAAGATTTATAGAACAGCTGTTGGTGGGAATTTTTTGTTTACTTTCTGTAAAAACAACGCCCAATGATTTCGTTTTCAATGCCATTAAAATATTTCCCATGCCAATGTAAACAATTTCTCAAACGAAAACCACCATGACGTATAGTTCTCAATCAAATCAGGGTATACAAATGGGTTTTATATATAAACAATAGGGTGAGTCGACAGATTACTCAACAAAATATATGATACAAATTTTAAAACATAATTTTAAATATATTTTAACATGCAAACCTATATATAAAACCCCGTATATACAAATTCAAATTGGCATTGCATTCGTTACGCGCCATTTTACTTTCAAAAATCCCATGTTTTTCAATCTATTTTTTTGTCGCCAAAACTGTGGCATCGGAATTACGAAATATTTGTTTTGTTTGCTGTGCTCCCAGTGGTGTAATTGTAATTGTAATTGTAATTACCACAAACACTTGGGGCCAACGATGCCAACAAAAACATACAAATGCGACAACAAGAAAAGCTTGCCTTTATTTAAAAATAAACGGGCTGCACTGCCTTCCGCTGGGAGCAAATTCCTCGGGGTAATGTTTCTGGGCAAGATTAATTATAACCCATACTCGATTGCAGCGCACGGAGTACGTGAAGTATGCCAAAGTATTTCCGCTGACGGCCCTTTTCGGAGTGAAGATCCCCTCGAAATGGTACCGACGCACCGTTGGCATCCTGGAGATCGTCTGCGGCCTGGCCATGGCACTGATTCCCTATCGTAAGTGATGGATATATATTAAAATGATATAAGATATGATAGTACTCCCTACTCACCCCCAGATAAAGTCAAGAATGCGGCCAATGTGACGCTGCTGGTGCTGATGCTGCTGGGCATCTACCAGCACTGGATGGTCAGCGATCCCTTCGAGCGCTCCGGACCGGCGCTGGTCTTCACCTTCATGCTGGGCGGCCGCCTGGTGGTCTGGTACCAGACCGCCCGCCTCCAGGACGAGGCCTCGACGGCCGCCCAGCCGCCGGCGAATGGCGTCAAGCAGGATTAGGCGACCCTCATCACAGCATACTCATAGTCATTCACTGATCCAGCTTTGTTTTAGCACCTTAAGTTGGGCCCGAAAGCTCACTGAACATTCACTCATCATTCTAGCGAATCGAAATTCATGTTTTCACTTTGGTGCCAAATAATTATCGTATACAAAAACTATTTAATTGCAATGGCGAGAGATATTAACTAAAACCGTAGAGCCGCGACATAAAGACGACCAGCAAACAAGCAGAAATTGTAATCAAATCCTCTTCGTAAAGGGCACTTAGTCGGAACCATCTAAATTACGACTTTTAGAAACAATTTTAATAAATTTCAAACAACTCATACATATTTAAAATTAATTATCCAACGTCAGTCAATCTGAATTATCGTTTTACTTTCGTGTTAAGCGGGAGATTATTGGGTATATCGGGTGCTCTAGGCTGTAACTGTGCCTGGAAAGTGATGTACTAATACATAATGGGTATTCCTACTCGGATCCAGTGCTCAGCAGCTTGAGGGCCTTCTGCAGGTTCTCAATGGCCGTCTTCACGTCGTCGTAGTTAAGAGCACTTCCTGCGTACTTGCAATACTTCTGGGCGGCAATCATTTGGTCCGGAGTGATCTGCACTCCGGCCACGGGCACAATGGGCTGGTAAATGGTGGCCGCAGTGGCTGGATGCGGCTGACCCGTGGGCACGTAGGGCACGAAGCCACCGGGCTTCTCCTCGTCCACCGGCGGACTGGGCAATTTGTTCGGATTATTGAGCACCTCTTCGGCTGTGGGAGGAACTACGCTGGATGCTGGGGGCGATGGATCTGCCTCGGGCTCTGGAGCAGGAGCTGGGTCAGCAGGAGCTCCTCCGGCTGCCTCCTCATTGGCATTCTCCCCCTGCAGCTCCGCCTCATCATCGTCATCTGGCAAGGGACCGGGAATCGGAGTCTCTCCGTTCTTCAGGCAGTTGTGGATGTAGGCGGCCTTCCACTTGGCGTACTTCCTGTTGTGCAGCGCCTCCTCGCTCAGCTCGCCGAAGGTCTGGAGTATGTCGTAGAGCACTCCGCTGGAGTAGAAGGCCTTGACCACGTTTCTGGTGGGGAATTACAAGCATATAAATCAAGGAAATCATACCCTCCCCGTATGAGCTTGACCCACTTGCCAAAGTTCTCCTCGCGATCCTGTTTATCGGCATATAGGAATAGTTTGAGGGCATAGTTCTCGATGTGAGCCTGGGCAGCCACCTCGTTGGTCAGGGCCTCATTATCCGCATACTGCTTCTTCATCTGTTCCAGCCAGTCCATGATACCTTTAGTTCCCAGTTCCCAGGGAAAACCAAAACAAAACACGGATGAGTCATAATCGGGGAATTTGCGTATTAATTATTAGACTCACCCAGCAGTAATTTGGTTTCCTCGCCCGTTTGGGTGGAGGCCTTGAGGCCAATCTGGAGGGCACTAGTTCAGGGATCAAACAAAGAACGTTAAAATACGGGGTTTACAAAGGAAAAACAATCTCCAGGTACTTACTATAATCTCGCCCAGTATGCGATGACCACATCTCGAGTGTCGTGCTCCTGGGCCAACTTCAGGAAGTGCTGGATGGACTTCAGGGAGGGAGGACAAGGTGGAAACTCCATCTTGGTCGGCAGAGCACTTGATCTTCTACAGAATTCCTTTATATGGTTTATTTTATATGGGGTCTGGAAAAACACTATGCCGAGAGAGTTGCCAGATTGGCCAAAGCTGATTGGAGTAGAGTGACCAGCTATGTGGGTCAATCGACCTGCGCCTATCGATAACAGTTGAAACTAGTAAACCATAAACTAAAGTTAGTACCTACTAGGTACTACCTATTTCTACAGGTGTTGGTGGAGAAGCTCATTTGAGAAACGGCGGCCAAGACGATTGGAGTTCTTAGGTAAACACACTGGGAACCGGTTTAGAAGTGCCTTATCAATCCAAACTAATTGCACTTTGCACTTTAACCTGCATCCTACGCACTTTACTTTATAGCACCGGCAACATGGTTCTCTCGAAGCCCCTCTACTCGCTCTTTGGAACTTATCTGGAGCAGCTCTTCAACCATCCGGTGCGCACCAAGTCCATCACGGCGTGAGTACCTTGAACCGCTTATCAGGCTATCCGGTTAATCCATTGATTGCTCCTTGATTCCAGATGCGTTCTGGCCACCTCGGCCAATGTGACCTCGCAGAGATTGGCGGGCGCCAAGACGCTCAACCAGCATAGTGTCTTCGCCTACGGACTGTTTGGCCTGATCTTCGGAGGCAGTGTGCCCCACTACTTCTACACGACGGTGGAGCGACTCTTCGACCATGATGTGAAGTTCAGGAGGTTCTTCCTGTTCCTCTCCGAGCGACTGGTCTATGCCCCCATCTACCAGGCACTTTCGCTCTTCTTCCTGTCTTTGTTCGAGGTGGGAATCATCAGGAACTCTGAGATTATACGTATATTAACCCCCAATCTCTTCCAGGGCAACCCTCCCAGCGTGGCGATCAAGAACGTGGAGAAGCTCTACTGGCCCCTGCTGAAGGCCAATTGGCAGTACCTCTCCCTGTTCGTCTACCTCAACTTCGCCTATGTGCCCCCGATGTTCCGGTCCATCAGCATGGCCATCATCTCCTTCATCTGGGTGGTGTACATTGCCAAGCGGCGGCGCCGCTTCCAGGAGAAGCTGGCCGCCGAGAAGGCAGCCAAATAAGCATTCCGGCCTTTAAACCTTGTGTTATGTGCCTGTTGTCTTGGCTTAATATTCCAATTATTGTTTAGATTACGGCCGTACTAGTTGAAGTTCTTTATCTGCCCTGCGTTCGTTCCGGTGGATTGCAAAAAGAGGGTGGAAGATAAGCTAAAACTAACTGGAGGGTCGCCTTATCAACCGACTGTTGTTATACCTTAAATTTTGTAAACTTTTCGTACTAAAAATAAACGTATAAATAATGTAAGAGCCGTTTGTAATGCTAAAATTTAAATGGATGGAATAACAAGTAAACTATGTAAGAAGAGAAGTTAATTAGATCGATTTCACATATCTTTAAGTGTGTCCAATGCACTTATAATTAAATTCTATTTTAACGATATATTTTTTATTAAACGAACAGTAAAGTACGTGGCTTTACTAAGAATAGGATAGTATTTGAAGACGATCCTAGAACTTTTTAGACATGTCTATGGGGATAATAATACTAACTCTAGCTCTTTGTTGGGTAAAATTGGGAATTATTTCATTCTTAAGTTAAATTATATTATATATACGATAATTTCAGCTCGTGTTGGTGAAAGCTGGACCTCAAGAGGACAGCCTAAGGGAGCACAATCGTTTGAGGAGAATTCACGGTAGTCCTCCGCTGACCTTGGACGCCTCACTCTCCAGGGGAGCTGAACAATATGCGATGGTTTGAATCCAATATTACTACAATAATATAATTATTAATATTTAATTTCTTTAAAAGGAGCTTGCTTCTCAGGGAGCATTGAGGCATTCAAGTGGCGCAGGCGAATCCTATGGGGAAAACATATGCCGACACATTGATCCTGTGAAATGTGTTCAATTTTGGTATGACGAGATCGGTTCCTACAACTATGGATCAGCGAGATATAGCACGGCTACTGGACATTTTACCGCCTTGGTTTGGAAGTCTTCGAGAAAACTGGGTCATGGTCAAGCCAGGGACGGAAAAGGAATCTACTACGTGGTAGCAAGATATACTCCCAAAGGAAACGTTAGTGGGCGGTTCAAAGAAAATGTTCTCGCCGCAAGTGGGTAGGGTTGAGTATATGACTTCTAGTCATTCTGGTAAATTTACCATTCCCATGTAATAGCATATCATGCTAAAGAAAGTAAATTCCGCAATGGTATTGGCAAGCATTTTTATTAGAAAGTAATGCAAATTATTGTAATTTCTATACTCTATTCTGTGGATTCCATTTTTAGAACAAATTTTTCCATTATCGCGTTGAGGCGCTTCCGCTCTTTAAGCTGCTGCTGCATTAAATCAGATATCTGGGAACCCAAAGCTAATAATGCCTCTGTATTGGCTTCAGATCGTTGGGCATTCAAGCGGGTTTGCCTATTCAAGTCACGCAGTTCCTTTGCTATGTCCATGAGGACCGGAACAGAGCTCTCCTGCTCGGTTTCGAAAGGACTTTCTTCTTCAAGCTTTCTTTTCTTGGGCGTAGTAGTTTTTGCAGTGTAGTTGCTAAAGCGCTGCTCTAACTTAACAGCCGAACTTCTAGTTTGGATGGGATTGCTGCAATCTTCCTCCTCCTCATCCTCATAGTCTTCTATAAAAATATTACTAATTTAGATATTTTTACTATGGAAATCTCTGTAATATTATCACCATTATCTGTCACCGTGGCGTCGTCGTGATCAGTTTTAATGCTTCGCAGGGAGACGCCTTGCGATGTTTCGGACTGCGTTTTGGATGGTCGTGCTTCCACAATGGTGTCTGCCATGTCGTACAGGTCACAAATCACGGCCACTGCATCCTCCAGGGGAGTGAGGGTGTCCTGATACAGGGATCCCTTGCCACTGGCCTTTGAGTCCTCCAGCCGGTTGTTGGTAATCTTCTTGCGAATGCAGCTCTTCCAATCCTTCCAAACCTATGAAAACGGAGGAGTTTAAAAGGTTTCTTTAAAGAAAGGTTTTTTGAGGATCACCTACCCTTTTCCATTCGCAGGCCTCCTTGACAGGTGGACCCACACTGTTCAGCTCCTTGGACAATCTCCTCCAGGCCGCTTCCGCCGCCTGCTTGTCGCCCTTTAGGTAGTTTTTCGAGATGATGGGATGCCGCTCCATGAATGCGACGAAAATTGCATCCTGTTGTGCGGTTCTGTGCTTACCCCTGTTTGAAATTATCAAATAAAGTTAGTTTATGTATTACCTTTTCATAGCTGACTCTACTTACATTACTTCGACTTAAAATTGCGTATACACAATGCACACGATTCTTTTTTTTCCTAACTACAGTAAATAATTTAATATTTTGTATAATTTTCTGTTGACAATTGAGAGCATTTGGCTGCTCTTTGAAAAGTACAAAAATATCTCAGATACTTTTGTAAATATACCAAATTTGTAGTGCTCACATAGACTCAAACCATTGAAGGTACCTTTTCCATAGACACAAACCATCTTTTAGAATTTTGTATTTAAAATTTGTAAAATGTGTGTCCTTAAAATTCGTTTGCCCATTCTTAAAAAATGTTTAATTTTCCAAAAAATTTAATTTAGTTTGTTTAACAATATTCGATTACCCTCTTAAAACATCTTAGCTTAGTTTACTTACTTTGAAATTGAAAAATTGTTGAAAAAACGGTTGCCACCTCTTAAAACTAAATAATTTGGTAGGACCACCTCTTAAAACAAAATATTAAAAAAAAAAAAAAAATTTACCAACATCTTAAAAACCTTTTTTTTAGCGTAAAAAATCAGACTTTTGAGTGTAAAAATTTAAATAATTGTCAAAACTTGGATTTGGGATCCATTTTGTCCAAGTTGCTCCAAAAAAAACACATAATAAAATACGTACTTAAACCAAAATCCAGAACCTTATTTTAAGCTTGAAACCACTTTTCGAAATGAAACTCAAGAAAACTACATTTAGAGAGGCAACAAATAATTTATTTATATTAAAACGCAGCTTATAACTAGCAAATAATCGAGCAAAGGCTTACGAACGAGTATTGTTGGCCTAATATCGGGGCTACAGTATAATTTCGCTAGTAAATTCATGTTCAGATGACTAACTTAGGGCTACGGAATGCGGTGTAAAACAAGTTAAATGCGCATAACAACTATCTTAGGGACTAGGAGTCGTGACTAGTGGGGCTGGTGACTAGGATTGTTGATGAGAGTGATTGCGGGGCAGGGATCTCCGGGTCTCCGTCTCAGGAATCGCCGCACATCTTGCGCAGCGAGGCGGTTAACACTCAGAAGGCGGCCAGCGATGGACTCCTGCTATTCCGCAGGGGCGTGAGAAGGGGCGTGGCGGGACTGCTGGCGCGGCTGAAGCAACTGGAGCAGCAACTGGAGGCCTCCTCCGCCGCCTCGCCTTCTCCGGTCGCCTTGTGATGATACGGAATGGGTCGCTTGCGAGCACTGTAAGTAGAATCCATAGATTAGTAAGAGATTTTAACTTATCTCTGAATAATAAGAAACTCAAATGAATAACTCACCAAATAACTGAAAATCGTAAGGAACTCAAAAGTTTTTGGCTAAAAATCAAACAAACGAAATCCTATAAAACCAAAGGTTTATAATATAATCTGTAAAGGTGACAAAGTTTATTGGCGGCTTGGCTAAAATACGAGAAATTAGGTTGACACATAATCGGATAGGCTACAAAAACATATTAGAGATATTGTTGGATAGTTAAAAAAGTCAAATTATAAGTAGTTCCTGAGTGAGCTGAAAAAAATCAAAAATCATTTAGACAAAATCAGGAGTTACGTGTGTGTGCTGTATAAATAAAGTGTGTTTGTATAATCAATGCAACTCAAGCGGATAATGGATAATGGCAATCAACTAGCGTCTTTTGTTGCGTGGCGATCGACGGCTACGGAATTAGGAAAATAAAATATATAGAAAATCATAGGATTAATATACAAAAATAAGAGGTAGTCCCGGTAGAAGAGTAGTCCTGTCTAGCTACCTCGTTATGCGACGTCTGTCTAGAAAGCTGGGCGAGCCGCGACGCCTGGGGATGGAGGGTGACCGGGAGCCGGACTGTGATGATGCGGAGCCGCTGCCTCCGGAGGAGGAGCTGCCCGAGCTGCTGTGCGAGGAGCAACTGGAGCGGGAGGAGTGCGACCCGGAGCGGGACCTCGAACTGCGCGATCCGCTGCGACTGCTGGATGAGCTGTAGCGTCTGCAAGGATAGGTAAGATCATTAGTATTTGTTTATAATTCAGGGTTCGGAAATTGACACACATGTTACAACATGAAAAATTGTATTTTACAGTGTTAGCAAAATTTTTGACATGTGTGTCAAATACAAAAGTGTTAAAATGTGAAAAATAATTGTTAACGCACACAGCACACTTGTGTTTTTTACACTGTGTTTTTAAGACGACGTGTTTTTTACACACTGTTTTTAACACAAATGAAAATTACGTGCCACAGACATTAAGAGTCGAAGGGAAAATGAAAAACCAATATGGTTATGTTAGTTTTAACCATTTCAAAGCATATATAAATTCTTATACTCTATACTCAACATACAATTCTGGCACTTTGAAGTCAAAAACTCATTGCGTTAAAAACACGCTGCGTAAAAAACACGTCGTGTTGATAACACATCGTGTAAATAACACAAATGACATGTGTGTGTTATTTATGTTTCTAACATATGTAGAATACAATTTTTTACTCATGTTAATAACAAAAGTTTTTTAAAGTGTGTGCTATTTTATAATCCCCTATAATCTTAATACTTACGATCTCGACCTGCTGTCAGAGTGATGTCGATGATGGCTTCCGCTGGTGCGCCGCTTACTGCGACTCCTGCTCCGACGCTCCCTACTCCTGCTCCTGCGGGCCGCACTCTCCGCCGCCGCTGCCGCCGCCACGGTGGCCGTGGAAACCTTGGAGACGATGGCATCCACCAGCGAGCTGTCCGCCAGCGCTGCGACCAGGGGCTGTGGATCGTGAATTTTGAAGGGTTTTATAACGATTTTCGGTTTCTGTTGATGCTGATGGTGATGATGATGGTAGCTAATACTATTGGCGGCCACGGCAGCCGCCGCAGCTGCCGCATTGAAGCTAATGGGACCGCCGCCGGCACCCCGGACATGCGGCGGATGCCCCAACAGCGGAGCACCCTGCCCACCAACCACACCGGCTCCTGTTAAAGAAAGAAGTCCCGGATGCCGCGGATTACCATGCCCAAAGAGAGCCGAATTGTAGACGAGGCCACGGGCCAAATGGTGAGCCTGCTGCTGCTGCAAACTGTGCTGGTGGTTCTTGCAGATGTTGTAGTGGGTGGCGGTCAGCAGGGGACCGTGGTTGAGGCGATTGGTGGTGCGGTTGTAGGTGCCAGGCGTGCCCGCCAAAAAGGGCAGCATGCCGGGCTGGTTGCTGTTGCTATTCCCGCTGCTAGTGCTACTATTAAGATTCGAATGGGGGAGCCCGCCACCAGCGCATGCATGAGGATTGTTAGTACTATTGTGTCTACTGTTGGGGTTATTATTGTTCAGCGTGCGGTTGTGGAAGATGCGCTTCCCCGGCGGATGTTGCTGCTGCTGCTGATGATGCATGTGCTGTGGAGGCGGCCTGTGGTGCGGGTGAATCTTATTCTGACCACCCACTGTCGGACTCTTGGCCTCGCCATTCGCCGCCACGTGGGGCGTCTTGCAAATGGGCGGTGTGCTGGCGTCCCTTTTCTTGAGCAACGGCGGCTCCTCCTCCACAGACACGGACAGCTGATCCGGCTGCTCCGGCTCCTTGCGCGGCTCCAGCGGCAGGATGACCGCCAAGGGCGGCGGGGGCGTGGTCGTTGTCAGTGGGTTGTTAATCAAAGCGGTCACATTGTTAGCCACAAGGAATTCGCTTAGCGAGTTACGTTTGGTAGCCGTCACCAGGTGGTCGCCACTGCCACTTACTTCGCTGCCCTCCTTGCTGGGGTCCTTTTCCATGATCCTGATCTTCTGCTTGGCCTTGGCCGCAATGCCCGACTTGAGCTGCTCCAGCATGCGCAGCTCCTGCTGCTCCTCGCGCTCCCGCCTGCTCTGCTGGAATTCCTCTAAGGCGGCGGCGGATTCTGCGCCTGTTTCGGCATCGCTGCCGTCGTCGCTTTGCGCCCGCAGGCGAACCACTGGAGCGGGTTTCGTCGCGGGGGCTTCCTTAGCCCGCTTCTTGTCCTGCACGATGATGTCCTGGTAGCGCTCTGGATGCCTCTCGGCGGGGGAGTAACGCAACTCCGAGGAACTGGAGCGAGAACGACGCCTCGCAGGCTTGGGACTCGCTTCGGCGAGCTTACTCTTTGACTTGGTTGCTGGCGGGGAGTTGGAACGCTCCCGTTTCACGCTCCTGCGGCGCTCCTTCTTGGGACTGGCCTCCTTCTTTACCTCTTTAAGCTCTGGCGTCCTGCTCCTCTTCTTTTGCTTCCTGGGCGTGGGCTTAGGCGATGGCGTCCGGGAGACAGACGAGCTGGAGCTACTGGAGCTATCGGAATCCGAGCTTGAGCTGGAAGCCGCCCTCTGTCGCTTCGTCTGCTCCAGGGCCACCATCACCGACTTTGTTCCGAGGATATCGTTCACCGTATCCTCGGCCGCCTTGAAGGGATTGAAGGCTGGTGTGGGCGCCACCTTCTTGGGCGGCGCCTCTGGGGAATGGGCTGGCGATTTGGATCGGGATTGGCGGCTTAACTTGGTGTCATCTGTTCGCTTTCTGCTCGCATTCGATGGCGATCGCTGGCGGCGGTCGTCCTTTGTCTTTTTGGGACTGCGCTCTTTGGGGGAGTTAATAGTTCGGGATTCCTTGGCTGGACGATCTTTGGAGCGCTGCCGCTCCTTTGAACGTTGCCTTTCCTTTGATCGCTGCCTCTCTTTGGAGCGTTGTCTTTCCTTTAAGCTCTGCTTATCTTTGGAGCGCTGCCTCTCCTTTGATCGTTGTCGCTCCTTTGATCTCTGCTTTTCCTTTGATCGATCTTTGGACCTATCTCGCCTTTTGTCCACCGATTGCTTCTTATCCTTGGACCTATGCCTTTCCTTGGATCTTTGTCTATCCTTGGACTTGGACCTCTGTCGTTCTTTAGATCGCTGTCTTTCCTTGGATCGTTGCTTTTCTTTAGATCTTTGTCTTTCCTTGGACTTGGAACGCTGCCTTTCCTTGGATCTCTGTCTATCCTTGGACCGCTGTCTATCCCTAGAACGCAGTCTTTCCCTCGATCTCTGCCTTTCCCTCGATCTCTGCCTTTCCTTCGATCTCTGTCTTTCCTTCGATCGCTCTCGCTGCCTTTCCGGCTCCCTACGTGGTGGGGTTACCGCCGAGCGTTCCCTCGTCTTGCGGTGTCGACTGTCTAGGGAGGATTCCTGCTGCCTGGATTTCGTATCCTTGCGACGCTCGCGGGAACGGCTGCGCATCGCATTGTCCTTTTCATCGGATTTAGAAGCCTTTGCGCCACGCGACTTGTCCGATTTGTTCTCCTTACGCGATGGAGAGCTGAAATGATAAGTTACTTTTAGATTTTTGCTGTACAAATTAAAGGACATCTTTACTTACTTTGAGCGCTCCGAATCCGTGGAGCTGGCACGTGCGCGTGACTTCTTTTTCAGCTTCTTGTCGCGTTTTTTCTGCATAATAAAAGAGTGTGGAGTGTTAGTGTACCGAATAGGAAGCTAGGCGCTCTTGCTAAGAGTCTAACTGTTAGCAGTAATGTTGAAAAACATCGTTCATTCTTTATGGCATGATAGACATATGAAGTTCGAGTTTGGTGCTTAAAATTTTGCAGCATTTGACTTTCGCAAGCATTCTCTCTAGGACTGGAAATTATTAACATTATTAACGTTTTTTTCTGTTTTTGTACAAGAGTTTCTTTCGATCGGCTATCACTTCGCACTAGGTATCACTATCATATGGTTGTTGTTTATTAGTAGCTTAAAGAAAACAGTCAAATGAAAGTACTTACAAAACTACAAGAGAGCCATTGAAAGCTATCCTATATCAATGAAGCGCCAAGGGTTTTCATAAACAAAATATAAATTTCTTTTCGATTCTTGAATTTACTTAACAATTACTTGGATTGATTTTTGTTGGAAAAACAAACTACGTGTAACTGAAAATCGTTTAGAATAATTTTGAAAAATGTTGGAAACCAAAAGAGATTGAGGGGCCATCTATAATATTTTATTTTATAGGAACTCTTTAGGATCAAATATGGATAGCCCCTCTTTATAAGAATGAATTTCTCTAAGCATCTATGGGAATGAAAGAAAAGTAAACAATCGAGAGAGAGAAATCATAAATCATATACTAGAATGCGTTTGAAGCCTTTTTACCTTTTACAATATTTGTGGGTGATTTTTGGTAATTTTTTTGTTTACTAATTAAGTTGTATGCTTTAGTATTTATAAGGTAGAGAACGTTTTATATGCAGGATTATATAGTTCAGTACTTTTGGTTATTATTGTCAATCGTTATTTTGAATGTTTCATATTTGGTGGAAAAAGAAGTAAATAAGCAAGAGAAGAAATGGCGTATGTTTAATATTTGGTGAACAATTGAAACAACGAAACGAAAAGTCAAACGAGTTATCATCATCATATACAGGTAATAATATCATATGTAAATATATATAGAGAGAGAGGCAGTACTTCTATTCGGATTTTTTGGTTGGTCAGACGTAGTAATTAGTTAGTCAAAGGATGAGTCGTACAATAAAGGAATAGAAATATGCATATGTTACAATATTCGTTTGGGTTTGGGTTGGTTGGAGGTTGGAGAAAGAGCTTCAGAGGTGGACTCTTTATTGGAGATTCGAGTTCTTGAGTCTTTGGGCCCAGAAAACATGCACATCTCTCCTCTCCTCGCACCTTTCTCCATCGCATCGCATTAGCTTAAGTGCAACGGGGGGTTTGGGGTCCTAGCCCTTGCATACCTTGTCCTTCTTGGCCTTCTTTCGGGCACTTTTCGACTCCCGACGATCCTCCTCGCTGCTCTCGTCCTCCTCGTCGCTATCCTTATCGCTATCCCGTCCACTTTCGCTGTGCTTGCGCTTGCGCGACTTTTTCTTCTTCGACTTACTGCAAGTAGAAGGTTACAGGCCATTAAGAATTATTATTATTATAAAATACGCATGTTTCATCTATTCAAAAGTGTTTTTTTTAGGTGCTTGCTACACAACACACAGATCATTGGACAACTAGAGCTCCCAAATACTGGTTAGCAGCAATGTATAAATAGGTTTACTTGTGGTTCAGTGCTTTACCTTCATCGAAAACTGCGCAAATTGCTTTGTCTTAACATTATAGAAGGTAATCATAACAATAGAAAGAAAGATGAGAAAGTAATTCGCTTTTAATTGTTGCAAAACACACAGAGAGACCTCTTAACGTTATCGTTTATTTTGTATTGTTTTTAATTGCTAGTAGTTCTTTACTTGTATTTTGTTTTGTGTTTTTAGTTTGGCAATGCAGTTTCTATGGTTTTATAGTTTGTAGAATCGAATTATTACTTACCGCCGGGCAGAGTTTTTTGGGGGAAATGTGAATATGGGCGAGAGTTGTGGGGGAAATATGTGTGAGTTTCAAGTGTAAAGTGTTGGCTAGTGGAGAACCCATACGTACTTAGATCCCTGATCACTCTACTCACTCTCGCTGCACACGGATTCAAATAAAAGATTGTCTTGGCAAGTGTTAGGATATCGAAAGTATACATATATTGCAGAAAGGCATTTGAAACATTTCATGTGAGTTCACTTGATTGGATTGGTTTGGTTCTTATATTGGTGTGTAGGATTAAAACTAAGTGTGAGTCATTTGTACGTGGCTTTTCGCTTCTTTTTACTTTCTTTCTCATATGAGTCCCTTTTGTGGTTTCAAATGCAATGTAAAAGAAGGAGTAGAGACGAAAAACAAAATGTATTAAGCAGTTGATTGATAGTTACATAGTATTTTCATTTTTTCACGCTCTAAGCGCACGTGTTTACAGTTTACTATGTACGATATAAGGAAGAAACCAAAAACATGACTGTAGAGTCCAAACAAAGAGCAAAGGAAACAAACACAGAGCTACGGTTGTCGAGGGATTGAAGTTTTTCAGTTCCGGTCAGGACTCTTACCTCTCTTTCTTGTGCTTCTTCGACTTTTTCTTCTTGTCCTTCTTGCGCTCAGGACTGGCCGAACTGGAGGAACAATATATAAAAGTTAATACAATATTTGAGGTACAAGTTATATGCTATAAACACACCTCTCTCTGGCGCGCTTCTTGCGCTTCTTCTTGTCCGACTTGGAGACATGTTCGCGCTCATCTCCGCTGGCTGCAGCATCTCCTCCATCGCGTTCCCGCTCCCTTTCTCGGGAAGGCGTGCGCACTAAAGCATACCGCTTGCCGGTCTCCTTGTCCTTGCCTGCTGCTGCGGCAGCTGCCGCCGCCGCCAGGCTCTCGCGCTGGGCGTCCAGTTCCTTTTGCAGAGCCACGCTTTTGGCCAGATCCTCCTTCGCCTTGCGATCGCTGTCGAAGCTGCTGCCCTCTACGAAGTACTCGGATATGTTGAAGGCCTCGCGCAGCTTGGCGTTCTTCTGCTGCTGAGCCTCAGCTATTTGATGGGTGTCACGAGCACTGTAAGTAGGAAATTTAGGAATTTGTATTAATAAATGTGGATAAAATAGTATACTTAAATATTAAACCTTAAATATAATCACTCTCTTTATCACAGAAATTAAATAAAGTTTAATGAATGCATCAAAGTTAAACTGCAGGGCTTTCTGAGTTTGAGAAATGGTAAGTACTATCTTAAGTTCTAAAATATATGCTTAAATATATATGTGAATGGGTTTTTGGGTGGCTACCTTGCGACCACCGCACTGCCTGCTCCCAGCAGTGTCTCCAGCAGGCTGCTCGAGGAATACTTGAGCAGCTCGAGCAGGACGCTGCCATCGATATTGATTTTCGCCGCCTGTTCCCTCTGGATGGAGGAGCTGTGCTCAGCTGTTCGCTGGTGACCCGGCTGTTCAAGTGCCGGCTGCTCCGATTGTTCCTTCAGCTGGCAGGCGCAGGCGCAGTCCGGATGCGACCTCTTGGAGACTGCTGGTCGCCTGGTCTTGTTGGCGCCGCTTGCCAACGCCGGCCGCAAGGGCTTGAACTTCCTGCCCACCGCCGCATAGTTCCACGTGTGGGCGGTCAAGCGGAAGCTCTCGTACTTGGCCAGGTACTCCCGGTTGTCGTGCTGGAAGTATGGTGCCTTGCTCTTCCTGGCCCCATTCGCCGGGGTAGCGGAGGAGGAGGGGATCTCACCGGTTGGGGGATGGGGACTGGTCGGGTTGCTCCCGGGGTTGCTGCTCCTTTCGTTGTTGTTCGAGGTGGTGGTGGTGGCGATTGCGTGACCTGCGCGTTTGCGTCGCTTGCGGCGTTTCTTCGGTTTCACCACCTGCACCGTGGTGGCCGCCATCGTTGTTGTTGTGCTCGTGGATGCAGTGGCCACCGAGGCAGCTGCCGTGGCTCCCACTGCCGCCGTGGCCGTGGATGTGGTGGTGTTACTATAGATCTCCGAGGAGAGCATTTTAATTATTCACTTTATGATGGGTTGTTTTTTGTTAGATGTTTGAGGGGTTTTTTATTTTATTAAATTTAAATCCATGTTTGTGGAAGACAGTGGACCTTTAAATTATTATTTATTATTCGGTTTATATCGCGTTTATAATTAGTTTTATTTAATTCACGGTTTTTTGCGACTTTTTCCTTATAATAAAAAATATATTTTAGGGTTTATATATTCATGTATTCGGAAGAAAGTGAATTCATATTATATCTTTATCTTTTTTGTCCTTTTCAACTAGCTATAGTTAGTTATTTAGTGTAAATAAATATATTAATCCATGTATTCGGAAGACAGTGGATTTGTATTATAATTATGCTTTGTAATTTATCTTTTATAAGGATTTGGAATTCGCGATTTTATAGTTTTTTAGTGTAAATATATCTATTAATCCATGCAATTGGAAGACAGTGGATTTTACGAATATTTAAGCTTTATATAAATACAAAAATAGTTTTTTTATAAGATACTTTGCTATAATTTCATCGATTATGATTGGAAGACGATGGATTAGCATTTGTTTGGTTTCACTTTGGGTTACATTTAAGTAATCTTTTGTATCCTTATCCTTCCGGAAGACGTTGGATAGTTTTTGAGAGACATTGGATTATTATTTAATATATTTATACGATTTACTCCGCTTGCTGCAACTTCGCGCACTTGCCTTCTTCACTTCGCGACTTAGACTAATTAATTACGGACTAGGATTGGAAGACTTATTTAGTGATTTGTTGCATTCGTTCGGCTTGGGTATCAAGATACCATTTCAATGGGGCTCCTCTCCACTCGAAGCACTTGCAACAACCACTAGAATAGTAGACTATATGGTAGTTTAATCCACGGCTCGACAGCGGGTTGCAATGCTGATTTAGGGGTGTCAATCAGCTTTCCTACCACCACCACCGGCAGCACTGTTTTTTCCTTCAGCGGGTGCATTTGCATTGCTACTTTTCCTCCTCCTCCTCCTTTGGCACACTTGAAGGGCTGCCTGGGTGCCGAGCACTCCCTCCCGTTCATTGGGGTTTTCCCTTTTTTCTGTTTTTGATTAGCAGGCTTATGGCTGCATTTGCTGGCTGGCGGCTATTGATTTTTCCAGCGATTTAACCCTGCTTATCGGGCACTTTTTCCCGTGTCCCCTGCGGCGGCTCCTCTGCGCCAACTCCATCTCCCTCGCAGTCCTCGCCAAGGACACTTGGTCGGTCGTTTTAGCAGGCGTTAATTGCTTCTAATTTGTATGTAAATATATATAACTAGAGATAGTTGCTATCTAGCGACTCCTGAGCGTGTTGGCCAACTGAAGCGGTGGCTTTGGAAGACTTGAAGTGACTGAAAAGCCGAGCGCATCCCGGAAAAATCTTTGCAGCAGCTTTTTCTCTACCACTCGTCGTCTGTGATTGGCCCCTTGAATCGGAAAATGCGAAAATCCAAAAGGGGGTGGCAAACTGGGCGCTGCGGCGGCGCATCGGCTGCTTATTTCTTGTATGTGGTCTACAGCTGTCGTGTGAGCTGGCCGAGATTTCGATTTATTTAACCGTTTTATTGATTTGTCCACTGGGCGCACGTTTTGTTTTAAATTACATAAGTTTTGTTAAGGAAAAAGGGCGATACTTACGCTACGCGTCCAAATTCATCCTTGGCCAGATCTGTTTTGCCCTGTCCCATCAACTTCTGGCGAAAGGAGTCCACATGCGTCTTGATTTCCTCCGGTGTGCGTCTGTAAAGGAGGAATTTATGATTATCTTTCTATATATTCAAGGGTTTTAACTTTAAAAGGCTTTCTTATACCTTTTAGACTAGCTTAATTAGTTAAATAAGGCCTAAGTGGGCGGTTTAGACAGTGAATTTAGCTACTGAGTGCTTGGATTTTTTGTCCGCCTGCCCGGACATGCGGATGTCTTCCACTCAAAATAATCTCTACAACTGAAATGCACTTTTTTCACCACCGAGCCGAGAGTCCGGGCCACCGGAAGAGTGCTCACATGTGACGCATTGAGGGGGTGGAGGCGTAGGACTCAAGGGTGGCTGCTCAGGGGGTTGTTCCACGTTCCACGCTCATTTCGGCGCGTGTGCGTCGGCTCTCTGGGAGGCGAGAGCAGCGCTACCAGGCGCCCAATGTAAACATAAACACGGAGGAGGAAGCAACAGACCCAGACCGGCGTTATATAACCGCGGATTGCCATTACACCATGTAATGTATATAGGTTCCCCCTCTTTTTAAGCTCACCCCTGCTTCTCGAGTATCTCCTCGAACTCCAGGCACTTGACTTCGATCTTGCGCTTGCGGTCGTGGTCCAGGATTTCCTTATTCGGCGGCCTGTTCAGCTGGGCGTCCAGCTTCTTGGTGTCGTCCTCGGCGCGGTAGTCCTTGTCCTTCTTCCCTGGCCGCACACACGCCCAGTTGCGCTGCACGTGTCCATTGGTGCCGGAGCCACGGGGCGTGGTCAGTCCAATGCCGTTGTACATCCTGACGGGTGTCCTGCTGTGGGAAGGGTTCTTCTAAACCATCAACGACTCCCGGCGGCCACTGGGTGCTCCACCAACGCTGCAATTTCGCGTAGGGAAAATCGATTTCAGTTGCAGTTTGTGTTAAAGTTCGATTGTATATAGGTCTGTATGTTTGCTCACCTTTGTTTTCTATCCTGCAGCGCTGCGCTGGGGATTTATTCAATTGATTTCCTTAATTTCGACCACTTTTTTGCCAAAATATGCGAAATATGCACAAGAATGCCGCCGTCTGAAATAGTGTGCAGAAATATACTCAAAATACCATGTATACAAAAATATACCAAACATATATTCAAACGGTCATGCCAAAAGGCGAGGAGCGTGTCTTCGCTATGCCGGGGTATACAAATTGATCATTTATAAAATCCCTGTAACGGTCATACTGCTGACCAAACGTAAACAAAAATTTATTTACTTTCATTTACTAACGAAATTTGCAGCTAATATTAAACCATAAACATGAGTGATGCAGAGGAAACCAAAACAGAGGCACCCACCAAGGTGGTCTTCAAGAAATCCGGACGAAAGAACCTCAGGCAACGCAAGAATTCAGATGAAGAAGAGAAGGAGGAACAGTAAGCCTTAAAAATATTAAAAGTTATAACCATTTAAATATAAATTTCTTTTTAGACTCACCCTAGATGAGATCAAGGAGCGGCAGAGGCTGCGACAGCGGCCCAATGGCGTCAGCCTGGTGGGTCTGGCGCTGGGCAAGAAGATCGCTCCCGAGGAGGAGCTGGCCATAAAGGATCCCTTCAATGTGAAAACGGGAGGCCTGGTCAACATGCAGCAGTTGAAATCCGGCAAGATGAAGGAGGCGGACGACGCCTACGACGTGGGCATTGGCACCCAGTTCTCGGCGGAGACGAACAAGCGGGATGAGGACGAGGAGATGATGAAGTACATCGAGCAGGAGCTGCAGAAGCGCAAGGGAGGCGGCACGGAGGACGCAGCCGAGGAAGATGGCGATGTGAACAAATACCTGACGCCCGAGGATGCCGCCCTGTACGCCCTGCCCGACCATCTGAGGCAGTCGTCCTCGCACCGATCCGAGGAGATGTTGTCCAACCAGATGCTCAACGGCATTCCCGAGGTGGATCTGGGCATTGTGGCCAAGATCCGGAACATAGAGGCCACCGAGGATGCCAAGCAAAAGCTGCTGCAGGATGCCAAGAACAAGAAGGACGGCCCCTCGCAATTTGTGCCCACCAATATGGCGGTGAACTTCATGCAGCACAATCGATGTGGGTTTTTTGGAATATCATTTATATTTATGCAGATTTAATTACTTTTCTTGTTTTTCAGTCAACATCGAGGACAACAGCGACCAAAGGAGACGCAAACGGGAGGAGAGGGAGGGCAACAAGAACGCGCAACATCAAACGAATCCCAATGGAGTCAAAAGAGCCACAGATGACTACCATTATGACAAGTTTAGGAAGCAATTTCGCAGATATTAAAAGTGCCAGCAATAAAAAGTACAATGATTTTTATTTTAAGAGCAAGAATTATTTATTTTTCAATTTATTTAAGGCTATTTTAATATTAAATCCCTTCATTGGGCCACTTCTGTAAAATAAAAACAAAAGGTCGATTAGTTATGCTTAAAAGAGATAGACAAAATAATTATAGGATTTAAAATCAGTGGGAGACAAAATTAATTTCAAAGCAACGCATGACTGAAGCTCAATGAGATTCCTACTCAAAATATCATCAGAAAGGAAGTACATTTTAAATTATGGATTACTAAAACATATACACACCTTGTAAGAAGTAAAACCAAGGATCCAGATACGCTTTGGAATAACTGAAATAAATCATAAAAAGATTGTATTAATTAAGAGTTTTAAAACATGGCTTCATTGCATGAAATGTTTTGATCAGTTAGAGATTAAAATTGATTTCATAGCAACGCATGACTGAAGCTCAATGAGATTCCTACTCGATATATCATCAGAGTAAAATTTATTTTAATATATGGATTTCTAAATTTATACACACCTTTTGAGAGGAAAGCCAAAATCCAGCTACGCTTCGGAACTGAAATAAATCAAAAAGGTCTTGATTAGATAAGAATTTAAAATCATTTCATTGTTGTTTTGAAATGTTTTTATCAGTGAGAGATTAAAATTGATTTCATGGTTATTTCAATGAGATTCCTACTCAAAATATCATCATTGACTTTAATTTAATAAACTAAAATTATAATTACCTTTTAAAGCAGCAAGTTGAGCATCTCATCACTTCAAGATATAGCCTGCGAATTAAGAAAAATAATGTTAGTGACAGGAAAGGTAACTATAGATCATCAAACTCACCTTTTTAAATGATGGGGTCTCTAGTATACATCCTAAAAGCAAGAAACTGAAAGAAATATTAAACCCACCCATATAAAAAACCCAACTTAGTTTTTGAGTGGTTTTATTATACCCAGACAACTTTGAAACGTTCATCCTCGCTCTACCGTGTCAGCTTAGCAATATTTTGTTTATAGAAAAGACTCTACATATAAAATGTAGAACGCAGCGATGCCATTCCACAAATTGCAGCGCTTATATGATGCCGATCTTGTTGGCAATGTCCAGGGCGTCGTAGTCGCGCGCCAGGCGCACATAGGCCTTCTTCTGGCCATCGGGGCGGATGAGCACGTTGACCTTGGCCACCTTGATGTCGTACAGCTTGCGCACGGCGGCACGCACGTGGTTCTTGTTGGCGCGCAGGTGAGTGAGGAAGACCAGGGTGTTGTTGTCCTCGATCTTCTTCATGGCCGCCTCGGTGGTGAGAGGGTACTTGATGATGTTGTACGCGTCCATGCGGTTCCTGGTGGGCACCGACTTCCTGGGGTACTTGGGACTCCTGGGCAGCTTCAAGGTGGTGGGCCGACGGAAGTGCACGTTGGTGCGGATCTTGCGGGCACGGGTTCCAAAGGCGCCCTTGATGATCTGTAGGGATTGGTATAGAAAATCGGGTTAATGAGGGATCTCTCTTAGCTATTAAGATACCCCACCTTCTTCTGGACCTTCTTGGCGTTCAGCAGAGCAACTGCCTTGGCCTTGGCGGTTCCCTTGGCGGGCTTGACGCCGGGCTTCACACCCTTCTTGGCCTTGGCGGCCGCACGCGCCTTGGCGGAGAGCTTGGCCAGCACGGACTGGGGCTTCTTGCCGGCGAGGATCTTCTTCTTGGCATCCTTGCCCTTGGCCTTGGTGGCCACGGTCTTCTTCACGGCCGTTGGCTTCTTGGCAGCAGCGGCAGCTGGCTTCTTGGCGGCACCAGCGGCGGGCTTCTTGGCAGCCGGAGCAGCAGCCTTCTTGGGAGCAGCGGCCGCTGGCTTGGCGGCAGCCGGAGCAGCCTCCTTCTTGCCGGCAGCGGGAGCCGCAGCAGTCTTCTTCTGCTCTGGCTTCTTGTCGCCAGGCTTGGCTGTAAATTAAATCCGAATTCCAATTAGTAAACATGTTCCATGTTGCGGGCGTAAAAGTTAGGTTAGGCCTGATCGATCAGCAAGGCAATGGGACGCTTCTTATGATTATTAACCCGTATTTAATCACTTATTAACTTTAAATTCAACACTCTTTTAGTTTACTTTATAGTTCAAGACACACACTTTGGCACACTTTACCACGCACGTGGCCGAAACTTCGGTTCAACGGTTTCAACACATTTTCGCCTTAAAATCGGTTGTAAATGCACAATTTTCATTTCCCACTGGTGGCCTACGCTTTCGCCTTGCTTTTGCTGATCAATTCACGCATTTTGAGCCTATTTTTGTATGTAAAATCCTTACCGGATTTCTCGGTTGGCTTTTTGGGTGGCATTTCTACGAGAAAACGAAATGAAAAGAAAAATTTTAGGTTAGGGCTAGAGGTGGGAAGCCTGCAGGGGCGCCAGTCGAAGAAGTCCCACCACTGGGATTTTCGATTTCCAAATGTTATCGATAGTTGTCAAAAAGCGGAAGAGCGTTTTGACAGAAGGGCGGCCAGATCGATGGAATTTCGCGCCTAACAGCACACTGTTAGTGCGGTTAACAGCACTGTTTGACTGTTTAACAGAGGTGAGTGGGCTGCTATCTTGACACTGAGCGCACTCAACACAGCTGAAAACATGGGTGGCAACGCTCTTGATGTTTTATTAAAAACCGTTACTTTTTGAATTTGAATTTAAAATAAAAGTTTAATAAAAGGTTTTATTTAGCGATTTAATCCTAAACTTAAAATACAAATTAATACAATGTGCAGGCTAACAGGAACAGCCACTTTTTTGAGAGCTGAAGCGACTACCAAAAAAGTTACGTAAATCTGAAAAATCAAATTCTTCATTTATGAGTTATTTGAGTTTGTTTAAACGTTCTTACCAAAAGTTTGCGATTTAACAGATGCCTGAGTTGCCTGTTCCTGTGGCTTACTTTTAGTTGACTTTATTTCCAGCTTTACAGCTTCTTCGAAAGCTAGGCCAGCAATCCTTTGAAAGAATTCCGTGACTTTGAAGCCGGATCGCGCTGAAACGGACCAATATTCCGCCTGGAGCTCGGCAGCTGCCACGCCCGCCAGTCGCTCCATTCGCACGAACTCCTCTTTTGTCTAGGAAATATACAAATTATTATTTAACTTCTCTATTGACAAATAAGCTTACCAAGAGATCTGCTTTTGTGCCCACTAAAAAGATCAAGGGTCTTTTGCTGGTATTGTAGTTGAGTGCGCTGTTCAGCCACTTTTTAGCTGATTCCAGGGAATCCCTCTTCGACATATCATAGGTTACCACAATCACTGGAATTTATTTTATTTATAATAACAATTTAATTGAAATTTATTAATACTTACCACTGGCATTGCGATAATAAGCTCCTGCTATGCATTTAAACCTCTCCTGACCAGCAGTGTCCCACCTGAAAATGAACCATATTTATAATCTATATAGATCCTATTTCTTAGAGAACTAAACCCACATTTCTAGACTGTAGTTGTGACCCAGAATACTGAAATTCTCCAGCTCAAAGTCCACGCCAATGGTGGCCTTGTAGTTCGACTGGAATTTGTCATAGCAAAACCTTAAGAAAAAAGAGAAAATTAATAGGTTTTAATATATATTTTTTTAGATATACCCACCTATTCACAATGGCTGTTTTGCCCACCGAACAATCGCCCACAAAGATGACCTTGCAGGGTCGAAACTTCGGCTTATGTGGCGACTCCAGATGATAGCGCACCTGGGGGGCAAAATCCCGTTCCCTGCTCAGCGGAGTCTGGGCGGGACTGTAGGCCGGCGGCAGGTGCCTCAGGTGGGTGCGAGGATCGTGCATGACCACCGTGGGCGGATTGGGCAACAGCAGGTTCTGCCGCAGTAGATGAGGCATGGCGAACGTCTATATCTCAACTAAATGAGCTGTAGAAACGGGGTAAAAGTCACCAGCCACGTCGTCATCGCAAACCACAAACTTTGTCGGCTACGTCGCTGGCTTGAACTTGGCGGCTATCACATGCTCAAGGTGCTGGTGGCGGCTACCTTACACCCCAGGTAATAGTGCTTTGCATTGTAAATGCAGGTGATTGATAAGACCTGCTTGGGTATGAGTTAGTTCCGATAGGAAAAAGGCCTCAAGGTGTCAAGCCAAGCTGAGCTTTAATGTTAGAATGGCTTTGTAGGCATATCATGTTGTGGCTACAACAGTGGAAAAAATATAAATATACACCAAAAAACTTAGGTACATCCAGAAATTCAAAAATTGTTAGTTAAACAAAAAGGTTTAAAGTTAAAAGGTTTAACAAAATATTGATATTCTTTTATCTTAAATGTCAGACAAAATCAGTTTAATCTCAAAGTTTTAAAATCTTTATTATGTGATCTCAGTTTAGTTTTGTTTTCGTTCTGAATCTTTTATCTTATCGTCAAAAACGTTTAATTTTGAAAAACAATGGGTTTATCTTATGAACATTTCTTCACATCTAAGGCTTAGTACTCACTTCAATCAAAAAGCCTACGAAATGAAAATCTCCATACGAAATTTTGATCACGAAATTTTTCGCCTGTCATTATACCCGTTACTCGTAGAGTAAAAGGGTATACTAGATTCGTGCAAAAGTATGTAACAGGTAGAAGGAAGCGTTTCCGACCCCATAAAGTATATATATTCTTGATCAGGATCACTAGCCGAGTCGATCTAGCCATGTCCGTCTGTCCGTCTGTCCGTCTGTCTGTCTGTCCGTCTGTCCGTATGAACGCTGAGATCTCGGAAACTATAGAAGCTAGAAGATTGGCATTTTGCATGCAGATTCTAGGAATTCCTACGCAGCGCAAGTTTGTTTCAAAATGGTGCCACGCCCCCTCTAACGCCCACCATCGCTTATATACGATTTTAAAAATTTTAATATTTTGGAAAAGTAAAAATGCAGTTTTATTGTGTTTATCAATACCTATCGAAATGTAGAAGAAATTTTTCAAATCGGACCATTCGTTAAAAAGTTATGCGTGATCAACGTTTTCTATCTCTATCTCCATCTCCCTCGCACTCCCTTTACCTGAGTAACGGGTATCTGATAGTCGGGGCACCCGACTATAACGTTCCCTCTTGTTTTTGTATAGAATAGTTCGTTTCGTTGCCTTTTTGATTGAAGTGAGTACTAGGCTTAAGTGGGAAAATTAATTCTCAAATTGGGAGCATTTGTTCCTGAGTTTTATCTGTACTCAGATTTATTTACATTGAATATGTATAAAAAACTTTCTTTAAAACTTTAAAAAATATGTATTTTTGTGACTTTATTAATCTCATAGATATAGTGTTTATGATTTTTTCTCTTTCACTTATTTCTCTATCAAGCTCTAGTTTGTTTCTTTCCTCCGGGATAGCCAAAGTAGCCAACGCTCTTCACCTGCTTGCGGAGATCGGGTTGCATGGACAGCGCCTTGAAGATGGCTCTTTTGAGCTGCTTGTATTGAAAGTGTGGGGGAAAAGGCATGTCCTCGAAGGACAACATCAGCAGGTTACCAGCCTCATTTCCGACGGCCAGCGAACGACCACAGTGGGTAAATCTATAAGAGAAATTAAAATTATAAAATCATATTAAAGGATTCTAACTTCAAACTTACTTGAAAGTAGTGTAGAAGATATCTGCATCGATAACAGTGGAGGACACTGGCTTCATGGTGCTGTTGCGCAGATCCCAGATGTCCACAGTGCTGCGACTGAGAGAAACCAGGATGGTGGAGTGAGTGCGACTCCAGCGGGCGCAGTGAACTGGGGACAGATGATGCTGGAGGGTCACGATGGGTAGAAGGATGCCAGCTAGCCAAATACGAATGCACCTAAAACGAAAAACATTAATATAACTCCCTAGAAATCAGGATAATCCCCACCAATCACTGCCGCAGGTGAGGTACATCCTTGGTGACCAGGGTGAGAACTCCATGCAGGCGGCGGGTCCATCGTGCACCTGTCGCAGTTCCAAGTGCTGCAGTGGGTAGTTTGTCGAACACTTGTATAGGGTTCCCTCATCGGTTAGAACATAATATATATCCGCCTGCACGGGATCGAGTACTATCTCCAAACACTGGGGATTCCTATTTGCCAGTAAAGAAGCCGCCGGAGGCTGTCGCTCGATGGGAATCCCCTCCAGCTCGCCCTCCGCCCGCTGCAAACGCTGCTGCTCGAAACCCAGCATATTGGGGCTATTAATCAACCTATATTTGGTCACAGCACCCGCTTGGGAGGTAGCTAAAAATGGTGTTATATGGGGATTCCTCGAACCCACATCTCCCTCGAAATAGATCCACTTAATAGCCGTTACAGGTTCGAAGTGCGGTGAAGAGGAGCGCTGTGAAATGGCCAAAGGAGGCAGATCCTGACTGGATATATCCCTTACCTCAACTCCACCATTATGAAGACCAATGGCCAAAAGTTGAGGTTGAGTGGGTGAAAATTCCACAGTGACCACGGGCACTTGATAATTGTAACGCCTCTCCGGGTTCACAGGGTTCTTGATGTTCCACACATAAACCCAGCCACATCGGGGTAACTTACCCACCTTTCCATGACTATAAACTCCATAGGCCACGGCCATTATATCACCATTACTGGGACAGAAGCTCACATCGCTCACCGCCTGATGAACTTTCCTGTTCGATGAAGGTGGACTCAATCTCCATAGTAATCCCAATCGATACTTGAACTTCACATCCTCAGCCAGAGGATCTGGTAATGCCATATTCCTATATCTCCTCTGCTGAGGTTCAAACACATTGCTGGCCAGGATGCGCATGGTCAGCATGAGGGCCAGTCGAAATCCGGGAAGACTATTGATGGCCACAAACTGATCCACTCCTCCAACGTGATAAGTGGTTATCTCCATCTTCTTCTCACCCTGAACCTGCACACTCGTGGTGGATTTCTCAAGATCCGTATAGGTATCGTACATCTCAAAGTTGGAGACATAGGAACCCATCTGTCCAGTGGTCAACCTTTCAGTGTTTACTAGTCTGGACTTCATTAGCGCCGTCATGGTTTGAGTATCTGCATCCACGGTTCTCCTAGTTTTATCTATTCCCGAGAGGAGTTCTTCGTACTTTAGGTTATCCTCCATCACCTGACGACCCTCATCCGTATCCGCCAAGGCGGTCATGCTCCTTCGTTCAAAGAGCACCATTATGGGAGTCTTTCGGAGGAGAACCTTAATGAACGGAGTGCTTGGAGGACGAGCCGAGGGGGCGGAACGGGCAGAGGCAGCAGGTTCCTTCAGATAATTCGGTTCCTCCAAAGTGGGTGACATGGGTTTGTCTAGCTGCAGCTTATAGAGATTTATCTGGGGGAATAATTTACATTATATATTTATATTTCTTAAATTTTTAAGTATTATAAAGAACCTACCCCCAAGGCAATATCATCCAGCGAAGCCCTCATCACACATTTCGTACGATATTCTGGAGTTCGTAGCTTCTGCAGCTGCTGCTGCTCAGTTTCAGGAGCCTTCATCACCGGATGCTCCTTGATCATCCTGCTCAGCTGCTCGAAATCCGCAGTGCGGTAATCCTTCCTCAAAGGTCGGGACATGTTTTTCCTCAATAAATTAAAAAATAGCTCGTGCCGGCGTTTCCTCAACTTGTTTATTGTTCGAGTTGCTAGTGCAGACATGGCAACACAATAATAATATATGGCTGCTATAACTACGGGGGCTTCAGATTACAACATGGCATTCCATTAGCAGTCTTACACATGACTGCTCTTTTTGCATCCATAAATATTTATAACACATATTTTAAATCACGCAACAAAGGTGCATAATAAGGAGGTGAAGATGCAAAGTTGGATTGGTTATGGTGGGTAGTATTTCAGGGATTAATTGGGTTTAAAAAAACCATTAGTTAGTCCAAAGAATATAGAGCATTCCAAATATTTAGAGCATTTTTCTTGGAAAACTTCTATAAAAAAGAAAACAAATCATCGACAATTGGAGCTGTGACCTGTCACTAGAAAAACCCCCGAACCGGAGAAAGGAAAAACAACAAACGGCTACCAACTACCAACTTCACTCCACAAACTAGCAACAAATGAAATTTGTATTCGTATTCCAATTAGACGCGTACCAAAAGCAATTTGCCGGTGCAATGGATGTGTAGTAGAAGAATAGTGGATAGTAAATAGTATAGGGTCTTTAATTCCGCCACATAGCCTGACAATGGCCCAAAGATGAGCCGCAGCGGAGAGGAAGCACTTGGCCATATGTACGATTGTGAGCGGTAAGCCATATGAGTACACAGGAAGAAAGTTAGATTATTTGGGAAATATTATGACAAGTTAAATATTTTAGAAATAATACTTTTGGAATATTATTTTAGCATTTTATAGATGCGATGCATAGAAAATCCTGATCCTAAAATTTATGCAAGTAATTTTATACCAATATATTTCGATCCAAAATAAAATCCTATTCAAACAATTCTTAAGGTGCTCAATTATTTAAAAGGTATTAGGAATAAATCATCCATATATCATAAACATATCATAAATAAAATTAGATCAATTGGTTAATAAATTTTCTTAGATATTTTTTATAATATTTGTAAGAAAGAAATATTATTATTTTTAAAACAGAGTCTTAAAATAATAGTCTAAATTGTAGACTTATAAATTATGTTCTGTGCAGATATAATAGAAGTCGAAAAGAAGTTGTTTATGTTAATTTGGCTTTATGCTTCGCTACGCTGATTCGCTTAATGAACAGGCAGCAAAGGAGGCAGCACGATAAAGAGAAGGAGGAGGAGGAAAAGGGGCCAAACTAAGGAGATAGCCGAGTGCAATATGTCAAATCGGAGGGGCAACCGGGCGAATGATGGCCAAGAAGAACAGGCCAAGTTGGCTTGGGCCAAATGCAGGAACCGTCAACGCATCAAAGCGTTAAGCAATAAATGTGCAGGCAGCAGCAAAAAAGAGTTAAAACCCTAAAAATATATTCAAGAAAGGCCAAAGACAATAGCCGCCTGTCTTGCAGGTTGCGTGCATTATGAACTCTGCACGAGCCAACGATCATTATTGTTATTGTATTGTTGTTGTTGCTGCCGTTGGTTAATGTTAATACCCTTGTTGTTGTTGTGGCTGTTACACATTTTGAAACGAAATTCACTGAACCGCCACCAACGCAACGCCAACTGAGACGTCGACTTCGACTTCGACTTGGCTGCGACTGCGCAGTCGAACACTGAATTAACCTGTCCATCTTACAGGTGTTAAAAAAAGAGAGACAATTTAAAGCAATTTACCAAATAAGTGTCAACAAATTAGTCAAATAAATAATGAAGAAATCTATTGAAAATCAAATTTTAAGGTGTATAAAAGTATGCAACAAAATATTTAAAAGCCTACATTTTAAAGGATTTATTTCGAAAGAGAAAATTATATTTTTCACTGCATAACTTTAAAGATTTCTTTAAATTAATAATAAATATCAAACCTAACTATTTTATGAAACTTAAAAAATATATTTTAAACTTGATATAAGAAATACTAAATTTCATTAAAAATTTAATAAATTAATATATTAATTATTATTATACATATTTTTATTAAGTAATTATCTCAGACTTATATGTAGATTAAGGTAAACAGCTTTGAAAAACAGAGTAAACTTCATATCACCTTAAAATAATGTACATTAACACTGCGATATAAAACCTCATTTTGTAATAGCAATTTAATTGACTTGTCACCTTGTAAACAAGAAAACAAGTAATCAAGCTTTAAATGCAGCTAGTTTATACAAAGCGCACCGAGTGTTTGTGAAATGATTAATATTTTTGTAGCCACATAATTCTAAGCCACTATACCATGCAATATGACAGGTTTAGAGCCTGTCCAAAACTCCAAAACCGACTTAAAACCCCGGACGGGTGAAATAAAACGCTCGTTTTTTACGAACATCTAATTGTGTCCACACCCTGGAAACCCATAAAACCCGCGTCGGTTATCTCGATCTTGCATACGCCTTTTCATATGCTCCACTCGTATGCCATATGTCGCTCGTTCTCATTCATATCGGTTCGGTTTTTACACCTGTTTTATGTCCCCACTGGCCCCAATGTGCGATACCCAGACGCCGACTTCGACTGCGACGCTTCCCGAGTTTTGGTGTAACATATTTTCTTTTTCGTTTTTATTGTGGCACGGAGCGTGGAAGACTAAGACTCAGACTCAGTAAAAAAAAGCAGCAACGAAGAAGCGACGGAGCGGCAGCGCTTAAGCCGAGCTCGGAGATTTTTTTCGTAACAGAAAAGCGACTTTTTATTCGTTAATTAACCGTCGAGCGGGCCAGAAGTCCGAGTTCCCCAGCTGTCTCTCGAGTCTACCGAGTCTCCCGAGGAAGGGGCGTGAAAAGCGCTTAACGGAAGTGCAGAAAAATAAAACCGGGTAGCTAATTGAGCACACACCTTGGGCAGTGTGACACCTGAGACCCGACCCCCTAGCAAAAAAAAAACAAATCGAAATCGCTCCATATAACACCATAACTTTCCTTCGGAAGCCGGGTGTTTTATGTCTCAATTTGACGAGCTGCAGTTGTGTTTTAACCACCTAACTATAACCATCGTGGCGCGTGTGCTTAAAAAATCTAAGAAATATAATCGTAAATCTATATAACTCAGGGAACTCTGCTTCCCCCGTGAGTGATTCGAAATTTATGCTAATCCCTGGTGTCAAACGTTAACAGCATTTCGCAATAGAAACAGACAACATCCACACCCGCATAACCTAAAACGTGTGTTCACATAACGAAACCAATCAGACTTCAGATCTTATCATGTTGTTTTGGAAGAAGCGTCTTCAGCGATCGAGCAGCTCTTCAAGCAGTAAGTCCGAGCATCTCTTATAAAGTTTTTGGGGGATTGGGCAACAAGAAATATGATTTTGCCGGGCAGGTGAATTCCATTTCATTTCGTTTTTAAGCCAAGTTCGAATATTTCGACTGGCTCTTCGTCTCTTGATCTGCATAATTTGCATCTTAAAATTATTATTATTTCTGATTCCGATTCGGTTTTTGGTTTTCGGTTTTGTTGTGGCCACCGACTGGTTTTATTGATTTTATTTTGGTGATTCCCTGACTCCCTTGCGAGTAAACCAAAGATCATAAATAACAACTGGTGGGCTTTATCACCCACAAAAGGCCTAGACAAATACAAATGAGAGCGAGAGCCCCGCGGGACATGAATAATAGCTCATATCTCATTATCAAACTTCTCACCGAGGTGTTCCCTTTGTGAATGATGCTTGCCAAAAAGATTTATGAATGAATTTAATGTGTTTAGCATAATTATGCAGATCACCGCGAAGCGAAGATAATATCTCACTGAGGTGGGGACTTTGGGTTGGGGAATAATAGAAAGATTTGACAGACTCACGATTAGTTGGATAAAGATTTGAAAGCTGTGAAGGGCTTTAGAAGAAGTTAATATAATTATGATCAACATTTCTAGGAAATCTTCCCTGTATCATTAAAAATACTGGTATCTTATTTTAGGATTTTTATTGTTGAAAACTTAATTTTTATTTATAGGCCCAAACTATGTATTTCTTTTCTATGTTTGAATACGATTTTAGTATTTCCAATTCCCATACTTATATTCTTTATTTAGTAATTAAAAAAAATATATATAATAATGGTGGTTTCCAAATAATTTTATAAAAGGAGAACTTTTATAAACATTTTTTGTTCTTTTGGTGTTTATCAGTAGGTTTTAACCATACTCATTGTAATCCTACCCACTCACTTCCACTCCTTCCCCTTTTGTGAAAACCTAAAACCCGCAGTCAGGTGTCATAACACATTTGTCCCAATGGTCAACAAGGTGTAACCAAGCATCCAGCATCTCCATCTCCACACCGAACCCAAGGAATTCTTATGATTCCCCTTCTCAACTCATCTCTACCCTTTTCAACCGTTTTCCCCACATTTTTGTGGTTGCGCCTGCGCTTCTCTTGTTGTGGTTCTCCCATTTCACTTCTGCTCCATAACTTTCCACCTAAGTGCCGACTATCTGTCTGAGTCTGGGGATCTTAGTTCTGGCGTTTTATTTGGGAGAACATGACTTTGACTTGTGGTAATTTGATGTTAATGACAATCATCAGCAGCGACACAAACAATAACAACAACAGGGGGGAGACATCCACACCGTCGCCTCATAAAGGTGGTAAGGTAGTAAGTAATCCCCAACTCCCGAGGCATTTTTATGTGCGTTCCGTTCCCGAAAGTCTAAATTCATGGCCCCTAATCGGCTTACCCATATACATAGTTCTCTTTACCCTTTTGCAGTTGACACTCTTGGCTATTTCGTCCATTTAGGCATTTGTGTTATTAGTTCGTGTCTAGGGTCTTCTGATTTCTGTCCCTTCCTTATAAACTCCCCATCAACTCGCTTGTTTTATGGCTGTTTCTTGTGGCCCAGTGCCAGATCAAAAAATGAGTTCAGCGTTTTGTTGTGACACTTTAATGGCCTGCCGAGGCCCCATTCCCCATTCCCCATCGAGATGGTTATCAATATTACAAAATAGTTTTCGGTAAAGCGTGCTGGATGGGTTTGGAATGGTAAACAGTCTAGAGGTTCTTAACTTAAAGGTTATAGGCAAGGTGGATTAGTTTAAATTACCATAAATTGTGGTTTACTATTTTTGTAAAGTCTTTGTATCTGTTTCCTTACAAAACAGCAAAATATATATAAAATAAAATCTTACTTAGTACTGTGTTTAAATACAACATTTTCTAAAAATTAGTTTCTTATTTTAACGTGACTTTGTAATTCCGTTAAAATTTTTATAAGGAACCTTTATGTCATATTGGGTTTAATTCCCATAAATTCCACTTGCAAATCTTTCACTTAACCAATCTTCTCACTCTCTCAATGTTTTTGGCACACCACCTATCATAAGTGGTTTAATTCCCATAAATTCCATTTGTAGATCTCTCGCTCTCTCTCTTTATAGTCCATATCCCAGATCTTTGGGTCAGTCCCCCTCACATTCCCCTACATTCCCTCACATTCCATAAACTGGGGCCTCGAAAATCGTCTGCAAATTGCTCATAAATTACATGAAAAACCGTCGCAATGCCAAAAGCTGCACCTACACCATCATTATCAGCTTGTAAATAAAAAGACTTTATCAATCGTTAAGCCGCAGGGCGGAGGCTCTCGATCCGGAGTTGAAGTCCGGCACCCAGAGATCCGAGATCGAAGCTCCGATTTTTAGCCCCGAAAGCGACTCTCTCACCTAATAACATAAAAGTTGTCAGAGGGAGGAGATGCGATGAAGATGAAGATGGAGTGGAGTGGAGTGAAGTGCAGGTAAAGGTGAATCCACCGAAGGAGTATGAATCCCAGGCTCTTCTCCGCTCCACGGTTCAAGTACAAATATTTTTATTTATGATTTTACAGATCAGCATATTGCTCAATAATTTCACCGGCAACGGCAACAAAATAACTTTCAAATTACGCCTGCCGAGGGTTCGACGCTTAAGTGCGCCAATTTTGAGATTATTATTGCCGGCTGCGTATGCAGATAATCGTGACCTGAACCTTAAGGACCGCAGTGCCCATAATTCAACGCGGTTTGGTTTTAGGTATTCCGAAAAAGAAGAGTTTGGAAATCCAGGTTTATCGCAGATTGGTAGATAAAACCAATGTCTGCTCATCCCATTTAATTACTCTATTTGGCTTAGTTTTTTCTGCAGCCCAAAAAGTAGTTATGATCTACCGACTCTTTGGGGCGAGTATTTGGGGCAGCTTAATATTTTCCCATAAATTATTCGGGGCTAAGAGAAAATTACTTTAAAATTTATGGCCCCAGAAGAGGAACGACCCGGCATCTTACACGCTGATTTGGCCCTTTTATTTTCGGTTAGTTTCTTTCTTTTCTTTTTCGATGTCTGGCCTTTAGGATCTGAGGATCTGAGAACAGGTATGAGTATAAGTAGTTCGTGGTGCCCCGACTTGCGAAATGCAATGCAATGATATCCGCGTTCCGAGGGGGCGGGCCCCTGGAAAGTTCGCACGATTGATGATCGACTGGCTGAGGGGAGGAGTATTTTGGATTTCGGAATGGTATACGGATGGAGTTCCCCAGTTCTTCAGTTCCAGACTCCCTGGGCTCCGATGACGCCGTCCTGTCACCGCACTGACATCGCCGTTTATGTAATTACCGTATCCCCCTACCAATCTCAAGCGATCCCAGCAGATCCGATATGATCGCGATCGCACACACAGCTCTTTGGGCTTAACTGCAGCTTTAGCTCCGCTTGTCGGCCAGCTTGTAATTATTTTCTACTTAATCTTCATCACATGTGAAACATGTCGAAAAGTTAAGCGCTCGGCATGAGGCGTTGCCTCGGAACACTCCCCACTTCCCATTTGGAGTTCTCCATTATCCATTGTCCATTGCCGGGGATGCATTTCATCGCTTTTCACTTGCACTCGTCGCAAGTGAGACTTCCCCAGCCATTTCCAATTGCTAATGACTTGAGGAAATTGCCAGAACTGGAAACTAATATTTTGAGGAATTTATTAAACGAACTCTCTTCCCGAATTTCACGGTTTTCAGGGGGTCTACATATTGGGAAATATATAGGAATTTTTTGATATAATACAACAAGATATTATATTACCTTTATAAAACTTAAAGATCTTATAGATATGATCTTAAGTTGGGATTATCTCCAAAAATAAGAAATAAATAAGATCTGTTCAAACTACCATAACTTTTTACGTGCCTGCCTTTACTTTTTTCAAGATATAAAGATGAAATAAGATCTGCAGATAAGCTTTATACACCGGATAATATCTGGTGCTCGTGCTCAGAAGCCCCGCTTAATAATTTATTCATATTTTACGATGCGACATTTCGGCTGCAAGTGCATAATAAGCGATTCTTTCTTTCTTTTCTTTATTTTTTCCTGTTAAACGACAAGAGTGAAGCCTATAAACATTCATTGTGCCCCACAAAGCGACCGAGTGGCATGTATCACGTAATCGTCTGGCAGTCACATGGAACTGGATGCACGAGCATCCCATATAATACCATTCCGACCCATACAATCCTCATAATCTGTTATCTTTCAATGCCTCCCCGCTGGGCAAAGTGAAAATGAAATGGGCTGTGTGCGTGCAGCAGATCACGCCCCTTCTCTTCTCTCACTTTTGCAAGTGCATATGGTACTATATATATATCAGGTGAATTTCGAGGGTCCCACATGGAGATTTTTTGAGAAAAAGAGAGGGTGGGTCAACCTCTGACCGAATTTCCAGCGATAATTATCGGCTGGCGTGCAAATATGCGGAAAGAATGCTCGCTGGGCATTCGCATTTTGTTCGGTTTTTGTTAAGTTTTCATTTCTCTTGCTCTTTAAATGGAACTAATTAAATTCGTTGTTCGAAAGCGTTGAATTTCGTGTGTGTGAGCCCATAATTGGGGCCTTCAAGCCGCCCGGGAAACGCCCACAACTGATTCCGCTCTAATATACTGCCCCCTTGCCCCATTTCAGTCGCCACTTTGCACTGATTTAGTGTCATATAAAGTTGTAAGTGAAGATTATGTTACCAGAATTAATTGCAGCCAAGGTGAAGGTAAAGCCAGGATGGGGAATCAGAGGGGGGACGAGACCCTCTGGAGAAAGAGAGACTGCGTCCCCTTTTCGCCTTCGCCAGCAGAATGGGTATTCTCCGTCTGGTTCTGGTTAGTCCCTCCCATCCTCCCATCCTCTACTGTCTTTCTGCTGACAGCACGTGCTGAAGTTGTTCGGCCCCCTCCTCTACTCCACGCCCCTGGAGTGGGTAGCCCCCGCCTCTGTCTGGGCCTGGGACTT